GTCACGTAGCAAAGTGCCATCACGATTTACAGCTGCTTCTAGCTGTAACTACAGAGTTGTCAGATACACGTTGTAATGATGATCATGAATTTCTATTTTAAAGTCGAGACAGTTGGACTAATTCAATTCCTAGGATGTATTTGGAAGAACATATGGTAGACAATAGAGTCGTGATAAGATGGGTGACATTAATTTGTTTCGGGATTATCGTTAAATCCTCTATAAAGACCTATAGGTTGACAACCATCTCTGTTCTTTTTATAGATCATATCCAACGGAGATTGTCTTTGACTGTTATTCCTAAATGCAGGATATGTTCAAATTCTTTTCTCATTTTGATTGCAATATTGGGAGCTAATCTATCTTCTTTCTAGATTTCAGGCTGACCCACTGTAGAGATGTAATATGTAACATTGGTGGGTAAATATGACAATTTCTACAATAATTTACTGGGTTTAGGATATTTATTAAGTGTTACGTCCAAGTTTTGTTCTCGTCTGTTATTGAGGCATAGTTAGTTGATCAACTCGTAACCCACGACTCCAAAATAACAAAAGTACCATATTCCAATTCAAGCACAAGAGTTTATCCGTAATTTACAAGTACTTAACCCAAATATGTCGTTTTAATAATACTTATAACAGTTGCAAAACAAACCTTCGTTTTTCGGGTCCCCAGAGCAAAACTTCTAAATTACCAAACCAAAAAGTTGAGTGAAACCAAAATGTCCCAGGTCAGGTATAAACAGAAAGTTCGAAAGTTTAGCAAAACAAATACATCAAAAGCACAGAGAAAATATTATTATTTCAAAGATAAATTTTCTAATCTTTTGGTTATTTTGACGTACAATTTTATGAAACTTTTCTCTTTTAAGGCATTCAAACTAAGACACTTCACATGATTTAATGGTAGTTCCTTGAGCGTTGCTTGAGGGGAGTGAAATAGACGTATCTGAGAGTGCCAAAGTTCTGAGTAAGTTGAGGGAAATGAGCCAAAATTTTGTCATTCCTAGACATCTCTCCTGGTCATATCCCCGATTTCAAACCTTTCTACGTAACCTTCGGAAGCTTCAGAACTTGAACGTATATCCAACCGTTCAACTACAGGCTCCATCACGACGCCAGCGTGATAGAAGTATTTTAATTATTGTAATAACTAGTAATTCTCAAAATAGTACAACTGAGGCTAGACAGAACTGAATGAGCACAAACGAATGTATTGTGTTTGGAATTCGTAACAAGCGGGTAATCAAGTACGAACGAAACATTGGTTTGTACAAATAATACAATGTAATGATCCAAATCTCTGTGAATCGAACAATCAGCTATCTGTCTAGACAAGTTTTGCTATAAGGTAGGCGTATCCCAAAAATATATACAACCAGTCAAATCAGTAATCATCGATCAAGAACAGGATCACTCGATATGACCACCAGAAACCAAAACTCTACGTAAAATGAAGATAAATCAGCAATCAAAAACGCCTAGGAATATCAGGGAGTTGATCACAATTCAGAAAATATAGACGCGGGCGAGACCGTAGGTTTTGAGTTCGAATCCTACGAGCTGGTTCGTGGATACGCACTGTTGACGAGTCACATACCAGAACGAAACGGCCGTTCAATGATTCCAGATTTTTGATGATAGTTTAGCTTCAATTGACTAATGAACCCAACTATTAAGATATCAATAAAGATTGATAAAACTAAAGGTAGATAAAATATATGTGGATACAGAGAGCAGTGGAAGACACGTTACATGGAAAAAGGGAAACAAGGGAAGGCTGCCACAAATAATGTGATGATGAAGTGACTTTCTCACATTCGACCATAAACATGCCAGATTGTCTTGCAATCGGAATCACTGCTCTATATTCACGGAGTAAAACAGGATAGGTTGTGAAAGATACGGGAGTTTTCATTATAAATGGCTCACAAGTGTATTATCACGACAAAAGCGGAAATATATGCAAAAATGTAAAACAACTGATATCAAAATATATCAGCAGAAATTATATAGAGTTATATAGGATATAAAATTATAGAATTTTCTTCGGAATATTAAATGAGATTCTGTGGATACGACGGAATGAAATAATAGTGGTTCCCATACCTTAGCAGTAACCCTTAAAACTAACAAAGCACTATACGGACTTATACGTATCAACCTCACCAAGTCTCCCAATTTCGTGAAGAACGGGATCTAGGACAACTTATTTAATTGTAATCAGTGGAGCATATAAAGGGGAGGAATTTCACTTTAAATTTTTATTAAACATAAATGACCCAGAAGGGATTAAAAACTTTTGAGGATGTGATTATGAGCTCGTTTAAAAGGGAACTCCGTGACTAACTGCAGTAAGCTTCATTTAAAGTAATTTTATCCAGCTCTGTCACGTTCAGTCACCTTATTAACTGGTGATTGAAACAAACTTATGGTGGACCAGACGATATATAAACGCAAAAAGTATCAACAAAGTTAATAAAGATCAATAGAAATGTTATTATATATATATAAGTTAATTATTTTAAATACAATAGAAAGTTGGGACTTTACTTCAGTTCGCCAAATTGATGCTTGTTCAGCTTTGGTCTGGTAATAGGAAACCACGATTATAGATACTTGGAAATTCCGATCTGGTTGACGAAGTCTCCAGTGATATAATCCAACGTAGAATGTGATATATTCCAATTACAGTCTATAAACGTAGATAGTATTTCATTTAAACTTCGGTTAACTGAATCACAATCGAAGATAGAACGAGGAATGTGTGAGCAGTAGTGTATTTGTTAGCTAGCAAGAGTATGTCACGCTATGTGGTTGCACAACGGAAAAGTGTGTTCAAGGTCATTTACTAAAACAACAGTTACAGTCATTTAATTATAAATATACATGCAGTGAAAGATTGACAAGATAAATACAAATAATATTAAAAACTATTTACAAAATAAGCTTGTCAAAAATATCTCCACATAGCTCCCCCCAGAGTATCCGGAGGTAACACTGGTTATAATAACAAGAAAGGTATAAATATGATATATACATGTATACAAAAATAATATTTACAGTTATAACCAACAAAAGTTGTGGAGGTGGATATGACATATACGTTAGTAAGATGCAATGTGTTATAGTTTGAGAATAGCAATGATGTGGCATAGCATAACGAACACACAAAAAAGAAAATACTGTCATTTAATGTCTTATTTGGCTAACAATGATAATGATGTGCAGAACTGTTGATGACCCATTAAAAAAAATAATGGAACTGTTTATTTTTGTGTACGATAAATGAATAATTAAATAGAGTTTACTCATTTATTATTGTAACAAATTTTTTTGAAAAAAAATGTGATAAAACAAATAATTGTGGAAAAAATGATTTATTATGTACACTGTGAAAAGCGAAAATTTTTTTTCTAATCGACGAAATGGACATAACGCTTGGGTTTGTTTATAAGTCTACCGGAGCGTGTTAAACAAGAAGGCTTAGTATTAAGTTTTTAATCCTCCACTGGTTTTTCAGTCGCTGGTGGGAGGGGTTGTTTGTCAACAGCGTTGTCTTCTTTGACTTGAGTAGCTTCATAGAAAGCAGGTTTTATTCTGTCCACAGAAATGGTCTGCTTGTTGCCATCTCTGTTGATGATGAAGTATTTTTGTGTGCGTTTAATTACTTTATATGGGCCTTCGTATGGTTATTTTAATGGTTTTTTAACCGCATCTACTCGGACGAAGACAAATTTGCACGTCTCAAGGTTTTTTTTATCAAGTTGGACTCGATTGTTGTGTTCGCGAGGGGATATTGCTTTAATATTCTGCATCGTTTGTAATAGGCGACTTGCGAAGCGAGTAGAATCCCCTGGCATTGTAGGTTCATAGTTGACTAGTTGACCAAGTAAAATTAGAGTTGTACCATAGACTAACTCGGCAGCTGTACATCCAATGTCTTGATTTATGGTTGAACGAATACCAAGAAGTACAAGCGGTAAGACATTGCTCCACTTTGATGAGTCAGCTTGCGCCATCACTGAGCTTTGTAATTGGCGATGGAATCTTTCAACCATGCCATTAGCTGCTGTGTGTTAAGCTGTGGTTTTAATGTGGTTGAACCCTAGAAGTTTAGTGAACTCCTGAAAAAGGACAGATTGAAATTGGGGACCACGATCTGTTGTGATTATTGATGGTACTCCATAGTTAGATATCCAGCGGTCGAGGAAGACTGAAGTGACTGTTTCTGCCGATGTGTCTTTTATGGGGCAGCCTATGGCCCATCTTGTAAACCTGTCTACTGCGGTAAGAATGTGAGTGAAGGAATTGGACGGAGGCAGTGGTCCAACTAAGTCCAGATGAATATGTTGAAAACGTTTGTCGGGAATAGGGAATTCCCCAATCGGGCCAATAGTGTGTTTTTGGATTTTGCTGCATTGTCACTGTAAGCAGCCATGTGTCCAATGTTTAACATCCAAATTGATTTTTGGCCAAACGAAACGTTCTGTGATAAGCTTGGTTGTTGCTCTGATGCCTGGATGCGACAGTCCATGTAGGTTACCAATTTTTAGAATCTCCTGGTCAGCCTAATCCTTGAAGTAAGGATCGCAACAACCGTGGAGCACCAGTCCCCAAAAGCCCCTCAGTTTTTCATTTAAATTTTATACCTAATACATAACACACCAGAAATATGAATCCAAACAACGATCCGATGTCATTAATATTTTTGAGGAGGTTCAATAATAAAAACTCAGTAATAAAATGACTCTTTGGTTCTTTATGAAAGTTGAGGTTAAAATGACCTGAATTTTAAGGCCAGCATGCTCAAGAGTGCTAGGTAAAATACAGATCTGGGAATCGCGAAAATTTGTGTAGTCATTTGACCTCCTTTCGTAGTTTCTGAAGGTCGAATGATCAAAAGATCATCAGTTTCACTAAATAAAATATTCGTTAATGCTAACCGTTTGGCTATAAAACCAAAATCACCATCAGAGAAGGGATTTTGTTTTAGCTAGTCTTTGAAAATTTGGCGTCCTTATCGAACGTTTTTGGTCTTGAGGTATGTTATTGCCTAACGTTGTCATTTGTTGTCTGTTGACAACTCCAAGAATTAACACCATTTAATTGTAGGACTGTCTTATGGAGACATATTCTCAACTAAATCGTGCCCAGCTCAGTTATGACTATCTTCATACCAACTCGTAATTTCATCTCGAAATAACGGGATTTATTTTTAGAACGACACATGAATTCCTTTTCGGTGCTATTGCGGAACTTATTGATAATGCACGTGATGCTGGAGCAACAGAGTTAGACATATTCACAAGTGAGCTTTGAGTCTTCTTATTAGTAAAATTGCAGTTAAAGACAGCTCTGTGCGTGGTAACTTTCTTCTCTGCTTTGCAGACAACGGCTGTGGTATGACACCAGGTTAGTACAATTATTTTGTTTATTAGTTTAAGATGATGTGAAAAATGTCATAATTTTCGGGAAGTCTTTAAAGAAGTGTGAGGATACTGCCGCTATTGGTATGTATGGAAACGGCTTGAAATCGTAGGTTTGATAATAGTTATTATCCTACTATCTTTTATAGTGGTTCTATGCGCATTGGAAACGACTTGGTTTTGTTTACTAAAAAGGATGGTATTTACACCTGTCTATTCTTATCAAGGACTTTTCATGAAGAAGAAAAACTTGATGAGGTTATACTTTGACTCTTAATAGTTATGTCTTGCAGGTAGTTGTCCCGATGCCCTCTTTTAGAGGTCCTGAGAAGACCCCTATCGCAGAGACTCCCGAGGATAAGAAAAAAGTAGGTTTGTTTTGTTCATAATGTTTCCTTAGCATGACCTCGAAATGCATTTAATCCTGAAGTACTCACCATTCCGCTGCCTAAAGGATTTCTATGCACAGTTCGATAAACTTAAAGAAAGTTCAGGAACCGTTGTGATTATATATAACATGAAACTTCTTGATCATGGAGGACCTGAATTAGATGTCACTACAAACCCACGTGACATTCTACTTAGTCCGGGACCAGAACAAGAAGAAACCGTTGAACCTGATGCTGAGGTTATGTAAGTAGAATATTCTTTTTCTCTTCTTAACAACTTATATTTTACAAATGATCATTCGGTTGTTTGACCAGTCAACGCGTAACCTGATATACGGGCTGCCAATAAATGCTAGTTAAGGCTTTAAAATGTCTAATAGATGCAAACAGTGATCGTTCTGGCTGTACATTCTCAGAACGTAAATTTATTTGAAGGGAAATAACAATGTGGCTCTAAAATACTGGTATTATAATTCCCTGGTTTTTATCCCTGTCAGTAATTAACTCTTCTTGTATACCATTTCCTTCCACTCATTTTCAATCGTGTTAAAATGGTATGCCAACCCCAACCATTATACTTGCGTACTAATTTGCACTAGGTTTTCATTTTCGGCGGCGTCAACGAATCAAGTTTAGGTATGGTTTACACGTACTTAGTGTTGTGTTCTAAAAGGGGTTGTTAACAGTAGATATTAGCATTGATTCATGATTTTGTTAAATCACACTAGAGCTCGATTAGTAATTTTGTATCAAAGCTAGCTCTCTTCTTTATGTCCTGTCTAGTTTATGAGGACCTACATTTTCAATCTAAAGTGACTCATAGAGAATGACCACTCGTGCATTGAAAATTTCCAAATGTAGCTGCCGGAATAGACTTTATCATCTGAGTTAACCGTAGTTATCACTTCCTGTAGTCATAGTATTAATAGGTGCGTGATGCAACCTCATCAACGATAAAGATTCCAAATTCTTGAAAGTAAATCTGTATATCAGTTGGACTATCTAATCAGTTAACACACTGTTACTTTTTGCTTATCATTTGAAAGCAACTAAACGATATCTCTCCACCGTGAATAATATGAAAACTCAACCGTTCATATTACCCATTAAGTTATTGTTTTTTCCTTCTAACACGCGGAAAATATTATACACGAACTTTTTTAATTTTCCTTTTTGCTGAACAATTAGAGGGTAAGTTTTAGATTTCATGTGCTTGATCTACGTTTTCCGTGTAAGTCTCAGTGTTACACCTGTTGTCATGTTTTTTCCTTTATTTTCTCATTGGGAATTGATTACTAATGATACTGACATTAAAACTTCCTATTCCTCATAACTTATGAATTATGAAAATAAAAACGAGTAAAATAAGCTTTAGACACGAATTAATCTCCCTGAGGCCATTATTTCTTGGTTTTTTCGTTTAGACAACTGTAAACTCCCGTGGCTAAGAATCTAAACAGTACGATGTCACTGGTTGCAAAAACCTTACGTTTTTGCTGTTTCATTTCCACCACTTGCATGTTTACTAGAATATAGACGTCCTTTAAAATGATCTCAGTGATTATATCGAAAAGCAGTACCGACTCATAAGATAACTGTCTGTCTCTGAGTTAGCGGGTAAAACTAGGCTCTTTGGTGTCAAACAGTAAAAATTAGTTGTAAATCTCCCAAAAACTGATCATGATTTAAATTCTCTCAACACTTACCGGATTTTTGTTATTCTCTAAAATTGTTATGTGCGTATAGTTCCAACGGAAAATTATGATAGGAGTAAATCATAAAAATAACTGGAAAACGGTTGCGTTTAAGTAATACTCATATTGTTTTCTGAAACAATAGTTTTGGCAAAAAAATTGTAAATTACCTAACATGGGGCAACTGTTATAAATTTTCCTGATGTGTATTAAACATTCGGTGTTCAATTTCAGGCAGATAAAATCACCTCTCACTTTACTCGACCAAATTTTTTATGGTGAAACGAAATCTATCAAATATATCTAATACCCTCTTCACATCTTCTGCTGCCTTTCGAAGGCTTTCTGATTTCGGTTGCTATGAATTCTGTCTGTACAATCTTCTAAACTAGTTATAATTCAGAGGTTATGCGTAGATTGTTTAACCTGGCACGTTTCCTGATTAATTTTACTGATGATTTTAATAGACACTTAAGTTCACCGGGAGAAATTATAGTATCAGTAATTACCAATAATCTGAACATCAGGAATTCAAACTTTGGTGTCGCTCCGTTGATAAGTAATAAAATAAATAAGTGTAATTGTTAAGGAAAAATTATTAAAATTTCTGAATTCAAACTTTACATGTAGGGGTATTACTTCGTAAGCTCCATTTTTATCGTTTGACCCAAGTATGACATTTAAAACAGTGAGCTATACTACTTGTCCACATCATAAAGCTGGTGTAACGTCCATTTAAAGATAACATCTAAATATGGCTTTTATGTTTTCAAATAGTTGTACTCGTATTTCAGAGATCTTTGGCGCCAGAATATAGTCCAAAAAGATAGGATACATTTCTGAGGTAGAACGTATAAAGTAGTAGAGAAAAACACGTGACCTAAGTACCCCACTAATGAACTGTAGGACTCTTCAAAATCCGGTTCATCACATGACAAGTACACGTTATTTGGACACAAAAACGTTTTATCCCTTTTAAATTTGATAGAAAAGACAAATCAAGCTTACATTCTCCGTTTCTTTACAGTTGTATTGCTCTTGTCTCAATTTCTATTAAAGATTATACTCTTCCTTACGTCCCGTTTTTTCATTAATTTCTTCAGAATGTGTGATGTGACAAATTTAACTGACCCAAATGTACCTGGTCTTAAATTAATTATAACTGGTTTTAATAAGTCTGGTATATTTTAAGTTTAAAGCGATAGGAGCGAAATAAATAATCACAGAAGAGAAACACTCAGTGTTTATAGTTTGCTAGCTGTTTCGTGAATGTCATTAACATAAAACTTAAAAGCGAGTGAGTAGATTAGGCAACTATCTCGTTGGTTTCAACTTGCGGAGAGATACACTTGTATACTCTTATTTTGTATAGAGTTATCAATGTATTGATAGATCTTTCAGACAACGATTTCTAAGCTTAATCCCAACAAATCAGTCAGACTTAATATCAAGGAATAAAACTTTTTGGTTTATACTATGTGATGCCCAAGCATCTGATAAAGACTGAATGACTTGCCTAGCAGCTTCATAAACTAATCATTTAAACATCAGAGAAAAAAACACGACATATAAACACCGATTTAATTTGATACAAAGATGCCGAATAAAATTAAAACCTATATAGTTCATCGCCTCGTATTAGCAGACATTGATTTACCTAAATTATTCAACATTCTTATTTTATCAAATGGCAACTATACAGATGCACGCTTTCTTCCTATTCGAAAAGTTTATGGATGACTTCAATGTTATTTTAGTACCAATAAATAGTTACTAATACTCCCATTTACTCTAACATCAAAATTTTTCATACTACTGCTAAAATGAGGATTTTCACACTATCAACTAGTTTTCTCTCTATTGAAATCTTTTTTTATCTTGCACCTTATTCACTACTTGTTTCTAATATGATTTAAAAGTTAAACCAATTAATCAACCGATTGCATTTTTGTCTAACAAGTCTTTGTTTGCTTTCCTGACCAAATGTATATTGTTTCATTTCAAATCGTATATTATATAACCTTATGCAGGTACACAATACATATCTTTATTGTAAATTCTCTCTTTCACCAATTTTAGGCTCCCACCAGAAAGACGTAGTCTTCGAGCTTATGTGTCAATTTTATATTCCGATCCACGTATGAAAGTATATTTACAAGGACGGAAAGTCCAAACTAAACGACTACTAGCAACATTGCATAGTACGAGAAAGTATAATTTTGCAAGCAAAACCTTTCGTACTAGAGCTGAAGCAGATTTAGCAAAAGCTAAAAATGATGTGAGAATAGGTAAGTTGTGATAAATGCATTCGGAAATAAGACTTTATTTCCGACACATACATGCGTTATTCAAACTTTATCCCATATAATTCCTCTAATCTAGATAAAACTTTATATTGTCTTTTTAATTCAAATCATTTTTATTTAGCACCATAAAACTTAATAAATTTTAGTTCGAACACATCAACCCCTTAGTGACTTCCAACGAAACATTCTCAAGTATAAAAACTGAAAACTGTGATATCTCCATCGCTTATCAATTAATCTTACCTGAAGTGCTATCAGTAGCTTGATTGAGGAGATTTTGTGGTTAAACTACTCCATTGAGCACATATCTTTTTGTGAAAGCAGACGACACTTGTATTCAACTTGAGAACTGTAGGTAAGAAGCGCCTCTTCCATCCAAGTGATTTTAAAAGCATAGGCTCCACAACAGATCGAATAAATGTCAAAATGATTGTTGTTTTGGTATTGATATGTTTGGGCAAGAAGAAAGCCTAAAGTTCAGATATTAATTGGTTGAAGTGTGCTGTCTATGAATTCGATGTCGTTTATGATATTTAAACTTGTTTATTCTTGTGTTCAGTGTTTTGTACATAAGCATGTTATTTTATCAAAAAAATTCTAATGGGCACTGGTTCTATATGTTCAAATGAGGTTTCGTAAACAATCACTAATCGATCGGTGCGTTGTATTCATTTGACAACCATGAAATCCTAATCCATAATAGCTATTCACAGTGATATATAAAAAGTTGATCAATTTAACGGTTTAGTCGAAAAAGCACAAAAACATGAACAAATGCAATTTACTTTTGGAATATTTTCCTCACACAGTTCCCTTAATGTGCACCAGCACCCGCATACTGTAACAACTGGTGAGACTTGTATGTACAATTGGCCGATCTATGTGTAGTGACCAATGTCGCATATACCAAGTCCTTCGTACTGAAGTAATTCTGTCGACTAAGTTACATAGTGCCCACCAGTTTGAGTGACTCGACATCGTATTCACTATGTTGGCATGTAATGTGGTGGTTTCGACTACCTCCAACAACCACTTTATATCTCAAAATGGTGAGATTTGTCCTAGTAGTTCACTGATTCTTTTACTAAAAGATGTGATCTAATACATAATATATTGATAACCACACTTAGCAATTATATGTTTATGGTATAGTTAGTCTTTCCAGTGAACGGATTTTTTTTGCATTAAACTAAGTTTTATGATAATACTAGTATTCTCCAACTGTATTATGTTTAGTAAAATGGTAGAGATGAGATGTTATTGTATCATGACTTTTTCTGCTTGTACTTTATTCTTCTCGTTTAAGCTGAACTTAGAGCTCAGGAGGCGGAAAGCAAAGCGAGGGATTGTGAACTTCGTTACCAAGGTTCTGAGGATCCCGAACATTTGGTAAGTTTTGTGATTCGAACTGTATTTTGTTTACATATAGCTATGGCAAACTGTTACGGATAGAGATACTAGTCAAACTATATCTGTATTCAGAAGTGAAGTTTTTTTTACCACTTGTTAACCACATTTTTACATTAAAGTCACTGTAGAATATTCAATTTAGCGCTTTAACCGGATCCCAAACCAATGGTGCAAATGGGCTCCAGAATCCTGCGGGAACAAATAGCATATGAACCAATTTCTTGGTCACCGGCTACCATGGGACTGCATCTCCTCACGATGCTCCACTACCTTGTGGGTTAGACCTTTAGGTCAAAGGCTCGGGGTGTGGCCCCCTAAGAAAACCACCTGCTTCGGTCTGAGCACCCTGGCAGTATCTCAGCCCACACACAAAAAATGATGTGTGGCGCATATATTTGTTCAAATAAATAAGAGGGTATAAATCCCGATTGTTAATTCATTCTTAAGGTTTTCCTATATTTCGTTCCATAATATTGCATACTACTGATTTGTACTTTGTTATTAATGCTGTTAATAAAGTCGCCTGACAACTATCTTCGGCGGCTGGAAAGCCAGAATATGCATGATTATTTGATATAATGATTCTTTTGGCTTTCACGATTTTGATAAATTATCTATCGAAAACCCATATTCGAATTTTTTTTAAAGTAATCAATTTAACAACCCCTTGTCGATGAATGTATTACTTGGATTATCAGAATAGTTATGAAAATTCATTTCAAAAAATGGTAATGTTCATCAAACACGATATTTTTTCCTTTCAGCGTCAAATACGTCGTCTTCGAAACACCGCTGCCGACCTACGTGGGGCTGTAGCGATGCGACAGAATGTTGTCACGCGCAAACTAAAATCAATCAAGGATCCGAAAACACTGACATTCTATTTTGGTGTAAATGTTATGAACCGCGCTTGTGATGGTATGTTTGTTTATAATTGTTCCCGTCTAATCAAAATGTACCAACGTATTGGACCACAACAAGATTCAAGTATGATGTGCCGTGGTGTAGTTGGGATTGTCGATGTACCCTATATGGTTCTTGGTGAGTACTTATTCAAATAAGTTGTACCTGTATCAATAATATAATACTTGTATTCAATGATTTGGGATTTAGACCACTGGTCTGTTTAACAGTTACGTAAATATGTGCATTGACCGTGTGATTCCTAATACTCTATTGCGTCATTACGTGAAAAACATTGCTTGACAGTCTTCATCAACGCGTTTCAGCTTCAATTTAATTTTATAAATCAAAATATTATGTGATATCTAACACAGTGTATTATATAGGTTATGTCATTTGTAAAGATTTTTTTGTGAATTCCTGAACTAATGCCTACTGAAGAGCAACTGAAAACCACTAAGAGTTCTCTAGCTGTTTTGTCCTAGTTCGGGATTCCTCAACAATATCAAACCCACGACCCTACACAATATAAGACCCATAATCACTAGGCTTCACGGCGATCAAGATATTTTAAATTACTCGATTGCATTCCAATCGTCTACATTATAAGATAACACTATATTCATCTGATATTGCCATTGATAAACTTTCATTTCCGAATCGGTTGACATCATAGATCAGAATTACACATTATAAACAGTTCTCATTCCTTTTATATGAATAAATCATTAATTGGTTACTTGGCCATTTATTATTTATTTCTTTATTTAAACATAAACATTGATACAAGAAGGCATCAAATACATATGCTCCACACTAATCATTCGATCCTTGTAAGGACCCGAAACTGCTCGGGTGTCCAAACCGCAGCAAGTGGTTTTCCTAGGGGACCACTTCCCAAACCTTTGACCTACAGGTCTAATCACAAGGCAGTGAAGCAACGTCAGGAGACGTAGTTCTATAGTAGCCGGTGGCCAATAATTGGTTCATACGCCATTTGTTTCATCAGGATACTGGAGCCCGCGTGCACCATTGGTTTGGAATCAGTTTTCCAACTCCCCTAGGTGAATTCTCCATATCCACCAACTATATTCATCGTCGAACGATCAGTTGAGTGGAACTCGTCACTGTACATCAACTTCATCGATTATGAAAAGGCATTTGACAGTGTAGACAGGAGGACATTATGGAAACTCCTTCGACACTACGGAGTTCCTGAGAAGGTTGTCAATATTATCCGGAACTCATACGATGGACTACAATGCAAAGTCGTGCATGGAGGACAGCTGACAGATGCATTCCAAGTAAGGAACGGAGTCAGACAAGGCTGCTTGCTCTCTCCCTTCCTCTTTCTTCTGGTGGTCGACTGGATTATGAAGACCTCGACATCTGAGTGAAAACACAGAATTCAATGGACAGCTCAGAACCAACTAGACGACTTGGACTTTGCAGATGACCTAGCCCTCCTATCGCATACACATGAACAAATCCAGATAAAGACAGCCAGTGTAGCAGCAGTCTCTGCATCAGTAGGCCTCAGCATACACAAGGGGAAAACCAAGGTCCTCAAATTCAAAGCGGAGAACAGCAATCCAATCACTCTTGATGGCGAAACTCTGGAAGATGTAGAATCCTTCACATACCTGGGAAGCATAATCGACGAACAAGGAGGCTCAGATGCAGACGTAAAGGCAAGGATTGGCAAAGCAAGAACAGCATTCCTACAATTGAAGAACATATGGAACTCAAAACAACTTTCAACCAATATCAAAGTGAGAATCTTCAATACAAACGTCAAGGTTGTTCTACTGTACGGAGCTGAGACTTGGAGAACTACAACAACTACTATCCAGAAGGTACAAGTATTTATAAATAGCTGTCTTCGCAAGATACTCAACATCGATTGGCCGGATACCATCAGCAACAGCCTTCTCTGGGAGAGAACAAACCAGCTTCCAGCTGAAGAGGAAATTAGGAAAAGACGATGGAAATGGATAGGACATACACTACACAAATCATCAAACTGCACCACGAGGCAAGCCCTAACATGGAATCGTGAAAGGAAGCGGAAAAGAGGAAGGTCAAAGAACATATTACGTCGGAAATAAAAGCAGATATCAAAAGGATGAACAACAACTGGAAGGAGCTGGAAAGGACTGCCCAGGACAGGATTGGATGGAGAATGCTGGTGAGCGGCCTATGCTCCTTCACGAGGAGTAACAGGCGTAAGTAAGTAACTAAGTAACCAACTATATTGTTTCAATTCACTCACGTCACAACAGAATGTTGTCCGCGTCATCAGAAAAAATGTCTAATATAGTTCTACAGATGATCTCGAAAATAAGAATAACGTTTTTTTTCTTTTTTTCTCTCAACTTCTCTGCTTTTCAAAATTTTTCATTCCGTCAGAACCTACACATAACAAGCAAGATTTTGCTGATGCTAAAGAATATCGTCAACTTATGCGTGCAATGGCGGATCATTTAATGCAATATTGGGATGACCTTGGGATTGACAAAGAACAAGACAGTTTAATACGATTCTGGAAAAGTTTTGGCTATCTATCAGCACGCTGGAGAGACCCACCTAGTGTAGAGGAAAAATATGCTCGTCGTCGCTGTTGTTCTGTCTCCATTTGTGTTCAGTGTGGTAATCAGATATTTTTGTTGAGTTTAATTTTCCTTGATGAGTGTATAAGCCTATTTACACTTATAGTACATCTACCATTTTCACTGTGAAGCTTCACGAAATTAATTTGCCGCTTATTGCGTAAATTACTTTTTCAACCTCTAAATTTCCACATTTTTGATCTTAGGAGCAAACTTTTAGTGTAAACTCCAGTCGTTTTAGTCAGTATTTTATTTTATCGACTGCACCGTATATTTGTTCTCATCTAGATATAATGATGGTTCCGTTAAAAGATCTCGTATTTTAGTTTTCGGTGATCCCATGTTAATAAAGACTTAAATCAACCTACGAACTTGCTCTTCATTATTAATGTGTAAAGTCTTCAAGAAAATGGAGAAAAACTGCGAAAAAATTAAGAGGATATTGTTTATGACCTAGTTCAGTCAGTCACAACCTAGAACCTGGTATGTAAGTACATCGATTCAAGTCACCATACTCCTTTAGTACACCGAGATGAAATTCTCAGGCTAGATAAAGACAGATGAAAAGTTAAGAGGAATTAAGAATCTCAGAGTTTGGGGAAAGACAATGTGGAAACATCTGCTCCGTTGCAAACGATGTTGAGCCGTGCCATTCAAATTCTAACAATTTGGTTACGATAATCACTCTAACACTAACCAGCTGCTCTGCATCTATTAACATGGCTCAGTCCAATTGTCAGTAACTCTATGGACTGATGCCATGTTTGGGTTTGGCCTCCTCTGTCTTCTTACAGCCTACTTCTACACCAGAAATCATCACATGTTCTGAGCCAGACAGGATGAATTTTTGAGCATTTATTAGTTCTGTGGGCGCCGATAAAATCCACTGATTTGCCCTAACCTTTTAGCTTAAGGTATTAGTAGATATCACTTCTGTTTCCTTAGCTTTTCGGATATCATACCAAGACACCTCGGTGTGGTTATCATTTTCATAGTTGACTAGCTGCTCTAGTTGTTCTTGAAATATATTCTTAACTTTTTTCATCATTAAGTTGAACTCTAAAGAGTTTTCTTGCTGTGGCTTTTCTACACCGAGCAAGACGCAGACAAATACGTACTCAAACTAGCGAGTGTAAATATATTCTGTAAAATGAACGATAGTCTTCAATAGAGCTCATCCGACGTTGGCTCATAACAATGTACTCCATCGATGAGTTGATTTTAAAGGTTGCCATGTCAGACAACGTTTCTCCTTATGTTTGAGGTTGGTGTTTGCCGAAAATGGATGGTTATCTAAGCATAGTTGCAACAAACGGTCTCCACTATCTGTTCTCTGAGCCTTAACACCATAAGATCCGCTCAAGTTCCTTTCAGTTTGGTTTAGTTTACGTAATTCAGTAATAAAATCATCTGTAACTATAACGACATCATAGCGTTTAGCTTTTAGATGGAGGTTGGATAACTTCCCATAAAATCCATCTTTAACTTCATCCGAGCTGCAATTAATAATGGCGCAGGCATAGATAACGAAAACGCAACGGCGTGCGTCCCTATCTTTTTGAGTTCTTACTGTTCCATTTGGTCGAACAGCTCACAAGCGACCCTCTAATGGAATCGAGTCTAGGAGATCTGATTCTGCTTTATAACTTAGTGCTACATCTACACTAGCAAGGTTACCTGAAGTAGCAGTGGGGTCTCCAGATACTAGGACGGGCAAATTGTGCCGGTTCTTTATATTCACAAGTTGAGGTCAAGTGAATGACTGTACTTGGATCCTGAATGACAAAATATAGAGTAGTCATGTATGTGTCTTCTTTCGTTTTCATAACTCTTCAACCAAAAGACGAAAACTCTGTTGCTCAGTCGTCACTGGCTTTGGTTTAGTATTGTCTCTGACATTATCTTATTCAGCTTTATGACTAAACTTAGCACCGCCAGTAGATGCCTATCTTTTTCATTCCACAGTATGACATAAAACTATCTTTCAGGCTTCGCAAATCGATCCTGGCGTTAGCGAGCTGCACAGAAGCAGTTTTTCGAATGATGAATTACTGGATAGTTTTAAATGTAACTAAACTTTAAATTTATTGTAAAGAATCGAGGCAATTATTTTGACAAGATTTATCTGCTCATTGTGACAATTTTGTTGTATATTATAACACACACTAATCCGAATTTGAAATCGTGAAGTATGTTTTAAAAGAAATGTCGTTTCTTCATTTATACAGCTGAATGTCTGTCAGGTAACTGGTCAGCAAGGAAAACATACTAAGTTGCTTATCTGCGGTAAATACACAGAAGTTTAGTGTATACGAAAAGTAGATGACCATCAATAAATGATCCCACTAATTTGTTAAAAATTTACATTTTTATTTGTCGATACAAACATCTTGTGTAAAATATCCTAATCTACACATTCAAGTTCTTATATAATACCAAAGTATATGTCGCAGCATTGAATCTTCTGCTTCGTTAGTATCTCTGTTTGCCTACCTTTCTAATGTCTACCAGTTTTAAATTCTTATAAAGGGATCATTTCATCTTTTGAAATGACTGGTGAACATAAAGTTCGTTCATTTTTGGTCTAGCATGTTGCAAATATTTGTCATTGATATATCGATATATTGTGATACTTTCAGTTTCCTTATTTTTAAAAAGCATTACTATTTTTTAACAAATTGTAACACTTTTCGATTGAGTAGCCTGTATGCATACGCAGTAGAACACGGTATTCCTACTTGAAAAATGCATTCAAATCGGAATCATTCTAAAGGATATTTTATGAGATTTCGTATTACTCTCTGTACAATCTATCCAATTTTTTTATATTTTTTCCTCCAGCCGACCATGTATGAATTACCCGTGTTTTTATGAGTTTCAACATTGTATAGTTTTTCATCTTTCAGATAAATGCTTAAAATGGAGAATACTTCCATTCTCACAGAGCCTTGTCGGACGCGATGTTCCAGATAATTGGCAATGTCGTGATAATCCAGATCATAAACATAAAAGGTTGTTGCATCTATTTCGTTCACCATTTTCTTTTGATAAATTTCTTTCACTTCATATTACTGATATGTAAAATTAATAATTTTTGTCAAGCTACCCTATTAGTCCAAACCGGTGTGTATTTGTGTTTGTACGCACATTCCAACATTATCAACGTATTAGAATTCTGTGGAGTGTTGGTTGACAGTTTCTGATATCGTTTGGTGATTCATTGTTAAAATTAATAGGAAAAAAGTAAGAAACTAAAAAAATTCAAGTACATTTGATGCTTTAAAAAAAAATTTGACTTTTAACGCTTCCAATTTGGAACATCTTTTTAATTACTACTGTAGTGAACAAAGACCTGGTGAGGATAACCAATTTATTGCTTAATGTACAATCATATAGTGGTTTAGTAAAATGTGAAAATCGCACAACTTTAAATAGTCTCTTACAAGCTTCATTGTTCCTTCATTCCTGTTGTTATATTGTTTGCTTCCAGTTTCCTTTTCTCTTTTCATTTCAATCTTCTCAACCTTCTGCTTACAGATATTCCACTTCTTACTGTTACATACTACTTATATCTGTCAACATAAGTAGCATACACCACACTACAATCCTTAAATTAACTTTACAAATACAATATATCTGGTTTTATTTTATGAATATCATTCACAACTCAAATTTCCATTAACTCAATAGAATAAATTGACACAATATATTACAAGTACACTTTATAAATCTCAACAAAAATCCAAAGCATGATTGTAGTGTTCTACACCTAAACAACTAAGTATACAACAATAAATGACCTTAAGATACAAGACTCAAAATTTAATTTATAATAATTTTTTCCAGGGATTATTCACTTGTTAATGAAATTGTATTTACTGTCTTTTGAATTCATATAAAACTCCACAAAACCCATTCTGATAATAATAATCAACTGCTCACTAGTGACTGACTTCAAGAAAAGCTCCTGGAGTTCTAGTGAGAAGCCGTTGCCAGTGGAGTTCAACCGGTCTGTTGTGAGATAACAACTCACTGAAGACAATGGTGTACGGTGGCGCAACTTCGTGGATTGGTTGAAGTTAGACATTAACACCGTTGGATGCCGGCTCAGTGGTCTAATGGTTAAGTGCTCGCGCGCAAAGCCAGTAGGTCCTGGGTTCGAGCCCCGCGTGATGCGGGATCGTGGATGCGCACTACTGAGGAGTCCCACACCAGGACGAAACGGCCGTCCAGTGCTTCCAGGTTTTCAATGGTGGTCTAGCTTCAACTGACTCATGATTTAAAAAACCTGTGAAATTTCATGTAAAACTATTTGTAGCGTAACATTGTACATTCATTAAGGAACTCCGGTAAAAATTAGCTTTAGATTGACGTTATTCTTAATTAAAAATTAGATTACTTTCAAATAGATAAGAAATGATATGATCTCTACGACGCTGTATTTATAAAACAAGTTTTTATTGTCATATACAGAATATTGAACTGGTGACTAGTTTTAACATTTGGTACTCCATTTTATGCTTCAGTTGCAAACTTCACTTCACACACCGATTATATTAACGTACACCTGGTTTCTAAGTTAATTTGAATTGATGTACTGGGAAAAATACACATAATTTAGATTCATAATACAATATCTTCGTTTCATATCGACCAAGACTCAAATAAGCGTTTGCACCTTGTCCACTGACTTTGTGGATGTAGATTTTAACATTCCTGTAATAGTCTTAATCGATTCTCCTGTAACCTAACTTCCATCTCTCACCTTTTCTTAATGTTTCATAACATCATAGTATCACTATTTTGATGCCGTCAGTGTACTGATTTTTTAAAATAAATTAGTCTGAAGTAAAAAGCTGTTTAGTTTTCATTAAAAAGGATGTTTTTAACGATCCCTGCTTTATTTATCAAGCGTCGATACTAGGCGTTAAAACACTTATGTTTAACTGTAATTGGCTGCTTCAGCTCTCAACTTTTCTAATCAGAACACCTTTATAGTTTCTTCAAACGGGGGCGCATTTGATAATCTTTGATTTATATATACATACCATGTGAGAGGTGGTTACTGAATTTAGTCAATGACTAATTTTTGACTAACTCATTGACCTGGGCTACCAGTTGTTTGCCAAAGCAACGTAATGTTTATTCGTCTAATTTTTCTTTGTCCGATAAATTAATAAAGTGATGTTAACGTTTTCCTTGTTTTATCTACTCTCTTGCTTTCTGATTTAAACATTGTTGGTCAATTATCACTTTGAAGATGTGAGGATCCTGAAGAAGATATGAGTCCACCAATGGGTGTCTTAAAGAGGAAAATTAAAACTAAGGAACAAAGACAGGCAGAACTCGAAAAACAAATCCGTAAAAAACAGGTAAGTATCTATTCATACTGGGTATTTACATCGTACATTTCATTCGGTTAATAGAACTAGTTTAGACATAACTCATATGTTAATAACATTTTATTAAGTCTGCTAATTGAACTCTCGGTTCGATTTTCTAGCCGCCTCTAATAACCTCAAACTAAATCTATTTAGCAACTTGAACAGAAGAGAAAAGGTGCGAAGTGCTAAAAATCATTTACTCCAATGTACGGAAAACTGTGTGTATTTATACCATTTAACCTGGTCTAAGCAGTTCCAAAAGCATGCCTTATATGATAATAAGATAACTACACAATCAAAAGTGAAAAAGGATCTGTCATCATTCTAGATGTTTTAGAGAAACGTCTACTCAATACCGGCTAAATAAAATGTTTCCAAGTGCTTTCTAGACCCACTGACTTTTCTGAAAAGTATTTTGGAACTGCCTAATACATTTATTTTTCGTTTTTTTCATGTTTTGATGCAACAAGTTATTTAATTTGCTCTGAAAGTGTATCTGTCTAAGGATGATTCATTTTGAACGCTCTTATATGTTACTGTATTCATGATCACGCTTTGATTTTTGATGATATTTCATTCCGTTTTATCCGTATAGGAAGAACTTGAACTTATTCAAGATCCTGATGATGAAAAAGCTGACGATTCCAGTGCTACTACTCGTAGTGGTCGCTTAAGTGGCTCTGGGGGTTCAGCTCTCTCAAAATCTCCTCGTAAACGCCCACATCCGCCTCCAGCTATCTCGGATCTCCCCAACAAACGGTCTACTCAATCCTCTTCCATTTCTCGAGCAATGACTGTTGCAGATAAAAAACGTCAAGCTGGATTGTCGTCATCAAATGGCCCTGTATCGTTATCATCCCAAAAACGTACTGGTTTACCACTACCTACAAGTAACCAAAGACAACCACGCCCCAGTGGTCTAGTCCCTAAAGCTCAACAACGGAATTCAACTACCCCTAAAGTAAGTTGTAATATATTATTATCCTCCAATTAAAAATTGTTCCTGATAGATTTGTTCCATGTCTACTCTTCTGTATCGAAACTCATTCAGTTTTTAAAAGTTACAAACTGAAATTCCAGTTTGTAAAAGCTGCATGTTTTCTGGACTTCTATTATCCCTGCTAATTAATGTTACTATTTTTTAATTAAAACACATTTATAGCACCTTTTACTCTTAAACAAGCAAAGAAATGAAGTTTTCTTTTCTTCCCTAGACCCAACTAACCTCAACGAAGTCAAAATATTGAATAGAAAATAAATCCACCAAAAATTTGATTGAGTTGTATCATACAAATGCATTTACAAAGTCCTTGTAAGTTCAGCAATAAATTAGTTTACGGAAAGCATAAGCAATCCATTAGGAAAATACCATCCTTAATGTAGATAAAAGTGGAAACAAACTGTAAAGTGTGAAAAGATTTCTAGCTGCGAAAAAATGTGTAGAGTAAGTTATAAAATCGTAGATCCTACAATTTACTTTAGGGAATCTCATCAAAATGCAGGGTCTTCTGTTCGCTTTGAGCAATAATGCAAACATGTTTAGAATGTGTTTCTCCTCCTCTCAATGTAAAATATCGCTTCAGTATTGGCCTGAATCAACACCTGAGCAAACGATAGGAAGTAAAATAGTTGTGTGTCGACCGCTTCACTTATTTGGGAAATCTCAACAGCCCTGTTGGGTTGGTTCCTGGGTAAACCTAAACACGGATTCTGCAAGCTCAGTTTTCTTTTACCAACTTGCGTTACTTGTAGCATTGGTGAGATGTAAATCTACCAACCGAAGGACAAGTATACTACGCAACAGTCCGCTCTATATTACTCTATGGTCATGGAAGAGTCTATGAAAGTAGAAGGCATGTATAGACTGCAAGTTCTTGATCATAATTGTCTTCCAATTATTGGTTGCACTTCGTGGAACAGTTAAGCGGGCAATGTTGGGGTTAGGCGGAGTCGTACAATCGGTTCATGAGGTTGTGAGCCGACTGATGTATTGCGCATACCTAACAATGACCTACCTCGACGGACAGCGTCAGATGGTGTGGGAGTAGGTCGGGAGAATGCTAGGGGCGTACAAATCAAAACAATGAGATCAGTGTATAAAGTCATTGACTGTCGGTCTACTCTATGTTTGCAGATGCAGATTAGCTGGTTGGGGACCGCACAATGATTGCTACTAGTGGTTGTAGAGTTTGTATGACATGGCTCAGAATCGGTCAAAACTTCGCAAATATCAATACCATTTGTTTTCTACTAGACCAGGAATTCTACTATTTCTTAATAAGTACTTCTTCGTTTTGTTTTTTTCAAACGACATTGTCAATATTTTGCCTTTCTCATTGTCTTTTCCGGTGTATTATTTCAAGTTATTCGCTTTTCATTTTGGTAATTTCACCCTACCGCGTTAATTTAATCTGGTAACTGTAGTCAATGAATACTTGAGTTAAGCGCTAAGTTAGGTATGACTGACTGATAAGTCGTAATCTGTATTTTAACCTTTTTACGCTCCCCTATTTATCAGTGTAGGTGTAGAAATTCGAACTTTTCTACTTTTTTGTTTAGGGTCGTAAAGTCACAACAGCAGAAAGTGAAAGCAGTGAAGAAGAGGAGACAAGTGATGATGAAGAAGAAGAAATCTCTAAATCTGTTCCTCGTAACAAACAAACTACATCCTCCCTTCCAAAAGTAAATAATTCCATTTCTGTAGTGAGTTTTGTTTTTCATTTTTAAATTTGACTTGTACATATAAATCCCTTAGTATATGTTTATCTATGTTGTTATTGTTCATTATGTGTTATATGTTTTATCGTTTGTATTGCCTGTAATGTTATTTACCGTTGATGTTAAATTCCACATACAGTATAAAACATTCAAAATAAACTGAAAATTGTCGAAATGAAATAGATTTACATTCTAATCTACAAATGATGGATTGGAATAATCATTATTTCATTGATATGTTTGCTAAACATCGCATTCTTAATATTGTACTCTACTGACTTTCACTTAGTATCCATCCAATTCTTGCCGACTATCTCCAACAATTTCATTATAATCACTTTTCTTCTCTATGTAGTCGAATTACTGTAGGAAATTCTTTAAATATACACTATTAACAGATCGACAATGGTAATCTAGCAATCAACATATTATTTTCCTTTATTTAAAGTTTGTCAGTTTTGTGAGCAAATCGTTTATATCTAATACGTCCGATACTGAAGTATACATAACGGATTTCTGTTAATCATCTATTATCAGTGGTTCACTTACATAGAATTTATTTTGTTTCCGGTTAACTATAACGATAAATCACCGCGTTTTTTTTAACAAAGTATCAGAAATTTTACTGATTCAATCAGTACAATAAAGATGACACGTGGATAAACCTCATTGAAAGTCAGGCTTAAAAGGTAATAAAACGGTTCTAACGTTTATCTTGTTCTGTCATATAAATAATCTTAGTATTGTATTGAATAATATACAACAGAAAGTTTTCAAACCGGTTCATATTACATTTATCCAAGATCAATATACTTAAGCATAAAAATATGGGGTTTCTTTGAGTCAACATCTTAGCGTAAACCATTAAAATCTAAAGTATGTATCCAGATCATGGTTGATATACAATTTTCGGCTTAGTAACCGCATACACAATTTTCATGCAGTAGTTTAGTTAAAATGTTTGTCTTTATCTAGACATAATCCAAAATGTCCGGATGGACATTTATTCCTTCTAAATTATATTTCTCCTATTTCGACTTTCGTTCACTTCAATTTTACTTTCCATTTTATACTTCTCATTTAATTGATTTCCTCTCACTGTATTGTCTTATATAACAACCGATACTATACACCCGTCCCATGTCCGTACTTCGATAATGATTGTTCAAGTGACTTCAAACCCGTTTTCTTGTTTCAATAAAGTATATAATGTAAATGTTTTCATTTCACTTTGTTCCCAGACTAAAATCAATACTTCACAAACCCCTGAAAAAAGTCTTCAGAAGACAACTGATGAATTAAATGGCAAACGATCAACTAATAAAGATAAAAGTCCCGCACACGATTCTGTCACAATGCACCATCGTAATCGAACATCAATAGATCCAAACAACGGTGATGCTACATCTATAGTAAATAAGTAAGTTAATACATGATTCAAATCATTATTATTGATATTTAAATTCCCTTCTAGATCGTGTTCCATTAAAAAAATAATTTGTCACTATTAATTACTCCAAAAACGCCAACAATACTAAGTCTGATGACAACAAATGTACACTAGTTCGACCCCCGTTACTTTATATCATCAAACTGAGGCGAAATCAGCAAGACTATTGATGGCGATAATAATAATATTAACAGTAATCGAAAGATTGTTGTTTGAATTGTTTAAACTAGTTTTTGATTATTCTGTTGAAAATTGATTCCCAGGCATTTTATCGAGATCCTCTACGAGGCAATACGATAGCTGGTTGTCAGTTCAAGGAAACTTTCTTTGTTGTGCATAGTGATTGTTAGTTTTGTTATGATTACCCTCTGATTGGTTACTGCTCCGTCGATACTGTTACTATTTCTACTATTCTAGGATTTGCCCTAAAAAAATCATTTCTCAGTGCTAATGGGGCATGGTAACTTCGGTCAATGTACATACGTACCAGATGCCACATTGTGACTGACTGACTAATTGCTCTGTTGATTAATTAGGGACACTGTATCACAGTGAAACGTTCAAAACATGACAAACACTTTAGACACTATCCTTAATTACAACAGACTTTAACATTAGATCCAGAATCCTTACTGCATATACTTTAAGTAACTGAGTTGTCAAGTTTTCTTTTGTATCTTGAAGCGATGAGTTCGTAATTAAACCACTTAGCTTTCAATTGTTTGATCTTAGATTTCAACCTCTCCTCAACTATCCAGGGAAACCGAGTAGTAGAGATGGCTTAGTGGTTAAGGCATTCGACTTATATCCAAGCATCTAGTGAATGGGTTTGTTATTTATTTCGTAAGCACTGTTTCTCAAATCTATGTACCTAGGTTTGCACATGATAAATAAGTAACATCACTGCGCTTCACTTCGCTGTAACTTTGTTGTTCAATTGTAATTCAACCAGTCGGTTGTATATATTCATATTTCTTTCTTTTAAATAAAGGGATCAAAATAAAAACAATGATTCTATAGGAAATAAATCGAAAGAATTGAATTCAACAGTTAACTCTTTATCATCCGAAGCTGTAAGTTTTAATAATGAGATGTTTTAAATAATTTTTGATGTCAATATTTCGAATTGCTGGATGAAAGAATAATTTGTGTGTTAGTTCACTGATTTCTTGATTTCTTATCCAGAAAGTTGTGACTAAGAAATACCAGTTCTTTAAAGCTTTCTTTCATACTACGACACCATGTCATACACCGACGATATACATGACATCGCATATCAAAAATGTAATTCATTTATTTTCTGTGTAAGCTAGAACCATAAGAATATTAAGTTTTAGTATGTTTGACAAACGGAACATTTTATTATATGTGTATTCATTTATATACACTCACTCAAGGGGAATGGAAGGGATAGACCATCTTTTCAAAAAAAGTATCATTTATTTCAGCCTTTTAAAATGATACATGTAATTAGATGTGAAAATTTGTATTATTTCCTACTATCACAACACAACCACTATAACTAGTCTGCACTTCGACTTTTTCCGAATTCATTTATCGTTCTTATCGTGAACTTCCTTCTAATTTCTCCTTGGCCGTAATCAATATTTTCCACGAAATTGAAAGAAAAGCTCATCACTTTAGTGCGTACCATGCTTTCAATAGATTTGATTTCAATATAGTTGGAAATCAGTAACAAAGTATTTGGGTACTGATGAGTTCTGTATTCAAACCCAATTCATCTACTATGTTTATCACTCGTTACATAACTAAAATGTCCATCGTCGACTCCCTCAATATGTATATGTTTGTTTCTGCGTTTATTATCGTCATTCATTCATTTACTTTATTAGTAGTTAAATTTTACCTACTAATATTCCCTAATTTCCGTCTATGAAGCTGTAGCTCACTGATCATAACACCCAACTCCCGATGTGGTTAGTTCGAAACCTGCATCACTTTCAAACCACAAGGTCACATAGTACTTGTTGTACTAGTTGTTTGAAAGCCACTATAACATGAGACTTTACTTAGCTTGTTCATCAGCAGCAGAAAACTTCTTTTAAACGTTGAAATCACGAACAGGTTTTAGCTAGACCACCATTGAAAACCTAAAAACACCGGACAGCCTTTTCGTTATAATATGGGACTCAACTGTACACGTTCACGGCCTTGTGTGCGTGAATCGAACCCAGAACCTGCGATCTCGCGCCCGAACCCTCAACCTTCCGATCACTGAGTCGGCATCTAGTGAATACAGTGGTCTTGAGTTCTGTTAGAGTTATGAGGGCGGTTATCACTTCTCAGTTGCCCACACCGTGGAAGGGTTCTTCTGGAGGTACCTGAAAAGGTGGTCTTAGTGACCTGGGAGCGTGACCGCAGTGCCCAAGGGACAACTGCTTGAGGTCGGTCACACACGACCTTTTTATGGGTAATTTTTGTGTTAGCTCTGTACTTGTTGAGACCTTACCGCCGGAGACGGATATCCGTGGGATAAGGCGAGGTGTGCATTTTTAGGGTCAACCTTTTCTAACCCCACTCCTCTTTGTGGAAAGGCAGCATCGCTGTCACGCTGGTTGTCTGAAGGAAACACCTTACTGCCATCAGACTTCTGTAAAGTCAGCGGTACGAATTTGTCTTCGGATCTTGGGTTTGTTTCTTTTAGTCTTACCGGCCTGTCTGACACGGTAGTGTGGTGTGTGCTACTTATATTGACATGAGTAGTATATGATGTTAGTCGTGAACAGAAGGTCTGGCAGCAGAGAGACAAGAGGATCGATCAGTAAAGAATGGGATCATAATGCAATTTGTATGAAAATGCAAGAACAATCAAGTCTGAGTCATTTTGAGACATTTGGTGAACATTTTGCAAATTAAGCATTTACTTTATGATTGTTAGATTTTATTAACAAGTCCTGTAATTTTGTGTTAAATACATTCGCGTGTTCTGTTCACTACAGTAGGACCTTGAGGAACGGTTGTTTCAGCCAGTGTAGCTCGGTTGCTTCATCACGTTAGGCAAGCCTGACCACCACATCATGGTAGCAACAACGGTCGGGGGCATCCAGTGATGCCAACGTTTGACTTAAATCAGTTCATGATCATGCACAACTCTTCATCGATTACCTGCAGCGAACAACAGGGACTGTACTTCACTGACTATGGCTTCTCACAAGAACTCCAGGAGTTACATCTTGGAGCTAGTCACCAGTGAGCACATGATTGGTATTGGCATAAGGGATTTGTGGAAATTGTAGTTTTTGCTAATAATCAATCTCATACAAAATCATTCATGGAACTCAGTAGCATCTGGTTTTATATATTTGTCTGAAACTTCAAATAGCAATCAAATTTCATATTCAGGTCTTAGCTTCATTGACATTTGATTGATTTACAGGATCTGTATCTTCCAGTTACTTACGACTCACTAGATCATGTTTATTTTTGTGCTGAGAATCGGGATGTTCTTTCGTTGAAATCCCATTCCCTAAATAATGGTATTTTCTTTGATATCGGTTCATTCAGAGACGTGCGTCAGTGATACAGTTTTGTAACTGTTACATTCTGTTTATTTATCGATCGGTGTTCCATTTAGTTATTTTAATAGTCCTCAATCAACTAGAAGATGGACTACACAAAATATCATAGTAAAATTGGAATTAACCATCAGAACCGATAGAGAAATGGTAGCATAATAACTACGATAGGAAAAGTTGTTGCATAAGATGTTTTCAAGAATTGTTTGCTAAGTTATCCACTTAAACCATCAAACAAATCAATATACTATTGGTTGTAATTCTAATTTCGAACTGCTAAGTCATATGTTTTTGAAAATGTTATCAACAATAATCATCGTAAACACCCACTAAATTTCTTAAGCCAGCAATGCTTATGTCTTGAAATCACTTATTCCCCCTAGCCATCGATATTCTATTTTCCACTAATAATGTTGTTGTACCCTTAGATGCGCTATATAACGATTGAACTGCTAAATGAAATAAGCGAAAATAATTAATATGAATTGTCCACAGTTTCAGTTTTCACAGCTGTTACTGTTTTACTGTACGTTAAAATATTTATCGGTTTATGTGTTTCTAGTTCATAAAACACTCATGAAAAGGTATAGTATTTAACGTTTCTATCATTTTACATAATTCAGTTATAATTTTTGACTCATTTGTTTATGTACATATTTTCTGTAGAATACTGCAATTAATAAGAAGATTCAGGAGAAATTCAAGTAAGCATTTCTATTGAAGTGACATTTTACACTTCTCGTAAAATATTTTCAATTCAAGTTACCAAAACTAAACCATAACTAAACAATGTTTAGTTATAAAACGATTTAAAATAAGAAAGCGATTATTAAAGTTACAATGGTGAAACAGTTTTGATATGATTCATGAACTTTTCCATGTTGAAAATTAGATCAGTAGATAAAAAAAATTGAGATATGTTCGCTAAAGTAACTCATTCATATGACTGGAGAAAAAGTTTCCTCTTGAGCTAGAATATGACCTTAAATAGTTGTTCAAACAGCTCCTTATAACTTTTATGTCAATTGCGTGTAGGATTCATGTAATATAGCTTATCTATGATAGATTTGTGTTTGTATCCTTAAAACTGTCTGAATGTTTAGTAATTCCCGGTGGAACAATTTTTTACGATAGGAATTAATATTTTCGCTTGTTGATTTTGAACATAGTCAGAATCCCGCTTTCTAAAGAGACTATCCCGAAAATTTACTACAGATAGAGAAACAGAGTGGCTACCCAACCGACTTTCCTGTTATACTCCTCGTTCCCGATGATAGTTTCACCTCAACAATCTTACCAATATCTAATGTTAACGGTGAACGTATCAGGATTTCAGGACAGACTTACTTACAGTAATTGCACCATTGCATTGCGCTAAATTTCGACATGTTTGCTCAAGCCCTTGGAGTTTTTAGTTGAATTCATGGGACCAGATCATAAACAAGAACATCAACTGTTTCAAGTATAACCTCGATTTGTTGGAAAACAAAACCTCACCCACATATGTTTTAACAGAATAGGACTTTTTCTTGTGTTTCTTCAGATTTTATGAGCACCACTTCTTATCGACTGGTTTATAAATAGTTCATGGTGTTTTCCACCCTATTATAATCACTGGTGACGCATTTCAATGGTAGAATGTTTAGGCCGCCCACCACAGCACATATAATTCCGTGCAGAACTCTGAACACCACCCCAAATCCTATTAATTTGTCATTATAGTTTACTTCTACCTTGAATTTCACAGTAAATTTACGATTGTAGCTTTAGAGGTGTAATTTCTTATCTGATCGTCTACAAATATATACAAAAGTACTGGTATCTCATATTGAATGTAAGATTGTCTGTATACTTATTCAGCTTTGATTTGACGTCGCATGGTGTTTCAGTCTCCACACATCGAACTTGTTGCATGTAAAGATATCTTTCATAATATCACTCCATATAATTTGGCCTTTATATTATTTTCGAAATCTGGTATAAATGTAATTGCATGGCACATATATATTCTATTTTTCCTACCATGTAGGGTTTGTCTACGGTATTTCCTACCCCCTGAATGGCCAATGGAAAAAGACCAAATTCATACCCTTACAGATTCTGATCTTGCTAGTTTTCCTTTAGAAGACTTCTTCGATCGCTATGAACAAGGTCTCCGATCTGTAAGTATCATTCTACTTTTATTAGGCTATACAGTTTCGGTTAAACCATTTGCGTTACCAAATTTTAAGATAATTTCCTACCTTTTCTAAAAGCTCGAGTTTTTGTGAACTTTGGTAATAAGTGTCTGCTAGCGATACGCCTAAACTGTCTTCCTAGCCGGTTCCTATAACCCCTACTACTTCCACATGTCAACTGGAACAATGAAGAGATGACTCGAATTGCGAGTAAAAGCTTTATTTAAAGGTTAGGTCATGTACAGAAAAAAACTATTGTATGTACAAAGTTTCGTACAACTTTGGGCTTCTAGAAATTTCTGTAAACATGTTAAATATAGTAGCAATGTAGGTCAATATACAATCAGAACCATGACGTGATTCTTCATTTCCTAGATGTTTCCGCGAAGCTTCTATTCAACACTTATTAGATAAAACATTCCCTGGCGTTTCTGGACCTCTCAAGACTGACGAGATATATTTTGGAACTTATCCAACGACTAGTCAGTTATTTGCTTTGTTTCCGCTGCTCCGATTTTGTTTGGAAACGGAAGTGATCATCATCAGATACGAGTAAAAATTAACCGAGAATTCGAGTTTTATGTCAATTAAAATATGGCCCAGTAATATCAGGTACTACTCCCCTTTTATTATGACATATTTGTCTGAAAAAAATCTACAAAATATATTATGTTTATTAAATGTACAAATTGAATTACATTTGCTTTCGGATGAAATTTACAAAATATGCCAAGTGTTGAGGGCGATTTAAAAAAATAACTCACTGGAAAAATAGCTTTTCTCCAGCGAATGAATCTTCCAATAAAAGAGGGATAATATACCATCCAAAAATGATATTTCGCTATCGATGAAAAAAAGCATTGCATTTGTGTGCTATCTTATGCTCTCCCATCCCCAATTGACCAACAGAATAGTTACTCCTGAACTGAATTCGGAAACATCATCTGTATACACTTGTCTGACTAGATGTGAAATGACCAACCGAATTCAAAACCTGACTCTTTATAAATACTTCGAGATATATTTCAAATAGCAGAAATTGAACTAAGATAAATGAATAGCCACAAATAAGTTATAAAGTTGCTGTATCCCGTATAAAGATTTTTTCATCACAGTTCGCTTATTTACCGGACAAAGTGAACAGATTAGTTTTTTTTAATGATTTCTAACTCAAATTATATACCCTCGAAAATCTCATTTCTTTTATACAGCTCTTGGCCACTTTCCAACAAGAAACCAAAATATGCTCTGATCGATTAACTGAGTTACGATTCAACGTTTGTGAACTATTGAAAAAATATGATCCTGTAAGCTTTAATTAATTAAATAATGTTATCGCAAAATAACGGGCTAGTACTTATAATCTCAGTAACAAATAGCCACATTATGTTCATTTACATGCAGTGTTTTACTCTGTGCAAAAAAATTATTTTATGAATTCTAAGTTTTAATTGGTACTATTTTCAGCCCAAATTCACTTTCCCAATTGTACTTTTCACCATAAATTAACTTACGCCTGCTACCTCTCGTGGAAGAGCATAGGCCGGCCACCGGCACTCTCCATCTAAGCCTGTCCTGGGCAATCATTTTCAGTTCTTTTCAGTTGCCATTCATCCTTGGTTGATGGAGTGATATCTATAGGGAGGTTTGTAGGTGCTGCTTCGATGTCCGGCTGGTTCAGCTAAGCTGGTTTATTCAGGAGTTCCTCTATTCTTGGTTCTTCATTGTGTCGTATGGAGTTTTTTGATAAGGCTTTTTTACAGGATGGGGTTTCCAGTCAGTTAGCTACAAACTAGGACCAGGCACATATATGCATCTCTTCAACTTGCCATACCTCATTAGTACAGCAAGATGAACACCGGATTCATATAAGTAATTAATTCAGTAGTGGTAATATATAAAAAAAAGATTGTGTGTAAGGATATAGTACAGAAAGAAGGAATTAGTTTGTAGAAAGAAAGATGTGAAGCGATTTTAATCTTAGAATTTAAGGGAAGACAGGGAGTGTATACACCTACGCCATTGTGGGGTGGGGTTTCTGACCCCATGTCCAATTCTCCTCCTTTACCCGGGCTTAAGACCGGGTAGCTATAAAACTATCTTAGTCCAAAACCGTAAACTTCAAACTCTAATTCCAAATCATAACTCAAAAAGCCTAAGCCCTGATCTTAGCTGTGATCTTGAATTCTACGTTTTCATCGTAACTATCATTAAAATTTGAATATTAGTCTTGGCATTATAAACTATTCATTCGTATTTGCTGTTTTCCCATCCCCTGAACGGGGTCAAACGTTTGTTAGGATAAGGTAAAAAGTTGCTCAAGCTCACTGTTGTGCTCCAGTTCAATCTTACAGTCGGTTCAGTAACTTTATGTAGTTTTATTTATCATAGACTGACCTTAGTCAGTGCACACGGAGGGGAGCTGGAAAACCCTGTTTCCAAACCAATGGTGCAAAGGAACTCCAGGATCCTGAGGGAACAAATAGCATATGAAACTATTGTTGGTCGCCGGCTACCATGGGATTGCATCTCCTAACGTTGCTCCACTGCCTTGTGGATTAGACTTTTAGGTCAAAGGTTCCGGGTGTGTTCCCCTAAGAAAACTGCCTGCTTCGATCTGGGCACCCTGGCAGTATCACAGCCCACACACAAATAAAATGAAATGACAATAATTACTGGAAATACTGTTCTTACTCCAAATAAAATTCAGACAACTACCCATTTGATAACTTTTATTCTTTTGTATACTACGTCACTTATCTACTCTCTTTTATTCCCACTTTGTGCATTCTTATTTCTCAACTTATACAGCAGCTCACCTATGGTGGAAACCCTGTTCTATCTAAACTATCTATAGTCGAAAGTTGAGTGTTACCACTGATCACGAAAACTGAGAGTCTTATTTGAAACCGCGTATACCATTCAAAATGGCTTCCTTCAACGTTCGCACACTAATGCAGATCGGATAACAGATAAGGTTGGCTTTGTCTTTAGAAAGTCTTAATATCGACGTCTGTTGTCTATCTGAGACCCGTATTCAAGACTCTAGTGAAGTACTACAAATTCGCTCTCCATCTGTCGCTTCGAAAAGCTTGTTTTACGTGCGTTAATCTGGGAACCCCGTGGCATTTTCGTCCGGTTTTGCTGGCGTTGGTGTCGCACTATGCGCTAGAACTGATGCAGGACTAATCCATTGGGTCTTTATTAACAATCGGTTATTTCTGTTAGATTAGAAAGTTCCAACAAATTAAGAAAAAATCGAGATGAGAAATGATATCTTTTTGTCATCGCCTATGTTCCGACAGATTGCAGCTCGAATGCGATCAAGGATGAGTTTAACCACCACCTAACAGTTCCTCTACAGAAAGTGCATTCGACAGATATTGTAGTACTAGCCAGAGACTTGAATGATCAGGCCAGGAGTCTAGGCACAGAAAAGAGCTGTTTAGGTGACCAATGGGGACGTGTGTTGGTCGCAGGTCATATAACAGGGACCGTCTATTGCAACTGTGCGCAGACCAAAACTTATTTCTGACTAGCACTAACCACTAGTACAGTCATCGTCGATGTGCCACCTGGCGCCCTCCCTCTGCATCTCAAGCCCGGACTCAGACTGACCACATCGCGATCAGCTACCGCTGATGTGGTTGTATGCAAGGCTGCCGCTCCTCATAGGGTACCCATCTGGACTCTGATCATGCCCTTGTTCGCGCTAATCTCACTTTACTTTTCAGTGGCCAAAAAATTCATTGTCGTAAACGGATCGACATCAGCAAGTTGGTTGCAGGTTCTATTGTGAGCCCCCAAATGCCCTGGTACGGCCGAGAGTGGGGAGAGTCCGCTCTCCCTCTCGAAATACTCTCACACGGCCACGCGTATATAGCCTCTGCCAGGGAAGTCCTACTCACTGCCTTCTCGTGGCGGGGGTGTTGTTTACGAAAATGAGAGGACGAAAAGCGAATGTCCGGCGCTTTAACCGGATTCCAAACCAATGGTGCACATGGGCTCCAGTATCCTGCGGGAACAAATGGCGAATGAACCAATTGTTGATCACCGGCTTCCATGGGACTGCATCTCCTTACGATGCTCCACTGCCTTGTGGATCAGACCTTTGGGTTGAAGGCTCGGAGTGTGGCCCCCTAAGAAAACCACCTGCTTCGGTTTGGGCACCCGGGCAGTATCACAGCCCTCACACATATCGGATGAGATTTGTGTGGCGCATATGTATTTGGTGCCTCTTTGTACCATTATCTATGTGTTGAAATAAATAAATAAAATAAATATCAAACGGAGCTAGATTCAAGGCTAGCTAACATCTCACCGAAAAGTATAGATGATCATTGGTTGCGATTGCATGACGGCATGAAAATGGCGAGTAAAGTCGGTTGCGATTTGCGAAACGTCCCTCTTACAAGCTCTGGGTTTCTGTAGGCTCCTTACAACTCATTGAAGCCCGTCGGACTACTCAGGGTGACTGTGGTTTTGACCACAAATGACGACTGTTACGTAATGAACTTGAGCAAAGCTTGCGTAAGGACCGAAACGTCTGGGAGTTAGAGCGTGTGAGTGAGTTGAAAGCAGCAGCTGCATCTGGTAACTACCGAAAACGTTCGACTCGTCCGAGCCACTGGCAGCAAGAAGTCTGATGTGAGCGAAAAAATCTGTGATGACGGGATGCCAATCATTAACATTTATCGACGTTCTAGGCGAGGGGCAGTTCAACTAGTCGGCTACCTCGGCAAAATCGATTAGGCTCTGCTGCTTTCCATGGCATCTGACGAATACTGGTCCATCAAATTAGGCGAATGTCCGCAAGGAACTCCAAATCTTGAAACGCTAGAAATCACCTGGCCCAGATGACTTTCCTCCGGCTCTTAAAGATTTTGGTAACTTTCTGGTTAAGGAACTGACTGAGTGGTTTACGAAGGTTTGGCAGTTAGAGTGTTCCAACATCGTGAAATGAGTTGATAATCGTCCCTATCTTTAGAAAAGGTTCACGTCGTTCTTGTAACAACTATCGAGGGATAAGTCTACTTCCGATTGCATCTAAACTATTGGCTTCCGTCATGCTTCACACGTTGTTCAAAACTTGAGAAAGATTAACTCGCTGTGAGGAGCAGGCTGGTTTTCGTTCTACTCGAAGACGTATTGAATATACCTTCGCCCTCCGCCAAATGTTAGAACACCTCCATAATTATCAAAGGCCAACAATCGTAGTGTTTCTTGACATCAGGGCTAACTTCGATTCGTTGGACAGGATTGTTCTCTGGGATTGTCTATTGAAGAAGGGTGTGCCTGAGAAGTTTATTAACATCCTAAAAGCCCTATATACAAACACCTCAGGCAGAGTGAGGGCATACAATCACCTTTCTCCATTGTTCTATTCAAGCAGTGGGGTTAGACAGGGTTGCCCAATCTCACTATTCGTCTTCAAATTTGCTATCGATGACATTCTGGAAACAGTTCTGATGGGTGTTAGTAGCGGCGTGGACCTGTTGCCTAGAGAAAAACTCGACTCAGAGTATGCGGATGTTATTGTCTTACTGTGCGATAATACCCAAGACATGCAGTTCGCACTTAGTCAGTTGACAATTCGTATCCGTAGGTATGGTGTATGCTTTGCACCTTCTAAGTGCAAAGTACTTTTACAAGACTGGTAGGACCCTGATCCTGCACTCACCTAAGATAGTGAGCAGATAGAAGTAATCGAGAAGTTCGTGTATGTAGGTAGCTGCACAGATGCCGGTGTTAGCGTGAGAGATCAGATCGATTCACTTATAGTGAAAGTCAGAGCGGTTTAATGCCAATCTGGGCCATCTTTGGCGCCTTTGTGATTTATTCTGGCTGTGAGAGGTCGGATCTACAACGCGACGGTGAGAGTAGTTTCGCACTATGCTTGTTAAACCTGGCCTCTCCGAGTTGGGGATGTTAGACGACTCTGTGTTTAGTCGTCTTTGTCTCCGAAGTATTGCTGACATCCTGTAGCAACACCATGTTAGTAATGCAGAGGTTTGGCACTGTACGTTCGGGCACAGTGACGATGATTCAATTGGTGTCACTATCTTGAAACACCGACTTCGGTGGCTTGGACATGTTCTATTAATGTCGTCCCAGACAATTGCACGTCGTGCATTATTTACCGACGCTGGAACTGTTTGGAAAAAGCGGGGGTGGTCAGTGTGTGACATGGTGTCGTGGTATATCAGCTGTACAGGACTGGCTTATGTTGGTCTTTCACGACTCCCTGGTCGGCTCCTAGAAATGGTGCAATACAGTGGCCCGAAACGTTATTAGATATCAGAATAGAAGCCAATGACGATCCTGTCTTTACTTTGTTTTACTTTCATAAAAAGTGGATGTAGCTTCTTTAACTGCAAGAATTCTTTCTGATTGTACCTTTGCTAACTGAACTGCTTTTCCTACTTTTATTATTTTATTATCATTGTTATTGTGTGGCGCATATGTATGCCCCTTTGTACCAATACTTATTTATTCAAATAAATAAATAAAATGGTCTAGATAATAGTGAAAACCAGAAAGCATTGGCTACTTGCTTCTTCCTATTGTAGTACTAGATCATGAATCCATGACCAAACTTATAATATTCAGGTTCATTCAAGAACCACGTTCCCAACTCCAACGATTTTGCCATGATCATCTAATACTGCAGGGTACAACGGTCTTGATCCTGATACTTAATACCATAGCATTTTATTTAAAACCTGGTGTCGCGATTTGCATGTTACTTAACAGGTCGCTAAGCAACGGTGATTTTAAAACTAGTTTATCATGATACATTTCTGACAAAACATTTCTGGACTGGTGCCGCTTATATCCAATCTCACATATATACCACTTTTCTTTCTACTGTAGAGCTTCACTGAACCACTGAGCGACGGTGAAGAAGTTGACAATTATATCAGAAATTTCCTTAATAAAAATTAATCTAATTGTAATAAAGGCAGCCAAACGTGTTTTTAGAATTATTGTTGTCAACAAGATCATTGTATACCACTTTTTATCTCTGATGCATTCAGTTTCTCCGAATAAATTCTCCTTTCCCTCTAATTCCTCTAATTTTGTAATTTTCACATGCTTTATTCATTCCTCTATTATTGGAGTGTATATGCAGCTATTGTTAAATACTGTTTATTTATAAACATAACTACTTTGAACGAACACCTTATCATATTATTCTGATCTTGTTGAATCTCTCAAACGATCCCTAAACTTCTTTGTGCAGATTTTATTGTCCTTCAGAACTACTACTAATTTCACGCTTTATTATTTCAGAGGGGACTACATACATTTGTCTATCTAGTACATAAACATTCTCTGTATATGTCTATAGAACTTGTTAATAATCGTAATCACTATAAAGCATTCTTTTTCACTCCACTGTCTTTGTAATTATTTCTCTCATCCCATCCATTCATTTCTTGTTGTCAATCATTTAGTCAATGTATCTTGATTACATGTTACTGAATGGTTTCATGAAAAAACGTCAATCATGTCATGCATTCATCTCACGTTTATATTCCTTTATTCATAAAGACTTGTCCAAGACCACCAGTAACTACTATAATTACTACCACTGCTACTGGGAGATACTCGTAAATAATCGAATAATTTGCCATTAGCTTTATCGCTGTACAGTCATCACCATTTTGTGTTACCCATTTCCCCTGTCCTTTTCATGTGTAATCGTTTTCAAACTAAAGAGTAAGAGTTATCCGATAGTCTTTTTCCTTATACACATGTTTGACATGCATAAAAATTTCGTATGTTAATACCTCATAATGATACAAATGTTTCCCGTGTTTTTTATAAAATTAAATTAGTCAAGTATGCTCTGTCTGTTTGTTTGAAGTCTCTTAAGTACCTAATGTTGGTTGTAATGAAAAATAAACTTGTCATAATCAGTAATCAGGAAGACAACCTCTGACTTAGGTTGTGTGAAAGGAATATTCACGCGTGAAATTACAGTGATCAATAAGCATTACTTAGGAAATATACTCCTATCTTATTGAAAGCATTAGTGTCAATACGGTAAATAAACAGATCATTCTAGAATCGTCCATCCGAATACATCGTATTAGACCGAATAAGGATATAATATTACAAAAAATTGCTTCGTATAACAAAACGTAACACTGAGCCACATTTTTCGGTCCGATGCTCAGCTTCTCAATAAGTCACAAGCTCAAACCTTGTTCAACTTAAGATTTGGCAACTACACAGTACTAATTTTCCTCACAAACGATATAACTTGAATAAATGAAGGAGGTCAGAGCAAGATTGAGAACGATCAGACTAGGACTAAGCGCCCCACTCACACGAAAGCTTGTGTATTATACATAAAAAAGACTCAAGTGAGTACATAGAAAAAATAACGTCTGGGATTATTTCCCAGCAACTACTCAGCACATCTATATTTCCCATCCAGATATGGCTATCGGAATATACCGACATGTTCCAGAGTTAACCCCAAAGCACACAAAGAAGCAGAGTTGATGGTTCAGCCAACCAATCACAAAGTAAAACCTTTACGTATGTACATCGACTCAATTTGCCGTACTCATTTGGTACACCGAGATGAAATTCTTAGGCATTAACATATAGTTTAGAGCGCAGTTTCAGGAGACTAGGAATAACATTTCATTAAGTCGTCGTTAGCATTGGTGGCACATGTTTACAAAGATAAGTGATGACTGATCATGGTGGGAGTAATTATTAATAAGTTAGGTTGCGACTCGTTCGTCGACAGATGATCTCGAGGGTGATCGTCACTGTCCCGTTGCCCACACTGGAAGAATACTTGTTCTTGAGGGGCTCGTTAAAGAAGCTGAATTAGTAGTGATCTGAGTCGCCTGGTAGCGTGACCGCATAGCTTGAGGGACAAGTGCTTGAGGCAGGTCGCGCACGGCCTTTTATAGGAATTCATTAGTGTTAACTCCCTGGCTCCAGTTTTCCTTACCATCAAACGGAAGTCCATAGGGGTGAGGTGTCACACTTCTAGAGTCCACCTTTCCTAACCCACCCATTCCATTGTAAGACAACATCGCTGCTATGCTGATTGTCTGAGGGAAACTCCTTACGCTCATGATTTTGAGATGAAGATTTGTAGCTCAGGTAGATAATTTTGATGGTCTTGTTCTCTGAGCTGGATGATTTAGTCATAGAGCTTTCATCTTACTACTTTCACACCCTTACACAGTCAGCAGTACGACTTCGCCTTCGAACCCTAACTTACTACTTTAAATCTTACCGTTCTTCAACTGACATGGTAGGACCTATAGGAAAATGTGTCCCAGCTAATATGGCTTGGTTTAGTCCACAATAGGTAGGAATGACTGTCACGCAGTTGCGGTTGCATTATTTACCACCAAGTCCACATGTCGCCTTAAAATCAGGTATGTGTTTGTCTGGTAAATTCAATCATTTCCCTTACTTGATTACGTATACTACATCTTATTCTCAAGATAAATAAAAAATTCATGTCTTAGCTGTCTGGAATGTGCTTTTTATATCGGATAAGTAACGGTAAGTAAAAAGCCCCAAGAGACCAATGATAGTATTATTTTGGAGTCGCCAAACGGATTCTGAACAACAAATAATGATGATATCCTCGTGACACTTATATACGACTGTTTTTAAATTAACGATAACATACCGAGGGTACAGATCCAAATGTTTAATTTATCTCTTAACACTTATATCGTAATATATTATAATTGTTTTTTTCCGCTTGTGAACTGAAGAATCTAACACAAGCAAACGAATGTGTAAGATCTTTATTGAAGGTTAGGAAGTAGGTAGTGTTCGGCGGTAACAAGTACAGGTTCTTAATCAAGAAATGAAACTGATAAGAACATAAAGACAATGTATTATGTTAGTCGTACACACAAGTATGTATAACCAGTATCACGAATGCTGCGAAATCCCTACAGTTGGGTGAAAGATATATTTAGACAACTAGAGACATGGACTTGAAGGTTCTAAATTTAGTATCTGGAGTAAGAAAAGTCTCAGATTAGGTCATCTGCCAAAGTAGATGTGTGTACCAACCGCTTCACTTATCTTGGGAGTCTCATGAGTTCTGATGTCACGAAATATCGGTACACATTTTAAAGGCTCGACTGACTTCTGCTCAACTTCATTCACTTTTGGTGTAGGCGAGATACCCGTCTTCTGACCAAAGGACAAGTTCATTGCGTAGCGGTTCGCCCCGTCCTACTTTACGAATGTAAAACAGCCATCAAGAGTAGAGAGTATCCGTAGGTTACTGGTATGCGATCACAGATATATTCGAAGCATTGCTTGTATTTCGTCACCACGGAGTATAAAATGTCTGGGCTGGGAGTAGGATATTAGGTAAGATGGGAAATCGATTGATGAGGTAGTAAGTCACCAACTGAGGTGATTGGGACATGTGTTACGTATGCTGAACCACCATATACCTCGACGGGAAATGTTTCCTGGTGTAGAATTAGGCTGTAAGAAGACAGAGGAGGCCAAACCCAAACATGGCATTAGCCCATAGTTACTGACAATTGGATTGAGCCATGTTAATAGGTGTAGAGAAGCTGGTTAGTGTTAGTGATTATCGTAAGCAAATTGTTAGAATTTGAATGACACGGCTCAACATCGTTTGCAACGGAGCAGATGTTTCCACATTGTCTTTCCCCAAACTCTGAGACTCCTAAATCCTCATAGATTTTGTTTTTGTTTCACTAATATGCATTCTCTTAGCGAATCATATTTCTGATGCCTAACATTTTGTATTACCACTGACACTGTTACTATCTCTACTATTGTGGGATTTAGCCTGAGAATTTCATCTCGATGTACTAAATGAGTACGGCGAATTGAATCGATGCACATACGTACCAGGCTTTACGTTGTGACTGACTGATCTAGGTCAAAAGCAATATGCCTGGATAATTCACAATAATGTGAATATAAGTTCAAGGAATCACATTACAAGCGTGCATGTGGTTTTTAGAAATTGCGAAGGAAAAACTTATCGCAAAACATAGAGTAAATTCACAGATGAGCAGTTAAAGGCAAGAACCCCATCATACACGTAATCAGTTTCGCTAGTTTTTGTGAAGCGATATACATTCATGTAACGTGTACATTCGATTTCCTTTTGATACACAAAATGAAGTGTATGAGAATGTTTCAGAACGGTAAAATCGAGTTCAAAATAAACAGCAGTTGCTTCTTGCATACAGCATTTTGTTAGTACTGCGTGACTGGTATCAGGTTGGAACAGGTTCATGTAGGAAGTTATATTTATGTTAAGCGAAAACATCCATTAATTCCTCAGGAAATCAAAGAGTTGTGCAATAAACCAGCCCATCCAACTTCATTATTGACTGCATTACGACCTTCGAGTAAGAATAATGTGTCTTCACATCATGGTGTGTCTGAAACACTGTTGGTTTGTGGGTCGTTTATGTAAACCAATAAACTAGAACCAATCAAATATTCTACAAGTCATCAGCACTAAAACATTGAATTAAATACTTTTATCTTATGATAGTGATCTGGTAAATTTACACAAAACCTTGAACCTTAATAAGTTAAGGTAATCCAAGGGGGTTGCATTTAACTTGAATGTCAAGACTCACTAGATATATATTCTTCTTTTAAAAGGTAGAAATAAACCATTAGACTCTGACTCACAGAGAATCATACTGACCAAGCATAAAGAGAACCTATTCCCATTATAAACTGATCATGGAATAATTTATTAGCATTGATTTATGGTGATAATAATAATAACAATAATAATCAATACATCATCATAAATATCGTCATAAATCGGTTGGAAAATATTTCATTTGAATTGTCCTTTTATTATCAAGTAGATTTCATTCTTAAATTGAATTCGATGTAGAGAACTGTATCGGTTCCAACAAACCAGCTTCAATCATAGGACAAGTTGGTCCACCACTACTGTTACCATTTCGATTATTATTTGTTAATAATAATCTCGGACAATATCTTATTGTATGAGCACGATCTTTAGTAGCACCGCATAATGGACAAGTAAATTTACGTAGAATTGGACAAGTTACTCGACCAAAACGATCTTTAACCTGGATTATAGATGGGAACAAAGCGTCCGTGTACTTATATATTTATATATCTTGTATTTATTAGAATAAAAAAATTGCATTTTTGGTTTGGTACATCACGAGATTGAAAACAAAAAATAAAGTATATGATCTTTCCAACAAACACTCGATTAAAGGAAGTACTGCTAGTACTGTGGTGTGCTACTGATGTCGACAGATATAAGTAGTATGTATGATCAATCAAAAGTGAAATGCTTGGAGGTAGAAGGTTACGAAGATCGAAGAGAATAAGAATAGAGAATGATTGGTGTGGAAATAAATGTATGAGATAATTGATTGACATTTTGCAAATAAACTATTTACTGAATGGTCCCCAGATTTCACTAAGATATTCTGTAATTTCATATTTAAATACATTCGATTGTCTCCACTTGTGTTCTCGTTCACTACACTACTCTGCTACTACCAAATGTTTTAATCACCTATTGTGTTGATATATGATTTACACTTACTCATAAAACATCAGAAATCAGACTTCCTATTTATTGTGATATTACAAATAAATTGTTTTATCACTACAAACCATCCACTGACCAATCTATTCGAAATTATCAAAGTTTTACTTAAAAACTGATAACTAATTGTTCAATTATATTTAAACGCTGATAACCTTGATTCTATTTAACCTTGTTGGTCAATTTCTATCCAAACTATCCTAAGATTTATATGATGCTGGTGTATGACTTTTGCCTCATGACAATAACTCTGCACATTTAACACTGATTTTATCTGAGATTATGATCCGTCATAAATCAGCCTATCAACTACTCACTAAACTTAATTTTCCCCAATTTCCTATGGTTCCCGCAATCCAAAATGCGAATATGAAGGGAGGGTAACATTGGGAAGATATAAAGACGATAAGATGTGAAACAAAGAAGTTAAATAAATCCAACTTCTGTCTTGAACCACGAAAATGGGAATAGTACATTTATATTGTCATAAATGGTGACTATTACAAAAAGACGTCAAGATTGATATACTCTGAAGTTTGTGAAGTATTTTTCATGATTTCAATTAGAGTATTTATCTAACAGATTATATATTCGCTAGCTTTCTGATTAACTTTTCTTATCCAAACTAAACAGTATTGACAAGATTCGTGTTAAAAAAATCATCGAATAAAAATACTAATTTTGGTTTTTTCTAGTGTAAAATTGTTCGAGCACTAATAAATCACTCTATATTGGTAGACATTAGCATGTTTGCCCAATTCTTTATGGTGATCAAATTGTATCGATCGTGTTGTAACATTATTCATCAGTCTATGTTATTTGATACTGTAGGTGGACTGTTTGGTTTTATGTCGTTCAATTCACTCAACAGGTAAAAGTGAATTTAAGTTGCGTTCTGACCTGTTTGACATCCCTGATTATAACACTGAATGATGACGCGACTTAGGACCCATTTATGCAGCGCCAATCACTTAAAGACTTCAGATGCACAGCTCGCTGATGAGTAATGACATTAAAAAAACTTAAGTCTAGAGCTTCCTTCCAATTTCACCCGAGTTTACACATTGCACAAAAAAACATATCATTTAACTTGTCACAACTCACAAGAGAAAACCAGTAAAAATGGGGAGTTGACGATATAGGGCTACGAGTTATATAAGTTATATTGAGTAATGAATGGTGGAATGCTCAGGACCTCTAACCACTAGTTTGCATTATCTTAAGGCTCTCACAGTTGGGGTGATCCAGAAAGCTTCTCGCAAATGACGAGAAAGGATTAGGAAACACTAAGAGGCATTTTAGCCAATCAGCGTTCATTAAAAGTCTAGACAGAAACATCAAGGAAGTGAAGTCACATGAAGAGTTTCTGGTGGGCTGATTACTATATCGCTACTATGTTTGGCAGCATTCCAGAATTTTCGGGAAACCCAAGGACATCTAAAATATTATAAAAACCCTATATTTTCTGTATTAAAACGAACGTTTGGAGTAAAGTACCTATCGTATACTTTGCCCCTTTTCTCTCGTGTTCAGGTCGCTGTGTAGTTCTAGCTTGAGGGTTACGAGAATAGCTTAAGAACCGAACACAACGTTCAATTAGCGAGACTTATCATTCACCTAGAAATTTTACATCGTGCAGTTTTACTTTTGGACGTATAGTATTAGATTTACTTAAAATCCCCACGGGTCCAGCTGTATGTAAGAGGCGAAATCATTAAAACGTAGACGAGTTGGAAGAAACTTAGTAAGTATCTATAAAAGTTAATTTTCATCTGTTTAGTATCTAATAACAGTTAGATGTGCAAGAATAAGAACTGATCCTGTTCTTAGTTGATCCATGAGTGATGATATTCAGAAGCGAACTACTACAGTTCTTCATCACATATCATCTCAAGTTTACCTGTTTTACTACAACAAGCAACGGCAATGAAGAGTTAATCCTCACTCTAATGGAACACTTCAACCACGATTACTAAGGTGTCTTGAAATTAATTCTGGTCGTAACGATTTGTAGCCAAGTAGAAAACCACTTCATCTGGACTATAGCAGAAGCTTTTGAAAATTAGCTCGATCATTTCAAGTATTAGTTGAGCTACCATTGATTAATTTACCTCTATCTCCTTTAATTAGCTAGTAGTTTTTCAACAAACTTTTAATCAATCATTCATTAACAATAACTAGACATATCCAAATCAATTACGGCTGACTGTTTCAATGACTATTACTTCTATTATCACCATTATTCATTCAAACGTTTGGCATGATTGTTTAACTCATATATCTAGGTTATACAGTCACTCATCGATGAACCATGCATAATTCATTATCCACCTCTTAACATCCAGGTATTATACACAGATACAACCACCCTTTTGTCATCAAGATACATTCCATAATTGAGAAGCTCCCAGATATAGTTAACTGTAACTCGATTTACACAAATTTATCTACGCTGTACAGATTAGGCGATATATATGGTGAGGTTTCATATCATACAGAATATTTAGACTACTTTAGAAAAGAAATAGTTCAAGCGATAAATCAATATAGAACTAATGAACTGGGTATTTTCTTGTAAAGTAACTAGTTCTATTTCTGTAATCAAAATGAAAAACAAAACTCTTGAAAACAATAATTTCACTCACTTTATGACTAGTATACATCTCTTTAGGTTCATTGTTGTTACGACAAAATACACACAAGTCTACATTTGCTTCTAATAATCTTTGAGTAGAAATAGCCATATTTTGTAGAAATTTTGCTAAATCTAGTAAATGACTTTCATCCAATGTTTGATTTGATGTTAAACATGTATAAATGCTAAAAAGGTAATCATCATTTCGTAAATTATTGAATATATTTTAAAACTAAATAAGACCGTTATGAAAAGACTAATTTGCTCATATTACTCTCCAATAATCTAAAAAGAATAGTTCCTAAGATGCTTTGCTCAAACATGAGATACTGTAGCAGTGAAAACCGACAACTCCCCCAAGGATCGAAATCAGAACTTTCAAGCCTCATATCGAGTATATAATAAGTATGGAATTTTTTAATTCGGTAGAATTCAAATTGGAATCAGCCACTGTGATATAAAGATTCTAACACTGAGTTGTTTAGGCGGCCTAAAGCTTAAAATTGATGTTACCCCCGGTGTTTGAATCCAAGACTGGAAGTACTAGGATGACATTTTTCTCACTGGTTAACTTCAATCAATCCGTGAATAACGTCTGCACACATGTGCTAACAGAAACTTTTGGAACTAGTCACTTACTGAATATGACCCTACTTATCCACACTGAAACCATAAATTGTTTGAATTTTTAACAAGATTTCAAGATATGTACATATCTTGAAATCTTATTAAAAATTCATAACCTGTAAAGCCAAACAAGCTGGATGTCAAATAGAAACTACTTAATTAAATTGTGTAAGAATCGAATTCTTCTACACACCAATGAAAGACCGGACCCGACCGTTGTTGCTACCTTGACGTGGTGCTCGGGCTTGCCTATCGTGATGAAGCAACCGAGCTATACTGGCTGGAACAACCGTTCCTCAAGGTCCTACCATGTCAGACAGGTCGGTTGAAGAGCGGTAAGACTAACAGCAACAAACCCAAGGTCCGAAGACAAGTTCATACCGCTGACTGTACAGAAGTGTGACGGCAGTAAGGTGTTTCCTTCAGACAACCAGCGTGACAGCGATGTTGCCTTCCCACAAGGAGGAGTGGGGCTAGAAAAGGTCGACCCTAAAAATGCACACCTGGCCTTATCCCACGGATACCCGTCTCCGGCGGTAAGGTCTCAACAAGTACGGAGATAACACAAAAATTATCCATAAAAAGGTCGTGTGTGACCGACCTCAAGCAGTTGTCCCTTGGGCACTGCGGTCACGCTCCCAGGTCACTAAGACCACCTCTAATCCAATTTCCTTTTCAGGTACCTCCAGAAGAACCCTTACACGGTGTGGGCAACCGGGAAGTGATAACCGCCCTCATACTTCTAACAGCACTCAAGACCACTGGATTCATAATCAACTTCCGTATTCAATTCTTATTATTCGTCCTACATCGAATTTCACCTCTAAACTTCATCTTTCGGCTTCCCCCTTAAGTATCATCATAGCCAACGATTCTAGTGCTCAAAACACTGTCTCAGGTCTACTGAAACCTCGCTCCAAACTTCACATTGGAGCGTTCAACGTACGCACCTTATGTCAAATCGGTCAACAGGCTTCTTTGGCTAGAACCCTAGAATCTCGTACCATTGATGTATGATGTGTCTCCGAAACACGCATACAGGATCCCCATGTGGTCATTCACTTGACCTCACTTCGGCAAAACGGAGAGCCGACGAGATACACCCTCCGTGTATCTGGTGACTCAACAGCCAGCTCTCGTGAACTGGCAGCAGTACGGACAGCACTAAGCATCAGGGCCGAACAAGCACTGTTATAGTGGATCCCCATTAACAGTCGTCTATTTGTTGTTCGGCTAAACGGCTTCGTAAGAACTCGGAAGGATAGGGACACACGCCGTTGCCTTTTTGTCGTTTCCGCGTACGCTCCCACTGACTGCAGCTCAGATGAAGTGAAAGATGAATTTTACAGAAAGCTCTCTGAAGAAGTTCAGAGAGCTAAACGTTCAAACGTAGTACTCGTAGGGGGTGACTTTAATGCTCAGATAGGTAGCTTAAACCAAACAGAAAGGCATTTAGGTGGGTATTTTAGTATCCCGGCACAACGAACAGATAACGGTGATCGTCTGCTGCAACTGTGCTCAGACAATCGCTTATTTTTAGCAAACACAAATTTCAAGCATAAGGAGAGACATCGTCTAACATGGCGAATCCCTACACCAAACCAACGATGGACTCAAATAGACCATATTGCCATCACTCATTGTTAGAGAGGGTCGGTAGAAGATTGTCTCTCATTCTGGAGTACTTGCTTGGATACCGACCACGCCCTAATACGGGCACGCATCTGCTTGCGCCTCACTGGACACGAAAAAGCTACACTAAAAAGAGCCATTAGAACTGAATTGAGTAGCGAGAAAACCAAAAGTAGGTTCCACCAACAACTGAGGTCCCAATTAGGTAGTTCTGAAAACGAGGTTGACCTAGATGTTGCCTGGAAAGCTATACAAACAGCTGTGGAAACAGCAGTTGCATCTATCAGTGATTTAAACCGCATGATTATAAAGAACCAATGGATTTCCTCAAGGTCTATTGCACTTATGGATTCTCGTAAACCCATCCCATCAGGCTCTGAACACGATGAAGAGCGTAAAGAAATCAGATCTAGGTTAAGAAAAAGTCTAAGGAACGACCGTGAGCAGTGGTGGGTAACGAAAGCAAAAGAGATGGAAACGGCGGCCGCTATAGGGAACACAAGACAACTCTACAGACTAATAAAAGAAACTGGAATTAATAAGTCAATTGTAAGTGAGATTATTTCGGATAAAGACGACACCTTCATCTGCTCTCAGTCCAGACGTTTAGAACGATGGGCGGAACACTTCGGAGAACAGTTCAGCTGGCCTTCAGCTACTCTTAAAATACCCTTCATTCCCAGACAGTGTAAATGGAACATCGAAGTAGGTCTCCCAACTCCAGCAAAAGTTCAAAATGCTATAGCTAATCTGAAACGAGGAAGGCCAGCTGTTCCAGATGGATTGGCTCCAGAAGTCTTTAAGGATGGTGGTCCTATTTTAGCGATTAGGTTGACTAATATTTTGGCTAAGATTTGGGAGTTAAACGTTATTCCATCTGACTGATCACAATCACTTATCGTCCCAATATATAAGATAGGGTTAAAATCATCCTGTGACAACCACAGAGGGATTAGTTTAACTAATATAGTATCTAAAATACTAGCCTCACTAATAATCAGACGCCTAACTAAAACTCGTGAACTGCGAACACGAGAAAACCAAGCTGGCTTCAGACCTGGTCGCGGCTGCATCGACCAAATATTCACCATTCGTTAGGTTATAGAACACAGGTATACTTATCGGCGTCCGACAATGGTGGTCTTTCTTGACTTCAAAGCAGCATTTGACTCCGTAGATTGCGAGATTCTATGGCAGTGTCTGTCACTGAAAGGCATACCCTAGAAGCACATAAACCTTGTGAAGGCTCTTTATTCGAATACTACCAGTTGAGTCAGAGCTTATGGCAAACTGTCATCTGCTTTTGCAACCTCAAGTGGTGTCCGTCAAGGCTGTCCACTTTCTCCATTTTTGTTTAACTTCATCAGACCTCCTGATGGAAATAACATTCTCGTCTACTGAATTCTAGAATATTGATCTCCTTCCAGGAGGTCCACTTATCGACTTAGAATACGCAAATGACATAGTCCTGTTTGGTGAAGATGCTGACAAAATGCAGTCTTCTGTTAGCACTAAGCAACAATGCTAGAATGTTTGGAATGCGCTTCTCTCCCTCTCAATGCAAGCCGTTGCTTCAGGACTGGTCTGCGTCAACACCTGAACTAAGGATAGGGAGTGAAGTAGTCGAACACGTTGACAACTTCACTTATCTTGGAAGTTTGATCAGTCCTAATGGGTTGGTGTCTGACGAAATCTCAGCACGGATTCGAAAAGCTCGTTTGGCTTTTGCCAAATTACGTCACCTGTGTCGAAGGCGAGATATCCGTCTATCGATAAAAGGACGAGTATACTGCGCGACAGTCCGTTCTGTTTTAATTTACGGTAGCGAAACATGGCCATTAAGAGTAAAAGACACTCGTAAGCTACTAGTATTTGACCACAGATGCCTTAGAAATATTGCTGGCGTCTGCTGGGATCACCGGGTAAGTAATAGTGAGGTTAGACGCAGGGTATTAGGGGATGATGGTAAATCAGTTGATGAGGTTATGAATCTTCATCGACTGAGATGGTTGGGCCACGTGTTACGTATGTCTGAACACCGATTACCAGGACGTGCAATGCTAACGGGTGTTCGATATGATTGGAAGAAAGTTAGGGGCGGCCAAACCAAAACGTGGCATCAGTGTTTGAAGTCACTAACTTCTAGTCTGATCCATGTTGGTAGATGCAGACTACTTGGGGTCCGCGTGACTTTCGTAACCAATGGTTGGAGACTCTTGGTGACATGGCTCAGAATCGGTCACAATGGCGTCGGTGTATACACTCCCTGTCTTCCCTTAAACTAAGAGATTAAAATCACTTCATATCCTTCTTTCTACTAACTAATTCTTTCTTCCTGTACTATATCCTTATTACAATCTTTTTTTATATATTACCACCATAACTGACTGACTGACTGAAAGACTAGAGTAACAGCAATTATTGCATTCCAATCCGACAGCTCAATGTTATCCAAAGGGTAGAAAAGTATTTTTATGTTGATTGATAAGTGTATATTGATAAGGCATTCGGAAATTAGGACGAATCAGCTACGCAGTCAATCTTGATTATCAAAGGTTTTCCAGTCTGAATGAATCATTCTCTTCATTCGACTCAAATTGGATTACTGAGTTCACTACATTTTTGATATTGAAGACTCAAATTTTACATCAAGTTAAAACTCATTAAAACCGTTACAGAATTAAAATTGATAACATTTTATGTTGACCTTCATTCACAAAGCAATCAATTTGTAAAATATGCAAACTATAAACTTTTCTTGAACAGAACTAAGACAACTATGCAAACCTACTTTAAGAACAATTCTTCAGTCAGTCTACATGTAGTGTCTTTGCTTCTCTAATCTATCACCCTTGTAACCATTGTAATATCAATCTCAACAGTGTTTGAAATCAAATTGCAATGAGAAGCGGCAACTACAGTTTATTAGCGGATAGCGAAATCACAAAACTACAATCACATCAAGCGAATTTGAAGCAGGGAGGCGGATATGTGTGTGCGGACAAATACAGAAGCAAATTTATACTCAAATCCCATAAGCGCACAGTAAGGATTTGAGTGCATACATACATAAGGAAGAGAATGAATCATCGAGTGATGTTTAAGTAATCAACTTCTTAGCTAGAGTCTGTCATGTGATCTCGAGATCGTAGTGGTGCAAAGAAATAGACGAATTGTTACTGTTCTATTAATACTGTCTGTTAAGTAAGTTAATAAAAGGGCTTAATCAAAATTAACTATGATCGAAATTGGCTGTAGGATAGTTGCTACATCCATTTGAAAAATATAGGTCTGTAAAAAGAAGTGAAGTTACTTCATAACAGAATTTTTACAATTTGGCTCATGAGCCTAATATCATCAGTTCAGACTTTAGAATTGTACTACTCACTCAGCAATAAGTAGTAAACGTTCCTCAATCACTAAGGCAAACTTCTTAACTAAATAAACTCTTCAGTTAATTGAACTGATCAGTTTGCATATAAGAATATAAGAACAATATCAAGAAACCAACAACCCTATTGCCAACAGATTATAGATTACAACTGATTGAATGAAATTATTAAATTAGACTTAGTTTGAAACTTTAACAAATACAAGAAATTGATTAAGAGGTATTTCATTCCAAACGTCAAACCATTAAATACAGTTGTAGTGCATTGTTTTAGCTAACATTAGACCATTAATGTACTTCTTATATAAAATATGCGCATATACTGCACTTATCAGTGTACAAAGAATTTATTATTATTATCTTTGTAAACATTCACAATACAAAAGATCAAAATGTCTATCATACCTTAATAATACTAAAAAAGTGGTTCGTTCACAACTAACTACATTATTCTTGACTGTAAACAACTAAGCAACAATATGATGAATACAAATGAAAATATACAAAGAAGATATATCACAATATGATATATGATATGATAAATAGATTTCACTTACTATTTTTATAAAAGATATCAATAAACTTGAAGTAAATGAGTGTACTTTCAAAGTATTAAAAACAATATAACGAGTTAATTACTATTACTACTGCTACTCACATATTTCTCCATCCAATCATACATCGAATATAATCTAAATACTGTTCTGTTTGTCTTCTACTACCACTACTACTATTATTAGTAGTATGACCATAACTAATTAGATCTCTAGCTAAAAAGAAAAATAAGAAATACATATGAATCGTAATATAGTGATTAATGTACATGTTCTTTTATTTCTAAGTGCAACTACTAAACAACTTGATGAGATATGGAACCATGTTTTGATTGGACGTGTTTACAGTGAATTAATAAATTAAATATATCAGAATGGGGGATTTGTGGAAGATTGTAGTAATTTCAATAAATGAATTAATGAGTCAATCTAATTTAGATTACCAGTGAAAACCTGTGAAATTATTATAATCTCCCCAAATCTAAATTCCGATAATAATCATGTGCTTACTGGTGACTAGCATCAAAATGGATTACTTGGAATCCTAGTGAAAAGCCGTAATCAGTTGAGTTCAGTCCGTGTCGAGTACAGACAGTTATCAATGTAAGATAATGAATGAAGGGTTAGGAAAGATCATGGGTTGATTGAAGTTAGACCTAGTCTGGAAGTTGTGTTCGTGCGTGAGACTAAAGGTCTCGGGTGCGAGTGCCGCGTAAGGGGTTATGAATGCGCATTTGTGAGGAGCTTCATACTAGGAGGGGACGGCCGTTCAGTGCTCCCAGGTTTTTTATAGTGGTCCAACCTAGATCGACTCATGAATCCAATTACTAAAATTACAATATGTCAAATTCTAGTTTCTAATTTACTCAAGAACATTTGAATGTATTAGCAGTATATCCTGAGAGTAGGGAAAAGCTTGTATATATTTACAAATTATATTACACGTAGTATGTTTGCTATGTAACCACCTAGTGAACTAGAAAGTGATAGTGCTGTATTACAGGATGCCCGAGTTACTAAGAACACCAAATCCTGTGTAATAATCATATCAGTGTTGCAGAACTGTATACATAAACCATATATTTAACCAGTAAGATAAAATTTGTTCAATATGGAATAAACAATGGAAAAGAAAAATGGGTCATTCAAACCAAAGTGGCACAGAACCTTGTACAAATCTCCGTTGTTGATTTAGACTCAAAAGTATTTACTCGTTTAATTGTGAAATATAAAACTGCAAAGAAATCTATCACGTCTCATGGTGTGTAAGCTGAGATCAGTTACTAACAATTACTATAAAACGAGCATCAATTGAAAATGACTTCGTCTAAAAGAAAATTTCCTTCGGTTCAAAATAAGAGTTCCTAGTAAACTTTCAACACATTACTTCAAAAGAGTCTTCCTTTAAAATATAAAAAAGGTTATTGTGAACATTCTGTAAGACGGCGACTAAGTTCCCAAGAAACTGGACCTCAAATATATGCAAGAAATCATACATAGAGTCGACAAACTCCTGGAGATTGTAATGGCTCAAGGAAATGCTCAAATTACTAGTCGACGCATCCTAATTTAACACTGACAGTTGCTAGAAACCCGATAAACGAGGTCAACAGTTTTATGGCTGGGTCAAAATAAGTGTTGAGTCAAATCTGATCGTATTTATACACACTTATGGTAAATAATTATCTTCCTTCGTAAAACGATCTTGAAAGACAACAGAGATGTAAAATTAAAAAGTCTAGAGTTTGGACTAATACCATGTGGTCAAGCCCTTATATGTACTGGTACTACAAACAGAACACACAGAATGTAGTCTGTTTGACTACATTGTAACGTTAATTAAATACCAAAACATGGTCTTCAATTCTTGGACCTACATTGTACATCCAGTAGCATAGACGTTAGTTGCGATGCACTTTTAATCATGTTCTTTTATTCTCATTTTTACCCACCTCTTAATTGGGCCATCATGTATCATCGTTTCTACGCATACTTGGACAGTCGTAGTTATCTCGTATCTACTTTTGGTTTTATCATGTAACGGGTTACTAACGCGACTCTAGTCATTCCTAAAGATTTGTCTACTGAAATCTTAATAGCGATGATATACACACCACATTGACACAAAATGACTCAAATTCTCTCTATGAAAAAAATGAATTTTTGTTTACTGGACATATACTCACTTCAGAATTGTTTTGTTAATGATCATGTGTGGTGATTTCCACTGTTTTCTGAAACTTCGAACTATGGTCCCAAACACAAGATTGGAACTACTTTTATTCCCAACTCCTGAAATGTTTCCAAATATAACTTCATATCCAAGAATTCGTTCTCAATCATTTGAACGGACGTTTGTTAGTCTTACAAAAATTTATATTTAAGATTTTGATTATTTCCTATCTGTTGGTAATTACAATGGATGGTCACTGAAGTGGTAACAATGTCATGTTTACCCACCCCCATGTGACTGTGTGACTGAGATTCTAAATAAACCTCAGTACCAAGTGACGAAGTATGTTGGGGGCCGGTTTCAGAACACCGCTTTATTTATTTTTTATGACTCCAATGATGAAGTCAAAGCTATGACTTCAAAAGTGACAAGCCAATATAGTGTATTCATGTGGTGTGAAACTTTATTACTACTATCAGTGTCTGCGGAATAAATAGATACAGAACCTTTCAATCATTGTATAAATACTTAATCTATAATTATTATGAGGATTTCTCCAAAAACCAATGAATCCAACAACCAAAGAGAATAAAAATGACAGAAAACTAGGAAATAAGCTTCAGAAGCTATTCATTTGGCAGTTTGCAGTCCGCTTTCTTAGTTATACTTGGCATATATTCCGAATGCGATCGCAAGATACAACAGCTAGGTAAAATCAACAACACTTCTCGAAGACATTTGTTACGTGGTAAGGAAAAAAGTAAGCTTAATAAGATTACTAAGAAACTACCATACAAACAATTCCAACTGAGATATGAAGGTAAAGTATGTACTTACCAAACTAAGCCCAGTGTTTGGAAGCTATATTATTTGATGAGCAACCATATTCCTTAATTGAAGTGATAGAAACAACCGATTAAGGGCTATAAATCACACTGCACCTCAGAATATTATATCGAAAACTACTGAGTAAGATTAACAACACTATACCATAGTCATCGGCCAAAAGACATAAACTTGGTTGCACAAACACTACATGAAAACAAATCTAAATTTTCAAAACAACTGACAAACAAAGTTGATACATTAATCTGACATGTTAGGTTTACCATTCTGAAGTACGTGCATAATAAAGAAATCTGTTTGTCGTCAGCAGAAGACTTATGATATCCAAAGTGACTACGAGACCTAAAATGGGAAGTGCTTAAAAGACCACAGTGCTGTCAGATAAATATTCGGTAATTATAAAATTAGTGAAACTCAGCCCTTGACCCTGGTTCACATTCCGTTCAGAATTATGATCACCTAGAATAACTGTCTCAGTTACTAGGGACTGGTCGAAAATAATAGAATCCTATAAACAATCCGCTTGACTTTGTTGTAATTAAATGTTACAAATCACAAAAGTTATGAATGTCCAGTTGTACTCTGCAATTATATCGACCTACTGTGTTGTATAGCTACTCCCGTAGTATTCCTTTTCAACTCCTTCTCTAGGGGTTATTTAAATAAAACTAATGAAACGCATTTCTCCTTAATCCCATGAATAGATTAGTCACAGCCAACCGTCCTGCATTAGGATCACAAGAGAAACTCATCTGTTCAGCACTACAGATCAATGGTAAAACTTTGAGGACGGTAGTAACAACTAAGAAAGCTTGGATCACGAAAAGTAGTCGTATCCATCCTTTTACTAATTTTATTGAAGCTCCAATTGTTCTGTATTAAAGTGACTAACCAGCTTATCAAACGATCTGATATTGGGATCATAATGATGGGTGCGAGGTACAGTAGGAACACTGATGCTTATTAAGATCCAGACAAGTCACTAAGTTGAAAGGACAAATGCACATCCTAGACACTGCTGCTAGCCGATAGCAAACAACCACAGCATATACCATAGTGTAACTTCCCTATAGGCCCCAGTTTTTAAATCCCAGTGGCCAACAAAATACTGAAAACAATCAACACAAGGTATTAAAAAAACCTGAAATTGTATATTATAACCACGATGACACTGACGACCTACCATTTGTTTGAACGATTTCGATATCAGTAGTTTTAAAAGACATAATCCACGTGTCCAAGCTGTCAAGTGCCATTACCTGGATTCTGTTTGCAGAAACTTAACCGGTGTAGGTAGATGAAGGCCAGTAATTAGTTGACCAATCAGGGTTCAGCATAAGTGAACAGAGGGGTGTAATAATCTATTCAGTAAAAAGATCATTACCAGTACTAGACAAACGGTTGGATAAAAAATTGCGATGAGAATCAATCATAAGTGAGAATGTATTTGAGATCTATGCTAGATTCATGTCAGGATTCATTGACTGCACATAGTGTAGATGTGTCTAGCTTCTATACGAAGCAGAAGCTGCCATATCGATTCAATCAAAATCTCACCTTTTAAATTCCCTAAGGCTGCTTAGACTAAATCATCATCAGCACAAATTTGCCCTTGTCCGAGAAATTGCATTCAACAGAATATTAGTTTAATTCTTAGCTTTAGATGGAGTCTATCTAGACTAATATTCTTTAAAACTCCCTATAAAATCCAACCAAAATTAAAGTGGAACGAAAATTGTCCAATAGGAAGATGAATTCATATAACGATGGTTTTAGTTTTAGTACGTTTGCAATCGCTTCTTTAATTTTCAAAGCAAGTGGGAACTATGGGGACAAGTAAGTATGAGAGATTAGGAGTATGGTATTTTACACAAGTGATGGTAAAAAGGTTTTAACTAAATGTAGTATTCTAACACGTTGACAAATAAAACAATATGAAGGTTTCTTTTACAGTTGATCCTGTAAACTACTGTTAATTATTTTGCAGTGAATGAATACTTGCCATACTAACCGAGCTAGCAAATTCCATAAGTCTAAAAATGGTGTGCATTGATCATCCGGTGCGACTAGAATTTATGGATAACCTTTGAGCGATACTAAAATGACCTTGGAAAACAGCCAGTTACCAGGGTTGAATAAACGGTTATGAATCAATGTGAGAAATTAGGATTATGGGCAAAAGTTGGGAGTTAGGGTTAGGAATTAGCGTAAGAGTTTTATTGCGAACTGGCATCAGTCATAATGTCCAGTAGTCATGTTTTTAAATCGGATTAGTTCATCCGTAAATTATAGTCTTGCTGATCACCGCCTTTATTAACTAGACATGGCATCCTGTGATTTCTTTTTGTTCATGAAATATAAAGTAGCCATACAAAGGTGACAGTTAGATGATACGAAGACGATAGGATGTGAAACGACATGGAAGCTAAGAAAATATGACTTCTGAAGACTTCCAGGGATGTTTTGGCTTATGAGAACGTAAATGCAATAAATACATTCTTGACTTTTAAGGCCTCATGGTGAGCATGTTGTTTATAGACCACCGATTTTTATTTAAATGTTAGGTGAAGATACATATGCACATCGAGACAATACATTTTGAACGAAGGATATGTGTTACGCTCCTATGACTGTGTGTGCTTTCTAAACTAATAATTCTAAATATTAATAATCTCCAGGACTTATTATCGAGGATAATAACAATAATCTGTAAATACATTTACTTGTGACGTAATACTGTTGAGACCCAGTATAAAGAAAGTATACATTCTCAGAGCTACTCTTATTCGATACTATTGTTTATAAGTTTATCTGATAATTGGGAGAGTATTAGTTCTCTCTCAGTATACTTTTTACACTAATTAATATCAAAATCCAGAAAGTATTAATATTCCCAATTAATATTATGGTAGCCTAGAACTGTGGAGATTACTGAGTTTTACAAAATCATGAACCAACCAAAGTTAGATAATCATTGAAAACCTGGAAGCACTGAACGGTCGTTCTGTACTAGTATGGGACTCCTCGTCATTGCATATCCAAGACCCTACAACTGGAGGTCAAACCATGAACCCTTGGCCTCGCGAGTAGATGCTTAACCTCTTGACCACTGAGCTGACATAAGATGGTGTACAAGTTTGGCTACCAATCCACGATATTTCGCGATCATCTTGTCTTACCATTGGTGGATATCCTCCTCACATCTGAAACAGATGAACTCCACTGATCACGACTTCTCACTAAAACGCCGAAATATCCCTCTCTTATCTAGCCACTAGTGAGCACATGATAATTGCCCCAAGTTCGATTCCCGGTTGTGGGGTCGTGGATGCGTACTGGTGAGGAGTCCCATATTAGGACAGAACGGCCATCCAGTGCTTCCAGGTTTTCCATGATCGTTTAATTTAGATGGGTTCCTGATTTGTCGACAACGTTTGTCTCTGTGTATTGTGTTGGATGATGTAATATTCTCCAAGGCGATTCAGAATTCGAAATTTAAAACGAATTTTTCCGGAAACGAAACCTAAAAATGATATTAGAAGCTTTTAACCTTGAAATTACAATATTTTCTTAATCTAAAATCCATCCAATATTTAGTAACATAACTTTTATAGTAATGCTGTGTTTCTTTACGATCATTCAACAGTGCATCAAATATGACATATTCTATAGTGTTAATACAAAGAGATTTATTTCCTACTGTTAACAATAAAACAACGATTTGGTTTTATGATCATGAAAATCATATAGAATAATGACAATAATAATAATAATAATATATTCTGGAAATAATAATTGCAGTATTCATGATAGTTTACAAGCATGACCAGTCGGATATAGATGGTAATATTAAATGAAGGGGACAGATATGTGATATTAGATTGTTTTAAGTGTTCTGGTTTAGGTACTACATTTTTTACACATACTACAGCAATGAGAGTTTTTAATTCCTCTTAAGTGGATATCCTATCGATTTATGAACTATGCATTTGAGGTCATTTCTTGTGCTATAACGAATTAGTGATAACTTTTTACAACTAGAGGAAATAAAACAGAAACAAAGAGCACGGAATGAAAAAGACAATAATTACTAAGATAGGTTAACTGGGTTTACCAAAATACATGTGTCGGGCCATTTTATGATATACTGTTCGTGTTAGATCTTATTCAAATTAGTTAAGGTTTCCCAAAACAGTTTAAATGTAAAGTAACAGAAGGTAGGGATGTTTGCTTAGTTTATTCAGTAATAAAAACGATTAAACATTTAAAGTTCCTGTAATCTCATTTGTGGAATAAGATACACTTACTGGTGTGAGAACATTTAATGCATTCTCAGAGGAGCAGTAGACGTCGATGAAGTAACAAAAGATGGGTGTGATTTTATCTCACGGGTTGATTGTGATAAATTATTCTAGGATCTGGGAAATTTACTGATAATGTAATTAATATAGAGAGAAGATTTATGATGCGGTTGTTTTATTAATGAAAAAGAGTTACGGATGCTGTAACTAGAAGTTTCTGGATATTGTGTTCGTTTGTTAATTTCAGAGTGCTCAATCATAAATCTATGTATGTTTGTTCTAAACAATAGCCATATACACTATGTCAAATAAACCTTAAAAACATAACTACTTTAGCGAAATGTGAAACTAGTTTTCATCAAAATTATCGGAAACAAAAGGCTCCAAATAAGTACTTCACACTAGTTTGAAACTCCTCTGAAGTTATCATTCCAAATAACACATATGATCGAGTTTGGTATCTTCAGTTCTTGATAAGAACACCCGAATGCTTACTCATTGGTTTAATCCTGCATGAATTTATGAATGAGTACTAGTGAGAAGTCCTGAATCAGCCCAAAATAGTTATTTGAAGTTCTATATTTTCAATCGTTCACCGGACGATTATACTCTTCAGTCCGTCTAATAATCTACTAAAGCCTATCATTTAGTTCAAACACTAAGAATCCAATAAATAGAACAAATAGGCCTTATACATGAGTATTTTCATTATTCTCCACCACAAAATAGTAAATATTCAAAAAAGTAGGTAAAGGAAACTCTAATCTTCTTAGAATCAGGTTCATATTTCCTTAGTTTTTAATACCCTGTTTACTGATAAACCTTTTTAGTAATATATGTCAATATTAACTCGTAAAACTAATCCACATATTCATAAGCATTATGAATTATAAATTGTCAGAAAAAGGATATATGTATAAATATATACGGGTTGACTAGTATCCATATTCATTAACTTGCAGTTAAAACTCCAGTCAAGAGTAAGTCAAACATTATTATTTTATGTAATGATCTGTACATTACTTACTTATTTACTTTACTTACACCTGTTGCTCCCAATGGAGCATTGGTTGTCGACCAGCATTCTCCAACCCACTCTGTCCTGAGCATTCCTTCCTAATTCTATCCAATTATTGTTCATTCTTTTCATGTCTGTCTACATTTTTCGGTGTAATGTGTTCTTTGGTCTTCCTCTCCTCCTTTGGCCTTGAAGATTCCAAGTGAGATACAATATCGTAAATATACTAATTTGACAGTACTCTATTCACGGGGCACTATTACCAATTATACGTAATTCTTATCTCACTAGTAAACAAATATTAACTTATAAGCAAAGATGGTTAGCGGCTAGCAATGGAATACAGAGCGCGCGATTCGCCCTATTTGGGACTCGTCAGCTGGATTCGCCTGTATCTCAGAAATGATGTTCACTCTGAGACTCGGACCCAATACCGTTCGCCTCAAACCTCATCACTTTAGCCACTTAGCTGCTGAGTCCTGAGTGATACATCTAGCTGTCAAGTCACAAATAGAACAAAATGAGCGTCAAACTGGATTCCACTGTTAACAACTATCCATCTTTTCTTATAATGCTTGCGAATTAAGGCAATGCACATACGCTTACAAGAGACTAATCAATTACACGCCTTAACAACAATGGGAAGATACAAACAAATAATACCAAGTGGATTTAAATATTAGCTTAATTCACGAATAGCTGTAGTAACACTGCTATCAGTTTGTAAAAGTTTCATATGACAGTTCGCTGTATAATGGTCTGCTACTAAGTTGACTATGATTCATTTTAGTCTCAATATAAACCATACAATTAAGATAATAAATTATTAAAAATTCAAGAATCATCTAGTAATCTTTTTTCCCTTATTTAACTAAAAAAAGAGATGCGAATTACTACTTATTTATTGAAGATGCCACAAGTATTTTTAGTTTGACAACACTTTAACCAGTAACAACTTCTATAATTGAATCGTGCTCACCCAGTGAAATCAAAACTCATAAGCTAGGAGATTCAAAGATATATTTGACAGGTTATCAAGAAGTGACTGATCTAAACTGGCTAGTACTTGTAGAAGAATTTCAGCACAGTGTACCTACTCGTGATTTGATGCTGATGCATGATCGAGCATTTTCAGCTAGATGAGTCCATTAAAACTAATGTAGTCAACATCAAATTTCAAAGACTTACAAAGCTATTGATTTGGGGAATTTATTTACCGTTACATTATTTTTTTTCCATTAAAATCATAAAGATTTACATAGCATAATGAAACATTTATTCCATCACCTCCTTCACATTATTCCTATAACTTTTCCAGTTAAATATCATACTGTGATATTATTCTTACTTACGCTTGTTACTTCTCGTCGAGGAGCATAGGCTGACCACCAGCACTCTCCATTCTACCTTGTCCCAAGCAATCCTTTCCAGCTCTTTCCAGTTGTTATCCTTTTCACCTCACCTTCTAATTACCGATGCAATGTGCACTTTGTCCTTTCTCTTCTTCACTTCCCTTCAGCATTCCAAGTTAGGGCTTGCCTCATGGTGCAGTTTGGTGATTTCCGTAGTGTATGTCCTATCCATTTTCATCGTCTTTTCATAATTTCTTCTTCAGCTGGAAGCTGGTTTCTTCTCTCTCAGAGAAGGCTGTTGCTGATGGTATCCGACCAATGGATTTTGATTATCTTGCGTAGACAACTATTTATAAATAATTGTATTGTTTTAATGTTGATTGTAATAGTTCTCCTAGTTTCTATGATCCCATAAATGAAGTTGTTTTATTACTATAATACCAATTATGATTTCAACAATGATACCTGAAATTAGAGTGTTGTTGTTGTTGTTGCCCTACATGGATGTAAGCAAATCGATCAAATAAAATATATTAGTAACTTATTAAAATGACTCATGAATTGATTAATTGATTGATTGATTAACTGACTAACCCTATAAATTTATTATGACTCATTTCACCTAAATATCACATTATTGAATTGTATGTCATAACTTAACAGGTATGTCATATGATGATGATCTCTCATAGAAATATTGGAGTAATGGATATTTTAATATTAAAATTTAGCATAGTGATTTTTTTTAACAAGGATATTGAATAGACTATAACTTGTGATCTGTGTGCCTTGTATAATCAATCTATAAGGTAATGATACCGCCAATCAGAGTACAATGATTTATTGACTGGGCCAATGACGCATAAAACCCGTATAAGCAGTCTACAATCATTTGATCGGTCCTATTTCCTACTTATCCTTGCCTGTTCGAATTTAGAACATCAATCTCAGCCTATTCAATATGAATTATTTATTTCAAACACATTGGGCTTATGTACCAACTAAACAGACTAAATCGTACCACAAAATAAGTAACAACAGTTGTATAAGATTTAACCAAAAGTGGATGTCAATGTGGGAAATAGTAATTGTTAGACTTGGCATAACTCAAGAATGATGAATCGTATAATAACAGTTCATAAATCACAATAAAGCTCATAATAAGAAGGACACGAATATGGATAGTTTAGTAACTTAATAATTATACGATAAAAATATACGTATAGTATTAGTCCATAAACGGACTCCAAAAGTTACCATTCATTATTCTCGTCGGGATATAACATAGTCTTTTTTATCTTTAAAGTAGTCTCGTTTATTATGGTTAACAGAATGAGAATATCAATAGTTGAGATCATGAGTGAATTGAAACTAGACTACCATGGGAAACCTAGAAGCACTGGACGTCCGTTTCGTCCTATTGTGGGACTCATCAACAGTGCGCATCTACGACCCCGCCTCGCGGGATTTTAACGCAGGACCCATCAGTCTCGCAAGCGAACGCTTAATCACCAGACCACTGAGCAAGCCGGCATTAAACAGTGTTAATGTATAATTTCAACTAATCCACGAAATTGAGTGACACATCCACCATTGTCATCAATAAGTTACTATCTCACAACAGACCCAGTTGAACTCCATTGGTCACTGCACCTGGCTAGAACTCCAAAATATAAATATTTAATTAAAAGATTTCAATAGGTTAATTGTTAAAACGCATTTTTGTATTATGTTCTATAATTCAATGTAGGAACAACACATGTAATAACGAAAAAAATAGTCAACAAGTGAAATTTCTAAAAATCTCGACAAAATGCATTCTGATAATAATAATAATCGCCTGCTCACTAGTGACTGACTTCAGGAGATACTCCTGGAGTTCTAGTGAGAAGTCGTTACCATTGGAGTTCAACCAGGCCTGTTGTGAGATATTAACTCACTGAAGACAATGGTGTACGGTGGCGTAACTTAGTGGATTGGTTAAAGTTAGACATTCACACGGTTGGATGCCGGCTTAGTGGTCTAGTTGTTCAAGCGCCTGATAGGTCGTGGGTTCGAATCCCGCTGGGCGCGGGATCGTGGATACGCACGGCTGAGGAGTCCCATACTAGGGAGAAACGGCCGTCCAGGTTTTCCATGGTAGTCTAGCTTCAATTGACTCATGATTTCAACAAGTGAAATTTCTAAAAAAATTCTCCACAAAACCCATTCTGATAAGAAAAGAATTGTTTTCATTACGCTAGTATATTTATATAGTTAATACTAAATCATCAATAAAATTTATTCCATGTTTGACCTATTTCCTATATGAAACTATTGATTATAACGTAACACTAATATTACATTGGTTTCCTTACTATCAATTTGTACTTTTTAATCTATATATAAAGTTGCGTAATCTACTTCGTTATGATCATTGACTCGAAAATTACCTTGACTAATTTATTATTTTCATATGTCTTTAGAACTTATACAACATTACATGAATATGATGTTTTTCGTTTGTGATATATGGTTTAATTGAGCTAGAGATTTATGGTTTCCATGATTTAAATCATTATTATGCAACATATTATAACATTATCGTGTTAGTCAGTAGTGATAATGTTTGAAACAATTTGTTCAGTTACTTACTTACGCCTTTTACTCCTCGTCGAGGAGCATAGTACGCCCACCAGCACTCACCATTCAACCCTGTCTCAAGCAATCCTTTCAAGCTCCTTCCAGTTGCTATTCATCTCGACGTAATGTGTTCTTTCGCCTTCCGCTTTTCCGCTTTCCTTCACGATTCCAAGTTAGCGCTTGCCTTGTGATGCAGTTCGATGATTTGCGTAATGTATGTCCTATCCATTTCCATTGTCTTTTCATAATTTCTTCTTCAGCTGGGAGCTGGTATCTTCTCTCTCAGAGAAGGCTGTTGCTGATGGTATCCGACCAATGGATGTTGATTATCTTGCATAGACAACTATTTGTAAATACTTGTACCTTCTTGATGATGGTTGTAGTAGTTCTCCAGTTTCAGTTCCGTAAAATAGAACTGTCTTGACGTTCGTATTGTGACTTTGATATTGGTTAAAAGTTGTTTTGAGTTCCATATGTTCTTCAATTATAGGAATGCAGCCCCTGCTTTGCCAATCCTCTCTTTGAATCTGCATCTGATCTGTTAGGGCATTTAAAAAAATGGTAACTTCATAAGTGTCATCATCGTGAAAAATTGATTTTATTAACCTGATCAACTTTACACACGGTAACGTGCTCATGGCTTCATTACAGTAGCATTCAAAATGGACTTACTAGAAAGATGCCTCAGAATGAAGGTTTATTGTATTTGATTAGTATCTGGCGTTTCATCATAACTTCCTTACATAGATTTGTAGAGACTGTTCATTGAAAATGATTAAAAATGTCAGACATGACTAACAATAAAAAATCAATGACAATCTTATAGTAACTTTTTGTGTCAAAGTATACAAGCGATACAATTAATCTTTTAATAAAAAGAAATCTATTCCTCAATACATGTCATTCTTATTACTACTATACAATCTCACCTCAAATGATCCTACAATCTTATCATTTCGTTATATATAGGCCATTTCCCGGTATTTAATTATGTCAAGCATTTTAAACCAAAAATGAACAAAAGGTACTGTTGATCACTTTATCATCATCTTAGATCAAGTTTATCAAGATATTCTTAAAGAAATCATCTTTTATTATCAGAAGGGGTTTGTGAAGATTTTAGAAATTTCACAGATTGAAATCATGAGTCAATTGAAGCTAGACCATCATGGAAAACCTGGAAGCACTGAACGGCCGTTTCGTCCTCCTCAGCAGTGCGCATCCACGATCCCGCACTCTGCGAGATTCGAACCCAGAACCTATCAGTCTCGCATCAGGCGATTAACCAACTATTGTTGAAAAATTTATAAACCCATAATTAATTAACTACACTTCTAGTAATATAACCATACAAAGAACACATATAACATAAACCAATTAGACATAAGATGAAATATAACATATATGACTATATGAAAAAGTACATTACAAGCTATATATTCCAATCCTAATGAATTAGGTATTTGCATAGGTTTAGTCACTGAGATTATTTGATTCTTATCTTTATATAGTACACATAAATTTACTTAAATTATATGCATAAGTCGAACATATTCATAGACAAAGAACTAATTCCCTTACATATAATAGGCTCTTTTTGTTGTTGTCATTGTTATTGTTGTTGTTGTTCTTTAACCATTCATCAATACATTTTCATTAATAATATTATCATTATTCATTCTTAACATGATCAAATCAATCATATTTGCTTACAGATCCCCCTATTTCATTTTTAGATTACTTAGAGATTATTAAAATACTTATGAAACTAACAAATGAATTACATTTCAATGATCAATTTAACATTGACACAACTAAATAAACTATAAAGAATTAATTAATCATGAATTCATCTATGAAATATTCATATCAATCAAAACGTTCTTTGAGTACAAATAATTTAGAACCATTTCATCGAAATATAACATTTACTGAAAAGCGTAAATATTCAAAGAATTCAAAATCATTCCATAAACATCCATGGAATACATCATTAATTCAATTACATAATAATAAAAATATGGATGAATGTGAATTACGTCAAATTCATGATTTGGTTAATGAAATTGGAAATAATGGTATGAATACTAGTACTACTACTAACCATGGTAACAATAATAACAATGATAATAATTGTAATCGTTTATTGAAACATCAAACAACTATTGATTTAAATAATATAGAATTACCAATTATTGAAGGGGAATTAACTGATATAGAACGTTTATATTTATATGCTGCTGAACAAGGTGATTTAGGTACAATTAAACAATTAACGGATCAAGCAAATGAATTAAAATTAAATTTAAATTGTACAGATACATTAGGACGTGATGTATTACGTATTGCTATTGAAAATGAACATATGGAATTATTACAATTTCTTGTAGCATTACCAAAATTAGATTTAAAAGATTGTATATTACATGCTATTAATGAAGATAATGTTATCGCTGTAGAAATTATATTACATGCAGAAGCAGAACGTGGTGGTAAAAAAAATTTACGGGTTAGTAGTTGTCTTTCTTTTTTTCGCGTTGTTGTTGTTGTTGTTGAAATGTATTGTCTTGTTTCACTTTAAAAGAATTTGTCATTGACAATAATCAAGAGAATGGCAAGGCTATAAAGTTTCATCATCAATTGATGTGGTTGGGATAGTTGCCTATTTTGAAGTAGAATGTAACATAATAATCGTCAACGGAATCGTCAGAGAGTACTGAAATCAGATTTCGTGCTAGTTGATTCTCACCAACATGCACTATCTGTAGTTTTTGTGGAAACAGATCATCTCTACAAGTAGACATCAATGGACAAAATAGGTCAGTGTAACATCTCTGCATGTAACTGTATGATATGGAGGCCTATCTTAAAGACAGCATCATTTTTTTTAGATTTCGTTTATCCCTTACTGATGACTGTCAAACAGAATGAAATATAATTGTATTTCTTCCCGACATGATACTCTTTTCTATCGTATGAACGTATGCGATTTCATGCTACCTACTGTAACAATCTTATACACTGATCGACAACTTATTGATAGTTACTTTCACTTTAGACGTGACGTAGAATCTCCTAACCTTCTCGTAACTATGCAAGTCGGTCGACAGTGCATGATTAACACCATGAATTAGCCAAAACATCATTAGTCAATACTCGTCAATCAATTCATGTATCGTGATATCTTTGTATAATCATTTAACCAAACCGAACAATCCTTCATGGTTCATGACGCCTGTTACTCCTCATGGAGGAGCATAGGCTGTTTACCAGCCCACTCCATCCAACCCTGTCCTGGACAATCCTTTCCAGTTTTTTTCAGTTGTTATTCATCCTTTCCATATCTGCTTCCATTTCTTGATGCAATATGTCCTTTGGAAAATGACTTTTAAACCACTGAAAATGTTCATACGAGTTTTATGTTGTGCTAAACACAAATTTATCAGAAGGGGTTTAGTGAAGATTTTAGAATTTTCACTCGTTGAAATTATGAGTCAGTTGGAGCTAGACCACTATGGAAGACGTGGAAGCACTAGACGGCCATTTCGTCTTAGTATGGGACTCCTCAGTGGTGCGCATCGACGATTCCGCACCTCACGAAATTCGAACCCAGGAACTATCAGTCTCGCGCCAGGCGCTTAACCAACTAGACCATAAATTTAGACAACTTTATTTTAACAATTAACAAAATAGTATATAAGCTGTATTCTTTTATTACCCTTCTTTTTTCTAAAGAAATTCTAATGAAGTTATCCTCTTCAAACTCACTATTTGAATGAAACAAAATATATTGATCAGTAAACCAATAGCAAATATGTTAAACAAAACCCACCATAATTTCACTAAAACAATTCATTTATTATCATTGACTTATTATCATTAATTGATTGACCGGTAAAACGGTTATACGAGTCAGGAATTAGAATTATTCACATTGAAATTAAGGCTACTTAGATGAGACAATAATTTATGGACGACCTTTAAACGACGCTCAAGTGACTTTGAGAGTGTCCACTTAATAACTACGACCAAATCAGGGTTATAAACCAGTATGAGGAATTAGAATTATGATTTACAATTGATGATTAAGGTTAGATATTAGATTTCAGGTTTATCATCACGAACTGACATTAGCCATAATGCCAAAGCTCTATTTAGCCAAATGGCTGAGTGAATTTCACGCCTAAATCCGAGATGTGTTATCTTATACGTGATTGGTTCGTCCATAAATTATAGTCATGTCGGCGACTTATATAAGTATATTTAATGCTAATATTGACTTATTCATGTCAACATTTTCAGAATTATTGATGTGACTTCTAGAACAAATTAGATACTTATAATATTTATTACTTAAAACAAACATATGCTAATCTTCTCCGTATTTCAATAATCAATGTAACATATTATTTATTTTTATTTACTTGAACAAGGTACAACAGGGCATCAGACACATATGCGCCACATAAATCTCATTTGATTTGTGTGAGGGCAGTGATACTAGCCGGGTGCCCAAACCAAAGCAGGTGATTTTCTTAGGTGGCCACCCTCCGGGCTTTCGACCTAAATGTCTGATCCGCAAGGCAGAGGAGCAACGTCAGGACATGCGGTCCCATGGTAATCGGTGACCAATAATATGTTCATAGACCATTTGTTCTTTCGAAATACTGAAGCCCATGTACACCCTTGCTTTGAAATCATTGTTTTCCAACTCCCCCAAGTAGATCCTCCATATCCAACAATCCGTTTTAAGCACCTTACATCCGCATTTCATCCTCTCATTTTTGTAAACAACACCCCCGCCACGAGAAGGCAGTAAGTAGGACTTCCCTGGCAAAGGCTATATACGTGTGGCTATAGCTTTTATGTAATAACCATAATTAAACAAGAAAAAAAAGATAGAAATGACTAAATGATAAACTTACGAAATTTCCATAATTTTTTTCCCTATCTATTCTATTCTTGCATAAATTAACTCAAAATAATCATACAAAATAGACAAACTAATCAAAATGTACCATAATGTCATCATCTCTGTGTGATTTCACCAAGTTATTGATCAATACGTTTGCATCAAACTAATTTATTTGTAAATAGTGAACTTTGTTGAAAGTGATATGTCGTATATGGTTCATCTAAAACGGTTACTTATATATTGTAGTGAAATGACTTATATCCGATATTTCTATGCTTTTATTTTGAATACAACAACAGAATAAATACCCGAATCAAATAATTAGAGATCATACATTCTATGTACTACATAATTTAGTTGCATGTGTTCCATCCCTTACACAATAAAGTCTGACTTACATTTCGTGTGCTGTGTTTTGTAATATCTTAGGTGTAACATGTGAACCTACGAAATTCATTAACACAAAATTGAATCTATAAGCTGACAATACTGTTCAGAATCAGATGGATATCAAAGAAATAAAGTTTACTGTTACAAAAAAATATTATTGGAATAGTTTAGGTCACCACAGTTTTATACTACTGTTGGCTATCTGATGTTATTAACTAATCAAGGTGAATAGATTTTCTATTGTTAAGGAATGTTTGGCGAGACTATAATTTATGGACGAACCAATTACGTATAAGATAACAGATCTCGGATTTAGGCGTGAAATTCACTCATCTATTTGGCTAAATGGTGTTTTGGCATTACAGCTTACGTCAATTCGTGATGAAAACCCTAAACCTAATTTCTAGCCCTAACCATCAATTGTAATTCATAATTCTAATTCTTCACACTGGTTTATAACCCTGATTTGGTCGTAGTTAGCAGGTGGACACTTTCAAAGTCACTTGAGTGTCGTTCAAAGGTTGTCCATAAATTATAGTCTCGCTGAATGGTTTCTTAGAGTGAATATTCGGATTGAATCATATGAATAGATTATAATAGATGGGTATTTGGAAAAATTGTTTCACATTCACATTTGTTCATCATGCCATAATGAATTTAATGTAATACAATCATATACTTAATACAAAGGAATTCAAATAAGGCAGCTAACTTTTAATTTAACATGGATAATTTTATGTGATGATATCTCCTAGTGTAGTTAACTCTCACGGTTCTGAAATTTAGAAACATGTTTCGTGAATTTTGTGTCATTTAAGGATGATAAGCTCATAGATGGATTAAATTAAAATTTTACTGGCCAAAAATTGACAAAACCCAACTTGTACTAAGGTTTTAAATCCTTTTGGAAATTTCTTAAGGTTACTACAAATATTAAAACAATTAAATTTAAGTGTGTTTTTGATGCATGAACCGGATGCACTTATGTGTTAAGCTCTAGGTTATATGTAATTGACTGGAAGATGTTCAATACGGAGCCTTATTTATATGGATACAGATCTATTTCCATGTGACTCTTTTATATAACCATAAATGTTTCCCCGAACGACTTTATGTAGGTTTCATATTATTTGTGAATTCACTCATTGATAGCTAAAAATATTAGAACCACAATTGAATTTGTTCAGGCAGTCTGAATTATTTTTTCTGGTTAGCGTTTTTTTAGCGAGTTAGTTTTCTACGGGATGGGGTCGCTAATCCCGTGCCCAACCCTCCTCCTTTATCCGGGCTTGGGACCGGCAGTAACTCTAGAAGTGCTACAGGCGAAGTTGGCAAAGCAAGAGCCGCATTCCTACAATTGAAGAACATATGGAACTCAAAACAACTTTCAATCACTATCAAAGTCAGAATCGTCAATACGAACCTCAATACAGTTCTACTACACGGAGCTGTAACTTTGAGAACTAATACAATCTTCATCAAGAAGGTGGAAGTATTTATAAATAGTTGTCTGCTCAAGATAATCAACATCCATTGGTCGGATACCATCAGCAACAGCCTTCTCTGAAAGAGAACAAACCAACTTCTAGATGAAGAGGAAATTAGGAAAAGACGATGGAAATGGATAGGACATACATTACGCAAATCATCAAACTACATCACGAGGCAAGCTCTAAGGGAAGCGGAAAAGAGGAAGGCTAAAGTACACACTGCATCGGTAATTAGAAGCAGACGTGAAAAGGATGAATAACAACTGGAAAGAGCTGGAAAGGATTGCTTGGGACAGGGTTAGATTGAGTATGCTGATGAGCGGCCTGTGATTCTTCACGAGGAGTAACAGGCGTAAGTAAGTAACTAAGTTTAATTAATTACTATTGACAATACAATTGACATTTCTCATCACTTGAAATTCATGTAGTATCGTTTCCGGTTTTTCTGTAGCACAAAATAATTTTCATTGAAGTTATACCATATTAATTATTCGTCACAAAATCAATCATTAAAAAATCTATAGTAGTTATCGAATTGTGAATTTCTCTCTAAAACGTATATATCACATTTTTCCGATTAGATTCATTCACAAACACATTATGTAACATTTGATTTAAACTCTTTATCTTTACTTTTCTCTATTTAGGGACTACTTGGACGTTTTCAATCTTCATCATTTACACCTGATATTAATGGAATAATTTTAGCAGCACATCGTGATAATTATGTAATATTAAAATTATTACTTGATCGTGGTGATCGTATATATAAACCGCATGATTTACGATGTGCATGTAATATATGTACACAAGCAAGACGTGAAAATGGATTACAACATTCAACATTACGAATTAATACATATCGTGCTTTAACAAGTCCATCATTTATTATTTTAACTAGTAATGATCCAATTTTAACAGCATTTGACTTAAGTTGGGAGTTGAAAAAGTTAGGTGAACTTGAAAATGAATTTAGAGTAAGTTATTATTATGTAAAATGTTTTATTTGAATAATAGTTAAATACAGGTTAAGTGCTTTTTTTGACAAAATGGATCTTCAAAATGATCATTTATCAACAGAAGCTGATCAGTTACATACCTTAATATCAATGATAAGCAAATACAAACCCATACAAACATAATTGAAGTTAACTCTTGAAAACTAATGCAGTTTAATTCAATAAAACAGTAATTTCCGTTGATTGTATTTACGGAATTCTATTTGATATCAGATGGGTTTTGTGGATATTATAGTAATTTCAATGGTTAAGATCATGAGTCAGTCAAAGCTAGACCACCATGGTAATCCTGGAAGCACTGGACGTCCATTTCGTCCTATTATGGAACACCTCAGCAGTGCGCATCCACGACCTCGCCCCCTGCGAGATTCGAACCCAGGACCTACTGGTTTCGCGCGCGAGCTCTTAACCACTATACCACTGAGTCGGCCGGCATCAAACGGTGTTAATGTGTAACTTCAACTAATCCACGAAATTGAGTGACACATCCACCATTGTCTTCAGTGAGTTACTATATCGCAACAAACCTAGTTGAACTCCACCGGTAACTACTTCTCACTAGAACTCCAGGATAGACCGCGTGAAGCCAGCCACTAGTGTTGATTTATATCAGATGAGTTTTGTGGATATTATAGTATCTCTATTTAAGTATGATTATTTAACGTAAAGGAAAACCATGGGTTTATTCAAACCCATGACATTTGGGTTATTGATCATTTACTTTAACTTCAATTATGAAGTTGAATACTATGCTATGCTATACAAATACTATTAGCATTTCGCTTCAATATTTATCTAAAAGAGTGAACTTAAAATAAAAGCTAGTTAAATAAAGTTTATTTGTATCAGAAGGGGGGGTGTGGAGATTGTAGTAATTTCAATAGTTGAGATCATGATTCAATTGAAGCTAGATCACTATGAAAAACCTGAAAGCACTGGACGTTCGTTTCGTCCTACTGTGGGATTTCTCAGCAGTGCTCATCTACAACCCCGTCTCGTGGGATTTGAACCCAGGACCAACCTGTTTATTTCGACTTTGGATAGTTGATAACAATCATAATACTGTAGGTGTCATTACCAAGGTTTGATTTGATAATTTCGAATAAATTGAGTATTGGGTTGATTGTTATAAATAAAAATAATATATTTGTAATATATATATAACGGAGCAATTGATTGCTCCGCTGTACTATTTAAACTCGGATTAATTTTAATTTGGTTATTTATTCTCTGAAGAAGTGACTTACACTAAGTCACGAAACGTCAGGAAATCCAATTTTCTAATCATTGGGATATTACAAATATATTATTTTTATTTATAATCATAATACTGTCTTCTGTCACTTAAATTTTTTACTCTTTTGTTAGCGATTTATGTTATATCTTGGACATTACTTCTTGACATATTTGCCTGGAGCCCTACTACTGGATTAGTCTACCTCTTCCTGACATTTTATAGAACTTAGTTATTATAAATCGTTAGCTTACTAAGCAATCGTAGGATTATAAATAATAAGAGTAGAGTTGTGTAATTCTTGGAGCAAACTGAAATTTATCTTTCAAGTTCGTCATATAAGCCCTTCGACAAGCTTCTGGTATCAAGATACATCATAAATCAAATGAAAAACATTAGATCAATATGATGTTGTGTTATGTCCGGCTGATTTACTTTTATTTTTCTAATTATTTTTTTGTCAACCAAACACTGGAATCTACCTGAAGTTTCTTATGTTTTCTGTAATATTTCAGTTACCCAATACTGATCATTTGTTTTACAATCCTATATCTTAACACCACAACACTTCAACATTCCATATTTATGCAGATTTTAACAAACCACAGTATCATAAAACATCCTATCACAATTTTTGATTAACTCTATGTAGGTTAACCTTACTACGAAAAAACAGTGCTTGTATGACCATACTGAGTTAGCTACAAACAAGGGATAACACTATTAAGATATTTGAAAACGATGATGACACCAGCGTCCGTTTTCAAGTCCAAATATGTCATCACTTTTAGTAATATACCTATTTTTCATGCCTCTCAATAAAACTATAAAGGATTCTTAATAATAATACCACTTGTTATTCCGTCATTGAAGTACAATTAAACGTTATTTGAATTAGAGTCCTGACCATCCTACTTCAGTACAGTTGAATGGTTTAACTGTAACGCAATCATAAGGCTTGACATGTTTGTCTGATAAGTCAGGGCACTAGATATCTTAAGCTGTATGAGAACAAAGAGTTCAATAAATAGTGTAATATGTTATCAATCAATAAAATACGATACACGATAGCAACTGGTTTTTATTTTTAAATTCCTCATATACATTGTTTTCATTGGCTTACATTTTTTCACCATTCAGTTATGTTCATAAAGTGGATAAAACTACAATTCTAATGAATTGATGACTTAGTAAATCACACTGCGAAGTATATCCATGATGTAAATAGAGGGAAATAAGAGGAGTTTGCGATACCTGTTCATTTTCCTTTTTTTGAAAATAGCAATTCAATCCAATAAATGGGCGGTAGATTTTGAAGAGGAGAACTATAAGTGTGGTAGAGAAGATTTGTAGCTCAGGTGGATGATTTTGGTTGAATTTTTTTTTCTCTGAGCTGGATGGTTTGGTCATGGAGCTTTCATCGTTCTTCTGAACGACATCATCAGCACGAACTTCAGACAGAAGTGAAGTGTTCGAATTTCTTCGAGATGCACAGAACAAATGCAGGAGAAGACGACCAGTGTAGCAGCAGTCTCAGCAGCAGTAGGTCTCAATATACACAAAGAGGAAAGCAAGATTCTCCGATACAACACAGCATGCACCAGTTCAATCACAGTTGATGGAGAAGATTTGGAAGATGTAAAAATCTTTACATATTTGGGCAGCATCATTGATTAACACGGTGGATCTGATGCACATGTGAAGGCGCGGATCGGAAAAGCAAGAGAAGCATACTTACAATTGAAGAACGTCTGGAACTCAAAACAACTGTCAAGCAATACCATGGTCAGAATTTTCAATAGAAATGTTAAGACAGTTCTATAGCATGAGGTGGAAACTTGGAGAACTACGAAAGCCGTCATCCAGAAAATACTAGTGTTTATTAACAGTTGTCTACGCAAAATACTTCAGATCCGTTGACCGGACACTATTAGCAACAACCAACTGTGGGAGAGAACAAGCCAGATCCCAGTGGAGGAAGAAATCAGGAAGAAGCTCTGGAAGTGGATAGGACACATATTGAGGAAAGCACCCAACTCTATCACAAGACAAGCCCTCACATGGAATCCTGAAGGCCAAAGGAAAAGAGGAAGACCAAATGGAGACAGATATGAGGAAACTGAACAAGAATTGGATGGAACTAGAAAAGAAGGCCCATGACAGAATGGGTTGAAAAATGCTGGTCGGTGGCCTATGCTCCATTGAGAGCAACAGGCGTAAGTAATTCCGTATTTGTCACTGGAATAAGTGACTCGACTTCTCAACTCCATTTCCTTGATATTCGATACTGAACAGGCACTGAAAATCATTACATAAAACAAGACGATGTTATATTGATTACTATCCGATGACTGATAAGATTGGTTTAATAATCTGCACTAGATGAAAATGAAAAAAAATATATACTTCGGGATCTTTACACCGATCCCGAAGCTCCTAAATCCGGCTATTGCTGCAACCAATTATCTCAATTATTGTTGAATTTAAAACAAGATGGAGTTTATGAAAGCAAATTATATCGAGATTTCAGTAGGTTAGAAGTTGTCGGTAGGATATTCAGAACTTATATTTCTTTCTAATTACTACTTGTCAGAAGGGTGTACTTGTAACGTTGAAGGAACTAATGCTTCCTATCGGATTCAAACCTACGTCACCCAACTTCATAAACTGAAAATTACCACGATGTTGTTTGAAGTACTACGTAGTGCACATGATGTTGGACCACTTTGATTTAAGTTCATATTGCAACTTGACCGAAAGAATTTTATTAAGATTAAAGGACTAGATAAACACGATGTTCGTCAATACTCAGTGATCAGTTGATTATACAAATCATATTGAATGGTTAGTTATGTAAGTATTGCATAAAATTAGGAATACTAATCCATCAGTGAGCGATAAACCAATATCGTGTCACTGAGTATCCAGGTTTGACTAAATACTATCAATTAAATTTTTGATATCATCAACCATCATAAATGATCGAACAACGCGAGGTATGATCTCTTTTTAGTGACTAACTGAAGTTAAAGAGCATTTTGTTAGAACCGTAGATTTAAATTTATTATTCGTTAAATAAAACATTTTTTAGCATAACAAAAGAAACCTATTTTGATATGCCTATAAATAAATATTCCAGGGATATTTTATAGTGAATGCAACCTATTAAGTTCATACTGTCAAGATATTCTACAGAACAAAATGTTACTTTCTTATGCCTGTTACTCTCAATGGAGCATAGGCAGCCGACCAGCATTTTCCAACCCACTCTGTCCTGAACCTTCTTTTCTAGTTCCATCCAATTCTTGTTCATTTTTCTCATGTCTATTTCCGTTTCCCGGCGAAATGTGTTCTTTGTTCCTCCTTTTTTCTTTGGCCTTGAAAATTCCATGTGAAGGCTTGTCTTCTGACACATTTGGGTGCTTTCCTCAATGTGTGTCCTATCTACTTCCAGAGCTTTTTCCTGATTTCTTCCTCCGATGGGATCTGGTTTGTTCTCTCCCACAGTATGTCTAAAAACGTAGGACAATATACAATAAAAATAATATATTTGTAACATCCCAATCAGTAGACAAGTTAAATTTTCTGATATTTCATAACCTAGTGTAAGCCACTTCTTCAGGGAATATATAAATAAATTAAATTACATGAAGTTTAAATCAGTCAGTCAGTCAGCTACAATATAGGACCAGGCACATATGTGCATCGATCCAAGTTGCCATACCTCATTAGCACAACAAGATGGACACCGGATTCATAAATGTAGTTAATTCAGAGCTGGTAATATATCAAAGAAAGATTGCATATAAGGATATCGTACAGGAAGAAAGAATTAGTTCGTAGAAAGAAAGATATAGAGCGATTTTAATCTCTTAGTTTTAGGGAAGACAGATTGTGAATAAGAATACAGTTACCACTCTATTTCAAAAATTTGCATTTAACAGAGATAGTATCAACTAACATTTATTGATATAATTAGAAACCTTTACTCAGTGAATTTGTGACAATTCAAGACAGGAACGAAAGGTTTTGGGACGGCTTCTGTACACTTTTGATTCTTATCAAATAATCACTTTACCTGTTTCTTCTGTCTTTCAATTTGTGCCTGTGAGGTTCTATACGTTTGAGTACCTTTAGTTATATATTGTATTCTGCCGTCATCAAGTAGAGGACTTAACAGAATGAAATAAAAATCTTGTGTAATTGTGATTCTATTCAATAATCAGTATTATTTATTTACAGACAGAGTATGAAGAATTAGAAGCGAAATGTCAAAAATTTGCAACTGACATGTTAGCACAAACTCGTAGTTCCGCAGAACTCTCTATTGTTTTAAATCATTATACTGGAGCTGATGTATCAGGTTGCCATGTCAGTGGAGTAGATCATCAATCCTTATCAGAGGATATCAATGAAAGAATGCAATTATCAAGATTGAAATTGGCTATAAGATATGGACAAAAACAGGTATGTATAGGAAAAAAATTCTTTTGTTTGATCTGTTTTAACGATTATACAAACAGTAGTACTAAGATTGTTAGTAATGAGCATTACTAAACAAATAATCACCTCCTTGAATGATTAAAGCCTTTGTGGACTGTATTTATTCAATAGGTGATCAAAGAACTTTGAGATATTATTAGTATGAATATCACTGCTAATTATCCGTTATATTCGTCATTGGTTGTCCGATAGTTTATGGGTTGTTCTTGAATAACCTGCCTAGATCACACTACTTATTGACCAGACATAGTTTTCCAGAATTTCTTTCTGTTCTTGAAATGGAAAGTGGTAGGGACAAGGGTTATGTAAAGATAAAATATCAATCATATGTAGTCACGGTCGAGTCTTGAAGCTTATAAACCAACAAAATAATATTTGGTAAATGGTACGAGGTGGTATATATTATCTTATATATAGCTTCGTTATAATTAGAAGTAAGAAATCATGATATTTGACTATTTGCAAACGGTTCAGTAATTCTACCTCCACAATTATACCCTACTTACCATTTTATGTTCATTCATGTCATAATAATTTAGTCTTGAATAGTAAACATGAGATATTATCACATTTACGACAGGTCTCATATTTGTAGGGAATGAAACCAATGATCTTGCATAGCCAAAGTTAAGTCTTTCAAAATCACACTCACAGATGTTATTGGTAAATTATTTGGATGATATCACATTGACTTACACGTGTTTTTTTTCCTGGAGCATTCAAGTAACTCAGGAAAAAGATGTTTCCCTAAATGATAGGATACATTAAGCTGATTTCTGTGTTTTATTTTAGCACAGCTATTATGTTATTGAATGTTTTAGACTCTGTCAGACAGAAGCGTTCGGGCAATAAATAGATTAAATCTGCTGACATTCCTCATATTAATACTAGACATGCTTACAAATTCTCTACCCTACCATGCTCAGTTCTTTTGTATACAGTGAGTGATTCAAGTTGAATATGTTATAGTGTCATATAAATATGCATGACCACATTAGTTCCAAATATGTTGCCATCTCATGCATAAAAATAACTACAGTGATCTATGTGTATTAATAACATAACGGGTGGAATGACAAAATAACTTATCTAGTCGCATTACATCGATATCTGTTTAAATCAAACTCGAACATATTATTTGATGGGTTTAGATACCAAACGATTAATCATTGTTTCATGGCTTGTATAAAATGATTTCCAGAAACAACGCAAGGACTTAAAGGAACATTAACCATCAAAGCTATGAAATCCGTTACTAAAACATTGGATTATTATCGCTGTTCAAATCAAATTCTAGGTATTTTCTAATGTATATTTTAATAAGATCATATTACAGAAAATATAGTGTTTTATATTTCTATGGTGTTTATGTCCAAACACCATTATTTGCCAACCCATTCCATTTTCCTTTTGATAATCATTTAATCTTAAGCTTTCGTTTTGAGTGTTATCTATATAAAAATAGACTTGTGAATATCTTATATACTGACATGTTATTGATTGTACGCGTTTGAATAACTGATTATGGTACTAATCATGGGTACTGATCACAATTAAATTTACTAAATAAGAGCAGCGAAACTCTAATTTATGCATGAGCAAATCAGAGGCGTTTTGGCGATTTCAAGGTTATAGCGCCAACTTCAGTGCTTAATGCTAACGTACAATCGGTTCACAGGGAATTTTGTACAAAACGTGATAATTGAGGTACAAGATAATAGTTCTCGGATTTTAACGCGAAAGCCTTTAATCCATTTGTCTAAATAAATTTCCGGCATTATAGCAGATGTCAGTTCGTAATGAAAACTCCATTCATAATTCATTAATAAGGCAAATTACGACAATTATTGCGAATCGGATAATAAAGGCACAAGTAACATTGGCAGCAGATAGGTACTACAGTATATATGAATGATTGGAGAGCGTACAGACTCCTACATAGGCTTGGTTATGTGCATCGTATCGTTATCCATATATAGCATTTTTTTCACTCAACAACTGGAGTGCACATAAACAATACTGAAGCTATGTGGTCGAGGCTGAAAGAGTTTTTGAGACTTTATCATGGCTCCAGAGGCCAGCTATTTTGTAGCCATATGGATGAGTTTTTCTACTATATGCATTACGACTTTAGAACCTCTGAATCTCTTTCTAACCTTGTCAAGTTCTTAAAACCACGTATAAGAAGTGTATCCACTTTATTTCCTTGGTTTTGTATAACATCTTTTTACTCTATACTGAGTGTTTACTGATTGGCTAATATTTCTCAAGGTTACTTAAGATTCGTTCAAAGGTCATCCATAAACTAGAGTCTCAAAAGGAAATATTGAACATTAGAGAGTATTTAGTAACTGTTTTGAATTGTTATGTACTGTCGTAATGTTCCATCCTAGAATGAGACAGATATCTGGTACATTCTGGTTTCCAATAATAGTCTAACTAAAATCATTCATTAGTGAAAACATAATATCTAACAATCTTTACAAAATCTTTAGTTTTAAAATATAATGAATAATTCTAATTATGAATTTTATATTTACCTTATTTATTTTAATGGTTCAGATCACGAGTCAGTTGAAGCTAGACCACCATGAAAAACCTGGAAGTTTTGGACGGCCGTTTCGTCCTATTGTGGGACTCCTCAGCAGTACGCACCCACGACCTCGCCCCCCTACAAGATTCGAACCCAGGACCTACTGGCCATCCAGTGCTTCCGGGTTTTCCATGGTGGTCTAGCTTCAACTGACTCATGATCTTAGCCATTGAAATTACTATAATATTCACAAAAACCATCTGATTTTATTTATTTTAGTTTGTAGCTCATCCACATTGTCAACAATTATTAGCTGCTATCTGGTATGAAGGATTGCCTGGATTTCGTCAAAAGCCAGTATTTGCTCAATTAACAACTATTGGAACACTATGTTCTTTATTTCCTTTATTGGCTACATTTTATATGCTTGCACCACATTCAAAATTGGGTAGTATGATGAGAAAACCATTTATAAAATTTTTATGTCATAGCAGTTCATATTTATCATTTTTAGGTAAGAATTAAAAGACTAAAAAATATCTAAAAATGTATTATTATTGGAAGGTGTTTTTGTGGATAGTATAGTAGTTTCAATAGTTGTGATCATGAGTCAATTGAAGCTAGATCACCATGGGAAACCTGGAACCATTGGACGGTCGTTTCGTTCTATTGTAGGACGCCTCAGCAATCTCGCGAGGCGGGATCGTGGATGCGCACTTCTGGGGAATCTCACAATAGGACGAAACGGCTATCCAATGCTTCCAGGTTTTCCATGGTGTTCTAGCTTCACTTGACTTATGATCTCAACTATTGAAATATATTATTGAAAAATAATAAGCTAGAGATGATTTTTGATTTGAAATTTTAATGTTCAACTGAAGTGGTTGAACAGTTAACGTTGTCAGTTGAACACTAATCAAGTTGACAATCTCAGTACATATCGTCGAAGTGAATCAACTCCAAGGAGAATTCCAGTAATTTGATAGAAAGAATTGTAAACCATATTTTCGACAAGCTTCTGAAAATATCTTAAAGGTTCGAAACCCCAATAATTTATCCAACTTCTAAATAATAATTAAAGTTGTTATGATGTGGAATTCAGAAGTTCTAGCAAGTAGAATTGATTTCTGTCTTTAAAAAAAAACAGAAACTGAATCTAAAATTTTAATTAAAGGGAAAATTATGATTTAGATAGATCACTCATTTCTTATGGTGAGTGAGATGTTGACATGTTCTTATTTTGACCTTCCTATTTTCAGGAGAGAAGCGCTTGGAGAGTTAGTACACTTTAGTATTAAAATTCAATCAGGTACACAGAGATGTGATCGGATTTTTTACAAAAATAATAGTAATCTTTAATCTCTCTGACTCCGATTGTAGCTCTCCTAGGGTTACTACCGGTCCCAACCGGGGTATAGGAGGGGGGTTGGTCAGGGGGTCAGAAACTCCATCCCATACAAAACAACATTGGCAAAAAACGCTAATCAGAATAAACAAATTAAGCCATTAAAACTCTGCTCTCCAAGTTAAAGCATATTCATTCGGGAGAATTACGACGCCTTATGGTGAAAGCCGAGATTTTTCGGAAGTCACGAGGCGGATGCCACTTCTAACAACCAGATCAACAATTAATGTACGTACATAGAAGGTTCTGACAATGTGGGAGATCGAAACGACCGATCAAATATCTGCGGAAATGTGGAGATACAACTTGACGGTTCTCGGAATTGGTGAAATCGATTGAACCCAAGCTGAACAGCAGAAGTAAGATTAGGGAGAGATGCTTCTGTACTCTGGTCACGAAGAAGCACGTAATGCACTTATAGAATAGGAGTCTCATGAATCCAGGATCATCAAAGCATACTTCAAAACAAAAAAGAAAGGAGTCACAATGCGTAGCAAGAACGATGGTAAAGACCAGTTATATGATAGACGGCAATCGATCATAGCTAAGTGATCAGGAAAGGACCTCACCATTCTGATGGGAGCTCTAAACGCGAAATTCGGAATGGACAACACTGGATATGAAGATATGGGACAACATGGACTGACTGGGAGAAAGGGACGAGAATGGTGACAGATTCGCAAAGTCTAGTGCGTTCAACAACGTGGTTATAGACGGCAAAATATTCCCACACAAACGCATACACAAAGTTACATGGGTATCATTGGGTCACACTACACAGAACCAGATGGATTAGATTTTACATCAGCAAAAAAAATTCACAAGGTCAGTGGAAGAGGTGAGCTTCATATCACCACTTGGTGGTTGCCAATATGAAACTGAAACTAAAGAAGAAATGGACAACTGGAGAAATAGAATCACAAAAGTTCAATATATTCTCCCTTCCATATACTCACAAACTTAACCAATTCAAGATAACTAACAATAATAGGTTCCAAGCCTTACAAGATTTACTGAAAGAAGAAAAAAATACTATGGAGGGCAACTGAAAAGGGATAAAAGAAGAACTAACTTCAATATGGGAAGAGGTGATGAACCACAAGCAGTATCATCATGAAGAAAGGATCTTTATGGAAACCCTGGACAAGATTGAAGAAAGGGAGAACAAGAACGGAGAAAGTCAAAGCACAAACTGAATGAGCAGAAACAAACAAGCAAGTGAAGAGGAGTATTATAGCTGACAAGCAGAAATGCATGAAAGAGCTAGCAACGATAGTGGAAACTCTGCACGAGAAAGAAATATCAGACAACTATATGACTGGCAGGGAAATATAGTGAACCAGAGAGATTAGTCAAGGACAAACAAGGTAAAACAATCACTGAGATTCAAGAACAGAGGAACAGGTGGGGGGAACACTTTTAGGAACTTCTGAATAAACCAGCTCCACTGAACAAACCGGACACAGAGGCAGCACCTACAGACCTTCCTATAGATGTCATTTCACCAACGATGGAAGAAATCAGGATGGTCGGTCATCAGAAAAATGAACAGTGAGAAAGCAGTCCAATCTGAAAATATACCAGCCGAAGCACTAAATTCGGACGTAGAAGGAACTGCAAACATGTTCCACGATCTTTTCAGGAAGATTTGGGAGAAAGAGCAAGTGCCAATCGACTGGAAAGAAGGACACCTTATCAAGATTCCAAAGAAAAGTGATCCGAGCAAATGTGAAAACTACAGAGGCATCACATTGCTGTCAGTACCAGGAAAAGTCTCCAATAGAGTGTTGCTGAACTGGATGAAAGACGAAGTAGACACCCAACTTCAAGATCAACAGACGGGATTCCGTAAGGATCGGTCGTGCACAGACCAAAACGCGACACTACGGATAATCGTCGAACAATCAATTGATTGGAACTCGTCACTATACATCACCTTCATTGATTATGAAAAGGCAGTTGACAGTGTGGGTAGGAGGACCTTATAAAAACTTCTTCGACAATATGGAGTTCCTGAGAAGGTTGTCAATATTATCCGGAATTCATACGACGAACTACAATGCAAATTAGTGGATGGAGGACATCTGACAGACTCATTCCAAGTGTGAAACAGAGTCAAACGAGGCTGCCTACTCTCCCTCTTTCTTCTGGTGATCGACTGGATTATGAAGACCTCCATATCGGAGGTGAAGCACGGAATACAATGGATAGTTCGGATGGAGAACAGTGGTGGACGGTCTGTGCTCTTCCATAAGGGTAGCAAGGCTAAATGATAAAATAATGATAGTAATAATATTTTCTCGTTGTTGATGTTAACTTCGAAAGTCATAGATTAGCCTTTGAAGCCAGTAAAATAGAACCGTTACTTAATAAATGTGGCTCATGATACTATTTTATTATAAAATTACTTTTAGTATTCGCGCTTAATCAATAAGGCTACATGAACAGAAATTAACTGATTACTGATTTGAATTGCAATGAACAGATTGAACGCTAAGATTGTGATGTAGTCAAATGAGCAAGTTTGTACGATAATATAATTCAATGTTTTGAGTTTCTTACCTAGTTGAATAGAATCCTAAGTATCATTGTTGTAATATGTAAATTATTTAATCCCTTACTAATAATCAAAGAAATGCTCTCTGATTTCTATTGTTGACTAATTTCTGTCAATTCGTTATGACGCATAGCTATAGCTTCAAGCATACATGGACCAGTGTCATGAGGTGCCGAGAGTTGAAAACGTCTACTATAAACTATTCAGTACAAGACTGATCCATCACACAATATACAAGTTAGAAGATATAATGATTGTCATGTTTAAGATCTGAGCCTATATTGACTTCTAATTTTGAACGATTGAGATTCTTCTTATATGAACTCGATAGTACGGCCGTTTGCATAAAAGACACTTCTACAATTGTTTTCAATACGATAAAATACAGGAAAAAGACAGGAGATAATTCATAAGTCAAGAAATCAACATTAGAACGAAACAACTTTGTATATAGGATAACATTTCCACTTTGAATTTTATTCACTATATTCTCAACGAATAATATTTATTTATTGACATCTTTATACTTGATTTATTATCTATGTATACCTTGAATAGCTCTACTTACATTGGCTGCTACACGTGTTGAGTTCTTACTGACAAATTCTCTTGATCAACGTATGCATGATCGTGGACCAACACCATCGTTAACAGAGTCAGCTTTAGTTATTTATGTCATAGGTAAGAAATAAATTATGAAATTTATCCTTTAAACATTGCCTAGGAAAAGGAGAATCATACAAGTTATTCCATCCAAGGAATAAAAACCTTGCCGTGACCAGTGGAGCTAATCCATGTCGGGTAGAGACAGGTATCTACCTCAGTACAATGGAAGTTAGTCGCGCAATTTCGTGGATTGGTTGGTGTTAGACAATATCACCATTGGATGCCGGCTCAATGGTCCAGTAGGTTAAGTGTTCGCGCGCGAGACCGAAGGCCTTGGGTTCGAATCATGCGAGCGGGATGGTGGATGCGCACTGCTGAGGAGTCCCACAATAGGACAAAACGGCCGTCCAGTGATTCCAGTTCTCCAAAGGTGGTCTAACATCAATAGGCTCATGATCTCAATCAAAAACTTAATAATCTCCACAACCCCTGTACTAGTAATTTCTTCATGAGTTTATATGCTCTTATTTGAACATATATTAGTGCTCGGGCCGGAAGTAGATTCACACAATACCTTCAACTTCATAAACTAGAACGTTGTTAACTAGATTACTCAATAATTATATGAAACTTCTGTTCAATCTCTAATTATTAATAAAACTACTTGTCAACAATATAAATACATTTAAGCTGATGAGTTACACTACTAAGACGAAACACTTGGATATATTAACGGAAATATTTTCATAAACAGACTTTTCAAAATAACATATTGGATTTCCTCAACTTTAATTTTTCACTGTTCAATTTTTTAATTACAGGTTTTGTTTGGCAACAAATGAAAAAACTTTATATATGGGGTTTACGTGCATATTTAGCTGATATGTGGAATCTTGTAGATTTTCTTATGAATGCACTCTACATAGCTACTATATCATTGAGAACAATTGCATGGGCTAGAGTAATGTTACATTTTTCTTTATGACTATGTGCTCAATTTATATTGACTTAAATTTTGTTCATTTTTTTTAAATGGAAAAGTCAGTATAGAATCTCTTACCAGTAATTTAGAAGATAAATTTACCCTTCCTTCCCCTTTATTATATTGATTAAAGCACTATCTAAAATGAATTGGCAATTGTTTCGATTATGATTATAAACAGAGATGACCCGATGAGAGAAAAATTTTTAATTTAGTTTAGCTTTGGAGTGTGCACATCACTTGTCAGTCGGTTGATGTCAGTTCGTTCTTCGAATTTGATCAATAACTGATAGACCAACTAACTGAATAGTTATAATTGTAATAACAACCGTGATGATGATGGTAATTTACTGGTCGGCCAAATTGTGTTATAGCACTAACTCAAAATAGCTTTTCAGATAATAAGGAAACGGTATTTAGTTATTATTTAATCTATGCTACAACAGTAAGAAAATCACAATTGATGGAGTGTTAACATGAAGTGTACATTTTTGCATTGTAAAAATGTAAATTTAAAACTTCACCCCATTGCACAAGCAAGTGGCTATCAGGACTCAGTAGCTAAGTGGATAACACGATGGCGTTTGAAGCAAAAGGTACTGGTTTCGAGTCCCGGAGTGAACATCAACTTTGTGATGCAGGTACATCTAGCTGACTAGTCTCAAATAGGACGAAACGCGCGTCAAACTGAATTCTACTGTTAGCCACAATCCATCTTTACTTATAATGCTGGTGACCTGAGGCAATATAGAGTCAGTCCGCACATAAACAAACGAGAGACTAATCAATTACAGTCCTAAATAACAATGGGAAGATTCAAGTAAACCACACCAAGTGAATTTAATCACTAAACAGCTTTCTTAAATCGATTGTTTATGGTAACGAAAAAAAAAGTTACAAAATGTAGATAGATTTAAGATAACTAATTAATCTATTAGCATCTCTGTAGCCGTATGGATGAACGAATTTCATGTAAAAATTTAATGAAAGATATTTGATTAAGTCATCCATCAAATGTAATGCCACTAATTTAGGGTTTGTTTTAGGGTTAAAAGTTTGAGATTATGAATAAAGGATAGTGCCGATTCGCTTACTGTGTGCAATTTACGTAAACGGAATTGATTATCTGATCCATTCTATTCGACGCTCGTCAAGATAGTAATTTTCCTCAACTGCTTTAAACATTTTAAGCAGTATACAGAGACAGTGGTACCTATGATTTCTGGGCTAACCAATCAGATTCAAGGTAGGAACTCTAGGATTTTGGCGCGAAATTCATCAATTTATATGACTGAATAGCATTTTGCAATACACTTGGTGTTATTTCGTGATGAAAACCCTAACTATTATTCCCAATTCTGATTTCTCACACTAATTTGTAACTCTCTTTAGACCCTGGTAGGTATGTGGAATTTCTCAAGTTCACTTTAGTTTCGCTCAGAGGTTGTCTGTAAATTGTATCCTCACACAAATATATTTATACCGCTCGCTACGTGTGATATTTTTTGACGAAAACCTAGCAACTGTGTTCTCAATACTAATTTGCTCATCCTTGCATTATATGGTTACCGTCTTACCTCGGTCCTTATTGTCGACAGATAAAAGCGTACCTGTAATTGTAGAAGATTACTGATTATTTGATGTGTATAACTTCCTCTTTCCTGGCATGTAATTTACTGTGAAGATAACAAAAATAAATACTCTTAGTACCCTAATTAGTAGTAACAAATCTGCTACTAGAACTCCTACTGCTGATTTCTTAGCCTCTTCCCATAACCTCACACTGCTTCTACACTTTAACCTGAACAGCTGAGAGAAAACGCGAAATATGAGTAAGAGCTCTAAGGTTAGTTGTGTGGAGAAAAGCGAGTATTTTCATTATTCCGAATAATCTTAGTTTTCTAGAACTTTCTGGAAACATACTGGATACCATAAGAATATTTTCAATTATCCAATCAAAACGTGACACGTAATCCTTATTTAGACGTTTCTGTTAAGTTTCTGTTCAATATTATTCAGATAAAACGTTCCCTGGAGATCTTCGGACCTCTAAAGATCTTGACAAAGGATATTTTGTTATTCTCCCAACACGTGGAATAGTTGTTTTTCGAATTCCCAATACTTAATTCATATCACGTTTTAGAGAACAAATAATTTCTCTACAACTTCCACAATTTTCACGTTTATTATTATAAACCATCCACTTTATGTTCAATTTATTCAAAAGTGCTGTGTCGAATCTTGATGAGACTATAATTTATGTATGACTTTCGAGAGATACTAAAGCGATCACGAGAACTTTCAACCAATTACTGGGGTCAAAAGAGGGTTCTATATTGTACCAAAATATAATATTGAATAAAGCCATTAATAATAATAATAATAATAATAATAATAATAATAAAGTTAGAGTTAGGAATTAGAGTTATGGTTTCATCACTAAATAATATCAATTATAAGGCAAAAATATTCTGTCCAAATCCTATTTAGCTATACAGGTGATGGAATTTCTCACCAAAATCCAAGGGTCACTGTGCTACACCTTATTGATCCGTCCATAAATATTTATCTATCAGCTGATCCCTGAACATCAAATCTAGGAATTAGACAGTTAAACATTGATATTCAGTTTTTTGTAAGTTTTTGTCTAACCTATAAATACACTATCATTGATGTATTGTGCAGAGAAACATGAATGTAAAAATCTGAAAGGAGGAAGAACTGAAGAATAGATGAATTGAAAAGTCAGCATATACAATGAAATATCGTTGAATGATGAAAGCAATCGGAAACAGTTATGATATTGTGTTATTCAAATGTATTATACAATATATCATATGTTTACGTTAAAAATATATTGTTGTATTGAAAGGATAATTGGCGAGACTATAATTTATGGACACGTATAAGATAACACTTCTCGGATTTAAGTGCCAAATTCATTCATCCATTTGGCTAAATAGAGTTTTGGCATTATAGCTGACGTCAATTCGTGATGATAAACCTGAAATCTAATATCTAACCTTAATCATCAACTGTAAATCATAATTGTAATTCCTCATACTGGTTTATAACCCTGATTTGGTCATAGTTATTAGGTGGACACTCTCAAAGTCACTTGAGTGTCGTTCAAATGTCATCCATAAATTATAGTCTTACTGGATAATCTTGTAACGTTTATCATCAAATGTTTCCTAATAGTGAATAAAATTGATTCGATACTTTATTCTTGAAATCATTGATGTTTATACACTATTTTCATTGAATTTATTCTATATTTTACAATTTATAGATTGTATTTTATAATGAACCACGTTATATTAATCGTGGTCAATGGGATTCATTTGATCCGGTACTTGTATCTGAATGTTTATTTGCTGCAGCTAATATAGTATCTACATTAAAATTAGTTTATGTATTTACTGTTAGTCCACAACTTGGTCCATTACAAATATCATTAGGTCGTATGTTACATGATATATTACGATTTTTTTGTGTTTATTTCTTGGTATTGGTTGCATTTGCATTTGGATTTAATCAATTATATTGGTTTTATGCAAAAAATCGTGCTAGAAATTGTAAAAATGTTCATTTTACATTAGAAGAAGGACAAAAAGATGTATATGATTATTGTATTACAAGAGGTACTTATTTTACTAAGTAAGTACATATTTAATAAATATTTATCATTTTTGAAATAGATATTTATCTTTTTCAATTCACTATACTTCATAACACAATAGACCTATTGAAACACTGTCTAGATGAAACTAAGAGCATTTGAGTCTATCTATATCACTATTGTATTATGTTATCTAATATTTTCATCTAAAGATTATGATTATTGCCGTTTTATTCTCTGAACTTGATGGTTTAGTCACGGAGCTTTTCATTGTTCTTCTGAACAATATCATTAGCATAAATTTTAGGTAGTAGTGAAGTGTTCAAATTACTCTACATACGACTCACAGTTTATCCTGTTGACCTCTATCATGATTGATTATTGTTGACTTTTAACCGATCATTGTCTATTTTTCTATTTTGATTATATCTCACTTTGATCTGATCCTTGGTTCTACCAGTTATCAATGATTTTTCTTAATAGTTGATAAATTGCATCGATTTCGACACGTTTGTTGATTGAAATGAGTGCCAAGCTTCTAAGAAATTTTTTGGTGTTCTTGATATGCTCTGTGTTCAAGATTTCGACATTTTCCCTGTCCGATGTGGGTCCATAGTTGTCCACATGCAATGATATAAGCGGAGGTGCGTATGATGGTGTTTGACCATTGATTGAGTTTCTCCATCAAAAGTGATTGGATTGAATAGTTAATCCTACCAAGTAAAATTAACAACCCGGAGAAACTACTACTTATTAGTAGTAGAGAACAATTCGGATTGATAATCTGATCGGAATTCAATTAACTGTTAGTTATAACTATATTTTCAATAATTAGATCCTCACTCAAATTAGATCTTAGATTTTGCAGAAAATACTAATATAAATGAAATTGGGACAATGAACTACTCTGACAAACATTATACACCTATTTCAAACGTATCACTTAAAGAAATTCATTTACAAACACTATTTTATCTATATGGCTTAACTACGTGAAATGTTTTCTTTTTTAGTAAATATATATACTAATGATACATTCTTAAAACACCAACAGCTCACACTTGTTGTTCCGACTAAGTATCTCTTCCCTGGGATAAGAAAAAATATTCCACTATATGATATTTAATGTTAGTTGCCTGAATGTAATACACAGGATCCCATAAAGTTAGGTTGATACATGCTAATGGAAAATAACTCCATTCTTGGTGGAGCATATGCCCCTCCTCTATCTTCTAACGTTTACAGTTTTGAAATATACAATCCCTCCTATTTGTTCATAATAGTCATCCCGGTAATATCATGGGTTATTTGTATTATTCTATTAAGATGTATTAGGAGTAGCTTCCACTGAACTTTTATTGTGAGCTCTCTTTTATGTAAGATTACAACTACTGTTTTTTCAATTAAGTAGTTTATATTTAATAATGAAAAATCCTCTTTTAGCTTGTTCGAAATTGTTCAATCATTGTACTGGTCTGCTTATGGTTTGATTGATTTGACAAGTTTCAATTTGGAATATCCACATGCATTTACGGAGTTTGTAGGTAATTTCAACTTAGATTTTATGTGAACATAACTTTTTAGGCTTTTTTTTACAATCGTAATCACTGTATTTATAAAGTACTATGACGAATACTACTCAATTGTAACACTCAAATGAAGTAGTCAATTTGTTCTATATTATAAAAACAACTCTTATGTTTAATTCATTTAACAATTGATGGAGTGAATAAAGCTTAACTAAGGGAATAATGAAAATAACAAGATGAGATTGTTCTATGAGTGAAATAGTGTTATAAATAACGGATCAACCAGATTTCAGTTTATTTATTTATTTATTTATTTTAACACATAGATAATGGTACAAGGAGGCACCAAAAACATATGCACCACACAAATTTCATTTGATATGTGTGAAGGCTGTGGTAGTTCTCGGGTGCCCAAACAGAAGCAAGTGGTTTTCTTGAGGGACCACACCCGGAGCCTTCGACCTGAAGGTCTGATCCACAAGGCAGTGGAGCATCGTGAGATGCAGTCCCATGGTAGTCGGTCACCAACGATTGGTTCATACGCAACTTGTTCCTTCAGGATACTGCAGTCCATGTGCACCATTGGTTTGGAATCAAGGTTTTCCAACTCCCCTAGGTGGACTCTCCGTGTCCACTAGCCCTGTTCAAGCTCCGGACATTCGCTTTCCGTCCTCTCATTTCGTAAACAACAGTAATGTCGCGAGAAGGCAGTGAGTAGAACTTCACTGGGAGTGGTTGTATGCACATGGCCATGTGAGAGCATTTGAAGAGAGAGAGCTGACTCTCCCCACTCTCGGCCGTATCAGGGCATTTGAGGGCGTTCAGTTGGATATATAAGAGTGTATACAATAGTACTTAAATATATGGAACAACCAAGTAATTACTCGCTTTGACAAAAAAAGAATAAATATCTTGATGTCAGTATGAACTGCTGATTAATTAGTCACTGTTCCTGATAGATTCAAGACAATTCATTCACTTGGAAATTAATCACAATATAGAATTCCTAGATGATGTTTTACACATGAAACAAAATTGTTCACAAAATGATGATATTACATTCCTTTTAAATGTTAATTTTATATTTAACAAATAATTTGCATGAAATCGGTTACCAAAAAATTTGTAGTTCATTTCAATGGTTTTACAGTTTTATTGAACTCCATTTTATTGTCAATGTTTAATGAGGTATGGCAACTTGGACCGATGCATATATGTGCCTGGTCCTACGTTGTACCTGACTGACTGACTGACTATTATCAATGTTATGATAAATGTAATTATTACATAGTCACTGAAAGTATCATAGAGACAGTAATAATAGTTCTTTCAGTCAATAATGATATCGATACAAAATGGTTAGAGAGGGATTATTTGATTCATTTTATAAATTATAAATAAATATCAGTCCTATAAAAGGTCAGTCGTTACTTAGAAAGCTCAGTGGTAACGTTTATAGATGTGAAGCTGGTTGATACAGAGTCGATTCTTTCAACAAGTATCATTTCTCTAAAAATTACAGAAATACCTTGCAAAAATGTACCATCTAGCACGATACCTGAGTTTACAGTTTAATATCTACTACCTCGGCCTAACATCATAACATGGTGGACAGGATGTGGTCACATTATAATTTGAGAGAATTCGGTCATCACTAAAAGATCTAGGCAAATATGGTATTGGTCACTGCTCAGTGATCAGTCAACTTTACATATATATACATCGATAAGAAATTCAGGACCTATCTTTTTATCTGTTATTACTTGTCAACAAGTCGTAACTGCAACATTGAGGGGAGTGATACAGATTATGAAATTTAAATACATATCACCAAGTATCTCAGTCAAAGATAAACCACTGGTTTATGCAAACTGTTAACGAGCACCAAATTGTTCGAAATATGTATTCGAAATTGAATAATTCAATCCACTTAAAATCAATCCTAATTTATCAGATCTATAGGCTATAATATTGTAACTTGATCAATGGAACGCAATCAGTACTATAGATTTCACAAAAATGATACTGTTTAAGACTGAATAGTCGCTTAGTTTTCTAGGTACGTCACTGTTAAACAAACTATTCATTCCGATAGAATATTTATACTACACCACTCAAAATATGTAGATTCTCAGAGTGAACTATATTGGACGATTAATTATCATTAACATTTTTTTTAAAGATTTTTCACTTGCCATGACATTCATTTACTAATAAATTCAACTTTAAACATTTGTCTACTTATAGTAGTATAAATCGTTTTTCAAAATTTGCTCGGAAGTGAGAGCAACACAAAGCGTTTACCTCCATCATTTCCTTTAATTCATAAATCCCATTTTTGTTAATTTGTGAACAGGTAAATTGACATTTGGCACTTATTCATATATTGCTTTCATCGTTTTACTGAATATGTTAATTGCTATGATGAATAATTCATATGAACAAATTGTAGTAAGTTGTGATGACACATTATAAAAATTACGCTTAAATATTTCAATGTTAAGAACTGTTTCAACTCCCAATCATTGTGGTTGCAAATACGTTTGGGCAATATTAAGCTACAATAATAATAACAAGAGCTTGACTAGATATCATAGATGTTTTATACATCATGATCTTTTTGGTAAATTTGAACAGAACAAAATGAACAGGGTTTGCAGACAAACATGACAAAGGTGGCTTCAAGTAGAACTAATTAAAAAGATTAAAGAAGCGATAAAAAGAAGTTTCACTATTGTCCAACTATTTTCAGTGTATAAAATTATATGTTTCTTAAATCAATCAAAAGTAGATCAATACTTTAATGAGGTCATCTTTAAATGTATTTATGAATATAGATGTACTTAGGAAGGACTGAAAGAAGAGCATCTATAAGGTTTTCCAAACATATTCCCTATAATTTGTGTTTGAAAGGAAGTAAACTATTCACAATTCTGATTATTAAAAATGGGATGGATAGTAAACACGCCATGAATAGCGCGAAGACTTTTAAAATAAATAAATACTCCGCTTCGGAGAGGTCATTGAAACCATGTGTTTCTGACCCGACCTTTACATACAGAAAGTGTGACAAACTTCTGGTTACCATGGTAAAATAGTTAAGTCGTTTATCGGTTGCCAATTACAGTATGTCTACCATATTTCCTTATTTGAAATAAAACATTTCACTAATATTCGCTCACGACGTCACTTTGTGGCCTTGTTTATCAATAGCTTCTTAACAATTTGTTTTTACTCATAGTCTCTTTATTATCATTTATAACTTTACCCCCATCTTTAAGTGACTTCATCTTTAAAATATAAATACTAATCAATCTGACCTACTTAAATCGTTCGTAAGTCATTTCGAACAGCACTTCATCGAGTACGGGATCTTTGCCTTTTCGTAGTACTATAACTAACATAAATTAAGGCCATTTGTAGCTGATGAAAAGTCTTGGAAAATATAAATTTTATGATAATAATTTTAAGAACTTGTTACTTAGTGCCTAAACGGATTTCATTTTTTACCAGTATACGGTTGTCGAGATTATTAAGTTTTTGATTGAGATCATGAACTGATTGATGTTAGACCACCATTGAAAACCTGGAAGCACTGGATGGTTGTTTCGTCCTGTTGTGAGACTCTTCAGCATTGCACATCCTTGATCCCTGTCACGGGATTCAGTGGTCTAGAGGTTAAGCGTTCGCGCGCGAGACTGAATGCCCTGGGTTCGAAATTCGCGATCGAGATCTGGATGTGCACCGCTGGGGAGTTCCGAAATAGGACGAAACGGCCGTCAATTGCTTCCAGATTTTCAATGTCGGTCTAATATCAATCAGTTCAGGATTTCATTTTAGCAAACAGACAAATTATAATCATCCAAAAACATATTTTGTGGGTAGTTTTAAGTTAGTAACTGCTACTCATTTTCAATTACTAATGTTTCCCACTAGTCTACTTAATACGACTTCATTTTTTCCATGAATCCCTGTATAAGATGCATGTTTCAGTACTCAACTACATTGTTCAAAATGAAACCAAATATTTCATGGTTGATTTTTAACAATTATTTGAATAATTAGTTATGAAAGGATCATTAGTGAAGTCCCATGTTTTGTTTTCAGTAAATGTTTTAAATTGGTTCTCACTATACCAGTGTCTTGAAAACATGTAATAACAATCAGTAAGATTTTAAGATTTCCCGTTACTTCTATTCAGGACTATATATATCAGTCTGTATAACAATATGTGCATTATAAGCGGATGTCGATAGTTTTTTTCACACGTTTTATAGAATAGGTTGATTGTGGCTATGAACAGAATCAGAGAGTGTGTTTCGTCCTAGTTAAGACTCATTAGATGGATGTTTACTTACCAATGCTAATTTTTACACTGAGAATTCAAAACTTGTGTATAATGGATGTAATAGGATAGTGATCAAATATTTAATTCTCTCAAGACATATTATATCAAATAGTTGTTCAATGTTGACCTCATTAGCCAATGGGACTCTCCATTATTATTGTATACTATAACTTATATCAACAGTTATTAGTTATTAATGACAAGTCTTTTAGGAAATCTGTATCAATTAAACCGATGGTTAGAGACCTTGAATGATATGGCTCAAAATCGTTTACAATGGTGTGCACAGGTGCATCCACTCTTTGTGTTCTCCAAAATTCCAATCTTATGAATTCTTCATGTTCTGTTCTTTTTTCCCTTTCCAAATGTATTTCACTGGATTATACTCTTTGAATAACATCTTCAAACCCTAATCTTTCCAATTACTGTTTATACTTTTACTACCTCTACCACTATGGGAGTTGAATCGACAATTGTATTTGTGTGCTAATGTGGTATGGCAACTCGAACTGATGTACATACATACGAAGTTTTACATTGTTTCTGATTGGCTGATTGAAACATTAATTTTATGAACAAGATTGCTTGTTTATCAACTAAGGTTTAATTTCTTCTTTTGGATTTAGTTTTTTTTCTTAAATTTACATTGAATTCATCCATATAGTTTCTGTCAAAAATGAACTCGAGGTATTTCAAGTCATTAGGTTATTTATAAGAACATACTAAGTTATTAAACAGTATAATTTTCATAAGTAACAATATTGTAGTTCTTAATTAAACTAAGCGATAAGAAAAACTAAATGTTTAAGAAACGAGGTCTTTGAGTTTGAAACAGAAGGATGATATGTTGTCAAAACCACACAAATATCAGTTACATCAAAGGATAGACAATCTAATTGTTCATATATCATTGTATGAAAGACCTTGATGTATTGAGTTGGAAATGGTGAAATAGCGACATAGTGAACACACTATACCTTCACACTGTTATAACTTTATGTCCGGCTTTTATCACGTGATTTATCCACCAATCAAAATACGACTGATACAATATTCGCACTGTGTCAAAATCGATCGGTATGAACAGCCTAGCGTCTTATTTGGTCCTATGTATGCCTAATCCGTCCACTTGAGTCCAGAACACAAACACCAGCTTCTACAATATGAATAATTTATTTCAAACAAACTCGGTTTATATATCAACCAGACAGACCACAAAGTACCATAAAATAGAAAATAACATTTGTACAATATTTGGCCAAATGTGGCTGTGAACGTGGGAGGCAGTAGTCAATAAACTGAACATAGCTTAAGAACAATAATAAATTACAGGTCAAAATAAAGCTTATAATAAGAGGAATATAAATATACATAATTTAATTGTTGAATAGTTATGTCATAAGAATGTATAGATAATATTAGTCAATTAATATGTCTCAGAAGTTACTCGTGATTTAATCTTCACTCGGATATAACACACACTATGTTCATATGAAGGTTGAAAAGATGTGCAGATTTCACAATATCACAGTAATTGCACAAACTTGATAAGTTACAAGATTACAAGGTAAAGTGGATAAACCTACAAAAGTGTCGGTTAATATGATAAAGAAATAATTCCAAACCATTACTTGGGAGACATGATCGGATGGATATTATGTAAACTGATAAACAAGTCTAACTTTAAGGCATTTGTATGACTAAACTAGTCAGTAATAAGTTTATAAGTAATTAATAATAGGTTAGGAAATGGAAAAGATATAATAACAATTTATATAGGAAATGAAAGTTTACAATATGAACAACGAAAAAAATACTATTACCCATGTGTGGGATAAACGCAAGCTAAAAATATATATGATAATTCTCTATAGAATAAACAAAGATGGGTAGTGTTTAGCAGTGGAATGGGATGAGGTTTAAATTCACTCGGTATTGTTTACTTAAATCTTTCCATCAATGTTTAGGACTGCAATTGATCAGTCAACATCAACTTTCAGATGCAGTTACATCCAGCTGACTAGTCTCAAATAGGATGAAACGCGTGTCAAACTGGATTCCACTGCTAACCACTATGCATCTTTGCTTAAAAAGCTCGTGACTTAAGGCTATATCGAGGCAATTCGCACAGGATACATATATACCAACGTGTGACTGATCAATTACAGTCCTAATTAACAATGGGAAGATTCAAGTAAACAACACCAAGTCAATTTAAACTTCACCCCATTGCACAAGCAGGCGGCTATTGGAACTCAGTAGCTAAGCGGATAGCGCGATGGCATATGGAGCGAACGGTTCTGGTTTTGAGTCCAGGAGTGGACATCAACTCTGAGACTCAGGTACATTCAGCTGACTAGTCTCAAATAGGATGAAATGCTCGTCAAACTGGATTTCACTGCTAGCCGCTAGCCATCTTTGTTGATAATACTTGTGAATTAAGGCACTACCGAGGCAATACGCCTAGTACGCATATATGCCTATTGCAGTGCTAAACATCAATGAGAAGATTCAAGTAAACAATACCAAGTGTATTTATCTCTATAGAATAGTTTTGAAATTTCTATCTCTCTATGTTAATCACCTTCATATAACATATATAACATGAAATTCTGGGCTAACGTCAACCTCAGTTCAATTTTATTGATTATTATCCTTCAATCTCTATAGTTTGTTAAAAATATGTTCTTATATTTATTTCTATGTAATAGGGTCAAGTTGATGTTGAATGGAAATTTGCTCGATCTAAATTATGGATTAGTTATTTTGGTGAAGGTTGTACTGTACCAGTACCATTCAATATAATACCTACACCAAAATCATTTATGTATATGTTAAATACAATTAGAAATTTATTTTTAAATTGTTATAAAAAGAAATTACATCGTAATGATTGGGAAACAATTCGAGTAAGTTGACATTCTTCTTTTATGAAATATAGTTTTATGTATACAAACTGTATACAGTTGAGATTGATGTTTTGTTATTATGTAGAAACTATTCAGCAAAGTGAACTCATTATCACTATAGTCAATAAACTTACAATCTACTAGTATCATAGCGAAGAAACCCAGTTTGACATAGGTTTCGTCATAGTTAGAACTCATCACCAAGGTGTACCTGTCATTATGAGTTTACCCTCATCATTGGGATATACGTTCTGAGACTTTACTACTGAGTTATTTAGGCGGTGGTCGACCTCTTGCACGACCGAGATATTTGCAGTTGATTGTCACTAAGCAGTAACTAATGTTATGTTTGTCTAGTCGATCGATAGCTGATGGAGAATTCGCCGATTCCCAACTCGCCAACCAATAGACCGGAAAAAATAACCAAATGCGTTTTATATTTTATCATTTCTGATCTTTATTGTTTTCTTACATATATCATGCTGCCACTACACCTGAGTATTGTAGCATACGTATCAACATACACTTTGAGGCTTTTCTCTTACTGTGATTTTCCTATGCATAAAATATTCCATACATGTTCACTTCTAACCTTATGTTTCCTGAAAAATACTCAAAAATACTGGCGGGTACAATGTAAACATCCTTTTTGGGGTTTTACTTTGTAAATGATAAACTACATGACCATGGAATTCGGTTTGTCTACAGACGAATTTTATAAATAATCCCCTAAACTGTTGTACACAGAGTTTTGGCAAAGCCATAATCAAAACGAGTGAAGAATACATATATAATGAATAACTTATAATCTGTTACTAAGATATAAATTAACCGATATGCGATTGAACTGAGTTTTAAGTGGTGGGCGTTTAGCCTAAACATTATCAGTTCAATCATTTTTATCGATCGTCGTTAACGGTGAAACACAAGATCTTGTTTCTTCTCCAAATTCTATTGACGGAACATATAAATATGTCTCAGATCTACTATGATACCATGTGATAACACATTAAATATCTGAATATGAATAAAATATAATTACCGAGTATTTTGGTGTTTTGATCTCTATTCATGGAAGATTTACAGTTATATTTGTTTCATTATAGCTTTCTGTAACAATGTTTAAAACTACTTTACTGTCAGATTGACTAAGGATTCATTGTGAGTAAAGTTGGAATCTGATATGGGAGAATTTCAACCTTTACTGGTTTTCAGTTCATTTAACTACTGATAATTTGTAACTGAGTTTGAACAAACTGATGTCTTAATGATTTTCAAATATTGGAAAGAGTAAATTGTAACGATAGTTATGTATGAAAGTTGTTACGAATCAGTAGTTGTTCAGTGAACGCATATAAAATGAATGTAAACTGTTACGGTATAATATTACAACAATGAACTAAGTCGATTATCATGAATACATATAGATACTTCGGAATTTCATATTACAAAGATGGCCTATGCTCCTCCATGAGAGTAACAGGCGTAAGTAAGTAGCAAGTTCAAAAACTGATTGAAAATAAAGTTACTTAATATTAATAAGTAATATAGTTAGAACACAAAAGGGAATTAGGTTATGAAAAATCAAGGTGGAATGATCAAGGACAATGAACACTGGGATATGAATGATCAGTTATAAGAAAGTCTGAAATTGTAATATTCAAAGCAAACCATAAATACGGTTTGAATATCTACTACAAGTATGGTGATAAATGTAAATGAGGAGTGGGTAATATTGCATTAGCAAGTGCTCTTGTTAGTAAGAACATGTAAGTGGTTGGAACATTAATATAATTACTTTATTTGATGATTCTATACATTTAGAAGTGATTCAATCAATTACGAGAATGATCTCTAGAAGCTAACAGAAAACTGAACTCATAGGAAGGGCTTCGGACTAACCGCTTGTAAGCTACCTGGTGAAAAAGCGAGACACGTTTAACTAACTAGATTTGAATAATTGTTTATCATTATAACATTTTAGTGTGAATAACTTATATGTAGGCTATACTGCGCTAATTTTAGAGACATGTTTTGTCATTTGTAATCCAAAATAAAGATAATCACCGTTTGAGTTTTTGATAAGTCTTGTGGATTGAACGCTATATTCGTTTCCTAATCTATTCTGTAACCCTAAAGCTAGAACTATACAACGACCTCAACAACGAGAGAGAAAACGCAAAGTATGCGATAAGTAGTTTACTCCAAGGTTCATTTCAATACAGAAAATATAGGGTTTTTATAATATTTTAAATGTCATTGGGTTGCTAGAAGATTCTGAAATGCTACTAAACATAGTAACAGTGTAGCAACCAACCAATCAGGACCTCTGCATGTGACGTTTCACTTCCTTGATATTTTTGGTTAAAACTTCAAGTGAACGCTGATTGAATGAAACGCTTCTTAGTGTTTCCTGATGCTTGCTTGTCTTTTGCAAGCAATTTTCTGGATCGCTCCAACAGTTTCGTACTGCATTTGGTCGCACCTCTTATTCGAATCTCGCCGTCTCTAACATTCTGTTATCATTTTAACCATCAATTTTGTCGTATATACATCAGATTTTCTAAATTTCATAGTTTGAGTCATTGATTGATCTTAGTTAGACAACAACTGATAACCAGGAATCCCTGGATAGCAACTGCTATGGAACTACTCGTCAGTAGAAATCCACGACGCCACCTAGATCCAGTTCAGAACCTTCAAGTCTCACAGCGGGTGCTTAGAATTTTTAAACAGTTGATTTGTCATCTAACGATTTATCTGTCTACATTCAATCAATTTCAAGATATTGCATCAACACCATTTATTACCATAGGTTGTACTAGTGAATGAAACGATTGTCCAGTGTTTCCTAAGTTTCAGTATTTATTTACCTAAGATCAATCAATGATATAAACTATAAAATTCAATAATTTCTATAGAATCTTATAATATAAGACTTTCTAAAATGGTTTAAATGACTATTTTCTTTTGAATTTAATAGTTACGTATAAAACAAGTTAAAGAATGTGAAGTACGTTATCAAAATGTAATGCGTGAATTAACTAAACGATATATAATGCAAAAATTACGATCAAGTGAAAATGATATTGTCAGTGCAGATGATTTAAGTGAAATTAAAGGTGATATAAGCGCATTTCGACATGAATTATTAGATATACTTAAATCGAATGGAATGAAAATACCAGCTTATCATAAAACAGGTAAGTCTAATAAGTGTTTAATTATTGTGAACTCTTTTTAGCCTTGGATAAAGTTTTAATGATTTACAACAGAGACGATATAATCTGGGCATTAAAAAAACATTTAGGTCTCCCATTAGAATGGTCAAGTCCTTTGTTTGGTACTTCCCGGTGGTTGACTTCAGCCTGTCATAGAATTATTCTTTAACGTCTTCATTATAATCGTTGGTAGGCGCATAGCATTGGATGACGTTTATTGAAATGCCCTCTTTCTTTGTTTTGAAGAAGGCTTTGATGAAATTTGGTTCATGAGATCCCCATCCTATAAGTGCATTTTGTGCCTGTCTAGATAGCATCAATGCAACTCCTTGTGTATGTGGGGAATTTTCTTCTTCATGGCCGGAGTATAACAGAAGTTCCCCTGAAGCTAGTCGTTGTTGTCCAACCTGTGTTTCACTGATTTCAAGCACCTCCAGGTTATATCTCTTCATTTCTGCAACAAGTTAGGAGACTCTCCCGGTCTCCCATATTGTGCGAGCATTCTATGTACCTAAATAAATGGTTGCTCTGGTTGTCAGAAGAGGAATCAACCTCGTGACTTCAGAAGGAACTTGGCTTTCATCATGAGGCATCATAACTCTTCTAAATGAAAAACTTCTAACTCCCAGGGCAGAGTTTAAATGGTTTGAATAATTTTTTCTGATTAGCGTTTTTTAGCGAATTAGTTTTCTGCGGGATGGAGTCGCTAACCCCATGCCCAACCCCCCTCCTTTATCCGGGCTTGGGACCGGCAGTAGCCCAAGAAGGGCTCCAGGTGGAGTTACAAAAAAACACTGGACTAATGTTGATGTTAGTTACGGATATAATTGAACAATCGACCAGTAACACTGTATTTAAGCATTAGTCACTTTTAATCAATCTATCAAACCCTTCTAAATAGAAAATGCTTTAACGTGTTAGTACTGAGACAATGTGAAGCGACGAAGTAGTTGAAAAGCTAAACTTCTATAGTTTTACAGCGATATTTCAAACAATGTACTCAAAAACTTTGTGAAATCAAGTTTTTATGACCTGTGCTCTTATATTTATTGGACAGACTACATAGTGAAATGCTCATGGTTAATAATTTGTTAAATAAACTTGTCCTGAAAATGTTGGACAGTTAATTACACACATATCTTCTCATTTACAACGGGGTCAAATTAAACTAATTTAACCAAATATAATCTACCTGATGATTAACAGTTATCCAGGATCAAAATCGACGGTTATTCGTCATTGATTTCTCAGGTTTTAAGCCTGATTTTCTTACTACTGTCACATTCATTTTCGTAATGGTCATCAGAGGCAATAAAAGTTGAAGCACTGAGAAATAATTGGAGGTAATTCGATAGAAAGATAAACTGAATCAATGTTTTTTTCTTATAATACCAACAATATTAACTTCAATTAATCAAAGGTTCCAGTTTAGTTTCACCTTTATTTTTGGAAGAATAGGAGGCTAGATACCCTGTTTTAGTCCTGTATTTAAGGTTTCTGAGTTGATCATGTATTGTTGGTCGCTATGTCAATCCCACACAGCTTATTCTAGCTTCCGGACAGGTCAATTTATTCATTATTTTTGTGTCACATTTTGACCTTATTAATTATTTGCTTTTCAACTTGACTGTTTTTTTGTGCAAGCGTAGTGTGTGCATTTCTAATCTTACTCAACTTGACGTAACTTATTTTTGTCTGATTATAAATATCGATTCACGCTTGGTTAAATCAAATTTGTTCACACGCCCTCTCTACTGCGCATTATTTCTTTCCGTTTCGTTCTCTCCTCTTTGCTTCATTTCTTCGATCGTCTGTCTGGATTAATGGTTGCATGAAATATACGTACTCGAAATCCCTTTTCGTATTTGACTTATTTTGATTCCGTTATTCACCAACTTCAGTTAAGTCAATAATTATATGCTTGAATTAGCGACATGTATATTTCAATAATAATCATTCGTACGATCCAATTTAAGTCAGATATAGGGCCAATAAAATCCAACTTTCTTCTGAATGCATAGACCGATGGATTTTCAACCATGTGTTGACGTAAGGAGTTCCACTCGTTGATGATCTAATGAGGAATTCAGTAATCCGTTGACAAGTGATTTGTTCTGGGCTTGTGAAGTTTTTAGTGTTGTCGTAAATTCTGTTTTAGAATATAAGAAAATTGAGGTTATGTCACCTACGAAGCCATTATTAAATAATTCACATTGAATGATGCAGTAACCTCTAATCCTTCTTCATTACAAGAAAACCATGTCTAGATAAGCCAGTCCCTTGTCATATGGTAGATTTGAGATTCAGTAGATCAACTCAGTTGAGGTTCTTTGAACCTTTTTCATTAGTTCCCTGTCCATTTAGGCAGAAGATAGGCACTTCTGTGCAATATTCAAGTTTAGGACGAATAAACTTTGTGTACAAATTCATAAAGATCTTGAGACTTACGTGACTAAAGGTTCTAGGTATTGACCAGACAGATCTGAAACTTTTACTTGTTATTGTAAGGGAGTGTGCAGTAGTTTTCAAGCCTTCACTGAGAATGAATCCTAAAACAGTATTTATATGAACAACAGGTTGCGCATTATCATTCACTGTGTATGTATCTGAACCTTGGTGACAAATACGCATCATAATACACCTGAATTTTTTTACTAATATTAATTTATATGAATATTCAAAGTTTGCCCAATGATATTGTTGATCTTTAACAGTTGAATTGCATCAACTATTTGAAATTCTCCAGTAGTGTAGACTTATTCAAAAAGAACGCTTTTTGACTGTCTCTTAAGAAATTGTGATTCATTCAGTTTACAAATCTGATATTTTTAGTCGTTTAAATGATAAATTGTACTTCTTAGTAAGTGATAGAGAATGAGAAATATTCCTTAAGCATTGATTTCAGTCGGTACAACAGACAGTGAAACTAAGTTCTACTACCATGCCACTGAGATTTGGTCTATTACCTATTGTAAATGATTATCTACGATTTTGATTAATGTGTGGATTTGTAAAATCTCAATATACTCAGTATATGATACAATTGATTCTTTTGACTGTCATTTTTAAAACGGTTTTTGTTATATCCCGATGAGAATAATGAATGGTAACTTTTGGGATCCATTCACGGACCAATACTATCAGTATATTTTTATCGTATAATTGTCATGTAACTCAACTGTTTATTTTCATGTCCCTCTCATTATGAGTTTTATTTTGACCTATGAACTATTATTATACGATTCACCATTCTTTAGTTATACCATATTAATCAATCATTATCTCTCACATTCACAGCCACATTTGGCTAAATCTTGTACAAATGTTATTTTCTATATTATGGTACGATATGATCTGTTTGGTTGGTATATAAACGCAGTATGTTTGAAATACATTATTCATATTGCAGAGGCTAAGATTGGTGTTCTGTACTTAACAGGCATGGATAGGCGGTAAGCAGGACCGATAAGATTCTAAACTACTCATACTTGTTTTATGCGTTATTGGTCCGGTCGGTAATTCCACTGTTCTCTAATTGGCGGTATCATGACGTTCTATATTAATAGGACACAGGACATAAGTAATAACAGTTTTATTGAACTGATATATAAGAAAACTATTTAGGCAAATTGTCAGGAGTGAACCTATGTACTCATTTATAAGTAAAATTGTTGTTTGACTTTTGTTCTAAAAAGATTCACTTAAAAATCAATCTAATTTGTAACTTATACGCCGATGATGCATAAAGAGCAGTTAAAAAGATTAAAATAGATTATCCTTGACCATATGAGTTCACTTAATAAATTGCATTAGATATTTCAGTATTTTATAGGAAATAGTTATCTAGTTTTAGGGCGTTCTCTAATCGTCTAATGTTGAAACCATACGGCCGATTTCTCTGAACGTTTATGTGGTCTTATTGTAGTGAACAAGAACATCAGTGGGGACAATCGGATGTATTTGACGCAGGACTTGTTAATAAAGTCTAACATTCATAAAGTAACTTCTTAATTTTCAAAATGTCCACCAATTGTGTCAAAATGACTCAGACTTCATTGTCCTTTCATTTTCATACAAATTGCATTCTGTTTCCATTCTTTACTGTTCGATCCTTTTGTCTTTCTGCTGCCAGACATTCTGTTCACAACTAACATCATCTACTACTTATGTCAATATAAGTAACACACACCACACTATCACAAAGAAATTTCGATAACATTTTTCATCGGAAGATAGGACTAGTATAATCTATTAATACGGTTAGTGATAGGTTTACCAGTTCACTTGAGATTTTAAGTAGACTTTACTGATAATAACTGACTAGTTTGAGATCTGGATCGATTGTTTTGTGGAGTTATTATACAACTTTATAGCATTGTTAGAGCGATCAAATCTTTTGATAGAATCCAATCTTTACTGAGACCTACCTGGACAACATGACATTAATTAGTGTTCGATAATCGATTACTTAAGAAATTTGTGAAGATTATTCGATAAAACTAAGAACTGTTGTCTCATGATTTGTGTTGTTGTTTTTTCTTCCTAAAAAATCTTTAGTGTCTAAACTAAGACGTGGTCGGGAAACTTATCAACTTTCAGAACTACAAGAAATGGTACGTGGTAAGAAATCCAAAGAATCAATAAAACGAACAAATATTAATAATAATGATGAAAATAAATTGAAACAATCGAAACCATTGTTTAGTGATATAAAACATTCAGTTCATAAAAAATTGACAACTTCTACTGGAATTAATAAAAATGATTCTAATAAGATTTTATTATCTAGTAGTAGTACTAGTATTGGTGGTATAATTGGTCCAGTAGATAATCCAGCTTTTGAAAATGAAGAAGTAATCATGAATAAGACTTCAATAAGTTCATCAGTTGATTTAGATGGCAAAAATCAAGAAAATTCAAATTCAGTTTTCAATCAAGAAACTTCAATAACTGATGTAGTAAGTTAATTTCAAAATTCAATAATATTTTGATAGCACTAAGCAACAATGCCAGAATGTTTGGAATGCGCTTCTCTCCCTCTAAATGCAGGTTGTTGCTTCAGGACTGGTCTACGTCAACACCTGAACTAAGGATAGGGAGTGAAGTAGTCGAACACGTTGACAACTTCACTTATCTTGGAAGTCTGATCAGTCCTAATGGGTTGGCGTCTGACGAAGTCTCAGCACGGATTCGAAAAGCTCTCTTGGCTTTTGCCAAATTACGTCACCTATGGCCAAGGCGAGTTATCCGTCTATCAATAAAAGGACGAGTATACTGCGCGACAGTCCGTTCTGTTTTAATTTACGGTAGCGAAACATGGCCATTAAGAGTAAAAGACACTCGTAAGCTACTAGTATTTGACCACAGATGCCTTAGAAATATTGCTAGCGTCTGCTGGGATCACCGGGTAAGTAATAGTGAGGTTAGACGCAGGGTATTAGGGAATGTTGGTAAATCAGTTGATGAGGTTGTGAATCTTCATCGACTGAGATGGTTGGGCCACATGTGACGTATGCCTGAACACCAATTACCATGCTAACCGGTGTTCGATATGATTATAAGAAAGTTGAGGCGGCCAAACCAAAACGTGGCATCAGTGCTTGAAGTCACTAACTTCTAGTCTGAGCCATGTTGGTAGATGTAGACTACTTGATTGGGGTCTGCGCGACTTTCGTAACCAATGGTTAGAGACTCTTGGTGACATGTCTCAGAATCGATCACAATGGCATTGGTGTATACACTCTGTATCTTCCCTTAAACTAAGAGATTAAAATCGCTTCATATCTTTCTTTCTACCAACTAATTCCTCCTTCGTGTACTATATCCTTATATGTAATCTTTCTTTTATATATTACCACCTCTGAATTAACTACTTTTATGAATCCGGTGTCCATCTTGTTGTGTTAATGAGGTATGGCAACTTGGATCGATGCATATATGTGCCTGGTCCTACATTGTAGCTGACTGACTGACTGATATAAACGTATCAAAGTGAATTGTTTATCTGCTGTCAGAATTCATCATGAGTTGAGATCTGCTCATGTGTTTATTTTTAAGGACTAAAATTAATTAATAATCTTAGATTATTTTGAAGCAGTTATTCAATAACTCAAGATGGTATTGGTTCCAGATATTTACAATACTATACTGTTATAAGTGGGTAATGCTGATTAGAGTAAATAAATTGAGATACGTTATGTTGAACTTAAGTAATGTAGTGTAAATCAAAGTAACGAACTTTCTCATTTAAAAAAAAATCATTTGTGATATTATTTATTCATCTTGGAATAGAACCAAATGAAGGATCACGGAAAGTCAAAGAGTAATCAAAATCTACTTTATTATAAGTTAGGATTATACTTTTATATTTAGCAACCTTTCAATGAATCGAACAACTGATTTATCATATATATATATATATATATATATATATATATATATATATATATATATATATATATATATATATATATATATATATATATATATATATATATACGTATCACTGGTGATGACTCTTTCATACTGTTATGTTTTCTCTTATTATGACCCAGATACTCTTACTGCTTAATATTTTTGGACACTTCTTCACTCGATAGGTCCCCAAATCTGAACACAGTTGAATAGGAACGTAATTATATTCCATATAAAAAGGCTGGATGGAATTAAGAATCACAATAAGAGAAACGTTAGTATATTTAGAGTTTTTACATAAGATTCTAGAGTCTACTCCAAGTATTCGCTAGCTCTGATTTGATAAGAAATAGGCAATCAGGGTTCCCCCAATACAATTTTGCATGGAACACTCATTAATCCAATTTCTATTCCGCTAACATATACCTAACATGGTTAACTTCAAAAATCATGATTTTCTACGAGAATTCCAACTTGAAGCTAATCACTAGTTAACATATGAATCCTATCAAGATAAAAGAATTATAGTTAAGTGTTTAATTTATTATTGATTTTTCGGCGAGACTATAACTTAAGAACGAACCAGTCAGGTATAAGATAACAGGTCTCGGAAATTCACTCATCCATTTGGCTAAATAGAGTTTTGGAATTATTGCTCATGCCAGTTCGTAATGAAAACCCTTAATCTAATGCCTAACCTTAATCATCAATTGTAAATCATAATTCTAATTCCTCACACTGGTTTACAACACTTATTTGGTCCTAGTTACTAGGTGAAGACTCCCAAGGTCAGGTTAGCGTCACTCAAAGGTCGTCCATAAATTACAGTTTCACCGATTTTTCTACAGATTGAGATTAGTTTGAGAATCTTCTTAAACTTACTTGCTTGAATGTCTGATGAATAGAAATTAAACCAAATAACCAGATTTTGGGTATAGTTCAATCAAAGAGTCACTTTTTTTCCTAACACTTTGTTGTTAAACCAAAATGATATTGAAACTAATAATCCTAAGGTTTTTCCATTTGTTAGCCCTATTGTGGAATCAGTTTGACTAATATAGTGTATAAAATAATAATACTTCAACGCCTAACCAAAGCTCGTAAAGAACAAACTACATCTCTGTGCTAATGTTGTAGTGTGGCAACTCGAACTGATGTACCTACGTACGAAGTTCTACGTTGTTACTGACTGATTGACTATTGTGATTCACATTTCATTGTTAACGTTAATTAATGATCTTTGTGTAAAGATTTGTTTCACACACTGTGTGTGTGTTTTTCTTTTAGTTCTAAACAATTCACACATCTTTTTTTCTTTAATAATAATTTCAGACAAATCAACCATTACATTCTAATTTTATTCCATGTACAACTACTGTAGTTTGTGAAGAAATAATGATGAATAACATGGAACAAAAATCTCATATCTCTTTAAATCAATCAATTGACGAACAACTTCAACAATCATCATCATCATCATCTCAATTATCCATTGAAACAAGGATACCTTCAGAGAATATTCTAAAAAATGATGATATCATGTCTAATTCAACTATTACAAATGAAATGAACAATCAAATAAACAAACAAAATTTACAATTAAAACAAGATCATATAAATGAACAAATTGAATGTATAGAAAATCAAATTAATTTTCAATTGATTTCTGATCAAAAATCAATTGATCATAAAAATATTGATTATTGTAAAGTAAATAAAACTATTCATTATCCAATGGATGATTGTTCACAGACAAATAATCAACGTAGTGATTTTGTTTAAATAATGGTAATCTAAAGTTGTTTATGAGAAGAAAAAAAATGAATGAACAAAAACATTCTATTTTAATCTGGGTTATTTTTTTTTAACTTTTGTCCTACTGGATAGAATGGTTTAGCGTTTTTATTTCTGGCGAGTTAGTTTTCCACGGGATGGGGTCGCGCTAACCCTATGCTTAACCCTTTTCCTTTATCCGAGCTTGGGACTGTCAGTAGTTCCCGGAGGGGCTCCAGGCAGAGCTGGATAGAATGGTTTAATTAAATAAAATAGAAGAAATTATTGAAATAATTAACTTCTGTCTATGGAATAATTTTAACAAGTAAATTCACGAGTCAATTTAAGTTAGATCACCATTGAAAACCTGGAAGCAATGAACAGTCATTTCGTCCTAGTGGATATACATTGCTGAAGAGTCCCATATTAGGACGAAAGGGCCGTCTAGTCCTTCCAGGGTAGTCTAGCTTAAATCGACTCATGAATTCAATTATTACATTTCTACGATCTTCACAAACCCCCATTCTGATATTAATCGTCATGTGTTTACTAGTGACTGGATTCAAGATGTATTTCGTGGAATTCTCGTGAGAAACCATGACCAGTGGAGTTCAACCATGTCTGGTGTGAGGCAATTACTCACTGAAGACAATGATGGACGGTGGTGCAATAACGTGGAGTTATTGAATTTAGACATTAACATCGTTGGATGCCGGCTCAGTGGTCTAGAGTTTAAGCGTTTTCGTGCGAGAATGAAGATTCTGGGTTCGAGTCTTGCGTGCGAAATCGTGAAGGCGCACCGCCGAGGAGTTCCCCTACTGGGACAAAACAGCCGTCCAGTGCTTCCAGGTTTCCAATGGCGGTCTAGTTTAGGTTAACTCGTGAATTCAGTTAATAAAATACTACAGTCTCCACAAGATCCTATATTGAATAATTGTTTAATAAGGATTGGAGATGGTACAACGCCATTTATCTAATAGAAATCTTAAGCAAACTATTATATGTAAATAAATCGGTTTAAGAGAAACTTCAGATGGAATATTTGGCATTATTAGTGAAGGTAACAGTATTCATTGAATCTGTAAAATATAATCTTTTTAGCATATTAATTTTAGAATCGATGGATCCACAAAGCAACGCATAAAACTCATATCTCTTTTGTAATTTATTTTCAGTGAATTTAAATTTAGCGTTTTTCGTGTCGAAATTTGACTTAGTATGAAGAAAGTTTTTTTAAACACACATTAACGTTTATTTTTCTGTGATATTGACAGCATTCATTGCCATCGTCTGTAAATCCACACAGTGCACTGAAGTTGGGGAGGGTTTAATGAAAACCAAACTCAACATCTGATAATTTCGGGCAGTATATAACCTATTTTTATAGCCATGTTGCTTCGGTTATGTACATGTCGGTTTATTTGTATCCATGACTCTACTGCTTATGCTTAGAAAATGAGAACCACTGGAACTTCCACGACGCAATGTAGGAACACAAATACTGATATAAATGAAGATTTATCAACTCTCTGAAAAGACACACACACCCCCCAACAACAAAAACAAGTCATCCGTAACCACATCATTAGCAAAACTAATATGCTCATTTATGCACTGGTTTTACACACGTTTAAGCCTAATGACTAGTTAATAAGCATCATATGAATGGAAAAAAAGTGTTACTGTAAAGTGCATTTGAAGTTCACAATGATTAATACAAAGAATATAACTGTCGTATTGAACAAAATCCACACTTAATATAACATGCTGACCTGAAACAATCTTATTACTGGATATCGTAAAGAATGAATAAAACCAATATCAATATTTTACTTTAGGAAGAAAACGAATATCTTAACGTGTTTCATTGAGTTAAAGAAAACATGGACTCGTCTTTCTATTATCAACTTATCACATAGCATACATACATCTACCTATTGAGGGGTTTCGGATACTATTAGTTTCTATGATTGATTTTTTTTTATTTAATTTGTGTAGGATTTATCATCGTGTTCAAATTGCTGAACTAGAGATTATACGAAGGTATATTTAAAACAAGTACAAATTATTCTTGAATACAATTATATGAATGAAGAATATTCTTTTCAATAATTTCTTATCTACAGTTATATATCCAGATTAATAATTCATAAAATTAGTCAGGTTTAAGATAAGGTACATCTGGGACTTAAGGTTTTCTGTTAATTTATCAACAGCAAATCTGCGAACATTATTTACTTCTATCTCTGCCAACTAGACAGGTAATCACAAAATGTTTTAACGGCTTACAGAACTACTCTGAACCCAACTGTCATAGGTGGGAAGTCACCTGCAGAAGTCATGTTTGGAAGACATATTCGGACTATTCTCAACGCCAAGTTACCACCCAAAATGGTGGATGGGCACAGAGCGAGTTTTAATGCTGGCGATAAAGTGTTTGTTAAGTCCCACCTCGGAGAGAATCAACGGGAACCGACAGGAATCATGCAAAGATTGGGAAGAGTTTTGTATAGAGTCCGAGGAGCTTTTGGGACATGTATCAGGCACACGAACCAAATCCATCAAGATTGAAAAATGATGCACACCCAAGATAACCAGGTGAGTCTTCCACAAGAGTTAATCTCAGATACATCAACGACATATACGCCCAAGAATACCGAAAAGAAAACTTGGAAAAGAAAGACAGTGAAAAAATGAAACATCACCAAAAACAGGCTGCCAGATTACAAGTGGACCCAAGGAGGAAATCTTATTTGGGAAGGTGTTGGGACGGCTTGCGAGAATTACGATGGAGCTACCAGAAGCCCTAAAGGAGCTGAAGAGTTTTCATCTAATCAAAAAGTGATGGAGCTTTTTAGAATATCAAAGTGGTATGCTACGATCAGACAATAGTATGACTTGCCTCCTTGCGGATTGGCTGAATTATAATGATGTTATAACAAACATTATGTAATGATAGAGAAAACTATCTATGGCTGGGTGCTATAAAAGTAAAAACCATCATCTTTATTCCTGATCGATAATTAATGAATAGGTAACTGTTGCATTTTGAAAAACCTTATTAGTTTACAATTTCTTAATCCAGTTCGATCAATAAATTATTATTGCTGTTGTTTAAGGATTAAAGACTCCGTTTATTCTTTGCTTAGTGGGAGGTCACATCATCTGCATTCGTGTGTGTGTCAAACTAGGGGTCATATATCAGCAGTCAATTAAGTGACCAAGCATAAAGTTTCACTAAATGGAAAATCTTTCAAAGTAATTCATTTTTCTTTTTGTCTAATCAGCTTAGTGGATAGTCATACTTGTAGGCATTTCAAAAACATGACTTACATCCATGGAGTGAGATGATTGAGTCATGAAGAAAGACTTGCTTTTGACTCGAAAACTTCTGAATACTATTATGCAACTGTTGAAGTGATCTGAAGAGACTATGAAGGGATATATTTCATGGGTTAACACCGTCTGCAAAAATAGTAGAGTAAAATGTTACGGAAATTGTGTGCTATTAACTTAAGAAATTCATGCAAACACGATGGGAAAAAAGTAGATTTCTACTCTGAAGGGTAGATACAACTTTCCTACTGTTGAAAACATTATTACTACTTTGTTGTTCATCAGATGTTAGAAGTATTAAACTGTAAACTTTTAATTGTTTATTGAGATAGGAAGTCACCAATGATTACTTTTAAAATGAAAGTAAACAGTTGATTGAACACTCAGTATTCACTATAGAAGGTCAGCTGATGTCTTAATACCTCAATGGCGATTTCTAAAATTGTGTGACCCGAGTTCGAAATCATCAAGTAACATCAGCTACCTCCAAATTGCAGGTATGTCTTACTGGCGGGTGCAAACTAGCGCGAAATTCGGCTTGTTCAAACTAGCTCAAACCATTGAACGATGTAAACACACTATATCTTGTAAAATCTGACAGTGATAACCACTTCAAACCTACTTGACATTATATCAAACAATCTATTAATCATTCAAATAAACCTATAACATGATCCGCCCATATTTTACATTTTAATCGTAGTCGTAATGAAGAATTTTCACTTATTTTATCATATACTGCCTGAAGATATCTAATATGAATCGTTTTATTTCATGTTTTCAGTTTATGAAGCACTGAATGACCAATAAAATAGAAGCGAATATTGATTCTGCAATATTTACCGAGAACTTAAACTACAAGCAGTAAATACAAACTTTTCTTAATGGATTGGAATAAGGCAAGTTGTTAGAGGGACATAGACTGGATTAAAGCATGCGCAATGCACTATTGCTTTGGTGCACGCTGATTGGCTAATTCTTATCCAATCGGCGTTAGCCAATACTTGGTGAACACTCTAGAAATCTTTTCATGTGAAAAACTATAAATATACTAGCGTTTTCCCTATTGCACTACATATTTGCTTCTTACTTCCATCTAACCTGGTTATTTGGAATATAATCTCTTTCCTGTTCAACCGGGTTCCGATTTGGGGACTTGTCGAGTGAATCGGTGTCCAAGAATACTAAGCAATAGGAATAACTGGGTTATAACCGTAAGAAAGGGATTATAACACAAGTCAATCATGAAATCGCAAATATATCAATAGGTATCGCTCTCAAAAGTAAATTCGAAGAAATCAATTCCTTAATAATGATTATAAAGTATCATCTTTTAAGTTATATAAGATTAATACTCTTAGAAATCTAAACGGAGATGTTCATATACATTGGGCTAAGAGGAGAAATAATAATATTAAACATACAGAATATGATCCGAAAAAAAAACGATGAACATGAGTGGTATGAAATATCATCATATTTAAAATAGGACAACAATCACAACAAACAAAGTACCTTCGTTAACTTCGAAGACGATTCATCTATGCTTCCCCCAAATAGTAAGTCTGTATTTCATGAAATACATATATTCAAGCCAACAGTAAATTACTTCATAAAAAGAGCAACAGTGAACAGGAATTAGTGTGTGAGTGGAATAATAAATATTAACAAAGAAACTCAGAAAAAATGCGACCTGGAATAATTCTTTCAATTAAAGACGTTACGATCACTGATGAA